GGGGGGGTCACGGTGTCCAGAGTGAACAGGCCGGACAGCGGGTCCCGGGGGAACGTGGACAGGTGGGCACCGGTGGCGGCCTCGGTACAGACAGCATACCGCTCGTGTCCAGGGAACGTAGTGGTGACGCCAAGGTCCTGGAGGCAGCCGACACCAACTAGGTTCCTGGAGAACAAGGGGATATGCAGTCCTGTAAGAGAGCCCGAAGGAACCGTCGGACAGGGAAGGGTGGTGGAACTGCGGGCGATTACCGGACCGCCGGAGGGGTCAGCAAGAGAAACGGCAGCAGGAGCAGGAAGCGGCGTCAGTGTAGTAGAGTCGCGGAAGAAGCACCGGGAAGCGCCAGAGTCCAAGGTGAAGGAAAGCGAAGCAGTGGCGTCCGGCGACGGGGCGACGGCGGAAGCACCAAGGCTAAACAAAGCAGGGGATCCTACGCCTGACGCAGCAGGGGAGTCTAAGCTAGGCACACCTACACTAGACGAAAATGAGTAATAAGCAGAAAGCGCACTAGAGTCATCAGCATACATCACATGCAGAGCAGAAACAATGGCATCCATGTCCATGTGAAAAATCTGAATCCTACGACTAAGCAAACTGTGCCACTCCGGGAGGTCTGGCGACGGGCCGAAGCGCTGACGAAACAGGTCGTCCAGGCGACGAAAACAGCGGGGAGTGGTATGACCGTGCTTACTGCAAACGAAGCCGCGGCGAGGACCGGTCTGGATCTGGTACTGACAACGCACGCCTCCCGAACCACCACTTGGCACACCGCCACGCGCCCGACCACCTCCAGCACCAAGCCACCCGGGCGGGAGGACACTCGCCTGCCTCGTCTGCGGCGGCTGCTGCGGAGGCTGCGGCTGCTGCGACTGCTGCGGCTGCTGCTGCGACTGCGGAGGCGGCGGCTCAGCTGGACCGGGCAGGGTCCCCTCGTTCGCTCCAGCACCAGACGACCCGACTCCACCACCACCCCCTCCTGCACCCCCGCCTCCTCCGCCGCGCCCAGCCTTGGGGCGGCGGCCCTTCCCCGAACGAAACTGCGGTGCAGCAGCAGTCTCAGCCACAGCGACAGAATTGTCGGAGAAGGTACACTGAGCTGGGGCACAACCCTGAAAGATAGGGACCGGCACGGTACCGCTCGCCTGGGCGATGGAGCGGTGGCAGGTCTTAATAACAGTCAGGGTGTCTACAAAGTCGGTGAGGGTGAGCTCACCGGGGTGAATGCTAAGGAAGCGGTCGCGGGCGGCGGCAAGGCAGTCAGGGAGGCGGGTGGCAAGCAGGTAGAGGGTAGAGGTAATGGGCGGCTGGTGGGCTCTAAGCTGTGCGTCAGTGCAGGCATCGCGCCAGGTATCATCTATCGAGCGCAGGTGGGCAGCTAGGTCAGAGACAGTGGGGAAAGACGCAAGGTCGGGAAAGAGCATCGGGAGGATCAGGCGACCCACCGAGGCAGCAGGAGGGGTGGAATAGCGCTTGATGACAGCATCTAAGTAAGCCAGGGCGGTAGTGATGGACCTAAAGCGAGGGCGCTCAGACGGGGGAAGGGCATTGCTAATGGCAAGCTGAGCGACAGCGTCTCGGGAAAGCCAGACAGAGCGCGCAAGGGAAGTGGCTGCAGTAGACTCGCGCTCAGCGGGTGTGGGGTCAGCGGGCAGCACAGCAGGGGGGGATGGGCAGGGGAGCGTACCGTCAAGGTGTGCGGAAAGCGGGTGGCCATCCTGCCGATGGCCAGTGAGGTGGCGACGGAGGTCGGCGAGCCTCGCCTCGAACTCTAGACGCTGGCCTTCAGCGTCGAAGCGAAGCTCCGCCGCCATCAGGAGCAGTGCAGGACTGTACAGTGCGGTGCAGTGCGATGCAGGGCGGTGCAATGCGGTGCAGGGCGGTACCGTGCAGTGCGGTGCAGCTCGGTGCAGTGCGGTACAGGTGATGGGGAACCGTACCAGGGAGGATGCAGGGCCGGGGCAGGGACGACGAGCGGGCCGCACACAGCTCGGGGCAGGACGGGCGCGGGGGCCAGGAGCAGCGGGCACCAGGCCGACAGGACGGGCGCGGGGCCGGCTGAGACGGGCGCAGGGGCCGAGCAGACGGGCGCGGAGGTCGCGAGGGCGGGCGCGGGGCCGGCTGGGACGGGCGCAGGGGCCGAGCGGACGGGCGCGGAGGTCGCAAGGGCGGGTGTGGGGCCGGTAAGAACGGGGCCAGGCAGGCGCGGCGGGGTCAGGCAGGCGCGGCAGGGCCAGGCAGGTGCGGCGGGGCCAGGAAGGCGCGGTGGGGCCAGGCGGGCGCGGCGGGGCCAGGCAGGCGCGGCGGGGCCAGGCAGGCACGACGGGGCCCAGGAGGGGCGCGACAGGGCTAGGAGGCGCGACGGGGCCCAGGAGGGGCGCTAGGAGGCGCGACGGGGCCCAGGAGGGGCGCTACGGGGCTAGGAGGCGCGACGGGGCTAGGAGGCACAACGGGGCCCAGGAGGGGCGCGACGGGGCTAGGAGGCGTGACGGGGCCCAGGAGGGGCGCGACGGGGCCCAAAAGGGGCGCGACGGGGCTAGGGGGGCGCGACGGGGCCCAGGAGGGGCGCGACTGGGCTAGGGGGCGCGACGGGGCCCAGGAGGGGCGCGACGGGGCTAGGGGGCGCGACGGGGCCCAGGAGGGGCGCGACAGGGCTAGGAGGCGCGACGGGGCCCAGGAGGGGCGCGACAGGGCCCAGGAGGGGCGCGACTGGGCTAGGAGGCGCTACGGGGCCCAGGAGGGGCGCGACGGGGCTAGGAGGCGCGACGGCAGTTATAGATGGTGTACCGTATGAATACTTCTGTACAGTGCAATGAATCAAGCACAACTGCGGTGCTGATGGTTGGCGCTGACCAATCACAACTGTGTCTCGGAATGGTATGGTAAGGATCAGGGCCTCAGTTTGCAGGCTTTTTACCCTGATTCAGGGTAAAATCAGGGCTATTTAGGGGGGTGACCCTGATGAGACAGGGTTTTTTTTAGACAACGGCCTGAAATTTCAGCGTTTTTCTAGGAGTGGACTCTGATTGATAAGCGTGACAAGTGTAGTGAGGCCTGTTTTTTGGGGCCCGATCCTGATTCTTGTAATAGCGTATTCCTAGCCCCAACCCCCCCACCCGTGATTTTCGTGATTTCCCCCCCCAACCTCCCTGTCAATCACGCCGACTTGACTGTGACCGACCAGAATCCCGCCCCCCTGGAGAGGATTCTGCCATTCTTCATCCAGCACACAGTACTCGGCAGGTTCTCATAGGCTGTTCGAAAGTAGCCAGCCACTGCTGTCTCCAGCACATACCGTAGGTGACTGTTGATTCAGTGCGAAAAAATTACAACACCCTGCCCTGATTGATCAGCGTAAGATTTTTTGCGAGGCCTGAAAAAACAGGGAGCTAAAGGAGGGGGACCCTGAGCGATCAGCGTGCCCCAAAACGAATCTGAGGCCCTGGTAAGGTGTTAAAATTATATAAGTTATAATTTTATATAGGCTTGGTAGGTTGCTACTGAACCTTTCTGTAGGGGGTACAAACCCCTCCTTGTACTCCCTTCTCTTCCTAATCCAACCCTCTTTCTTCTCGACTTTCCTCCTACTCCTAGATCCGTTTTTCCTAGCGCCGTTCCATGGCGGCCTTGCTCCTATCCTAGCTAAGCTAGTGTCCTAACTTTAGGGACCTAGCATCCTAAGTTCTTAACATGGTATCAGAGCAGGAGATCCTTCCTGCTGGACTGCCTCCTCTCGCTTCCGCCATTTACTCCTCACCCTCATTCACTCCAGCGGCCATGGCGGCCGCGTTTTGCTGCAGTGGCGACGTCGCGCTGCCACTGGGCGCGTCGTGCCGCGACCGGCCCGACGCGCTGCTGCGGAGTCGGGCCGTCGTTCTGCAGTCGCAGCGTCGACGCCCCGCTGCGGCATCGACGCTGCCATGGCGGCCGCGGCGGCGTCACGCTGTGGCGTCGTCGTCTTTTCGCCGGCTGCGCCGTCCTGCCGCGGCCGTCTCGACACGCGACCGGGACGACGTCAGCGCGACGCCGCGGCTGCGCCCCTCCTGGGCCTCGTCGCGCCCTGCCTGGCCTCATCGCACCCGCTCGGCCCCGTCGCGCCCTGCCTGGCCCCGTCGCCCTCTGCCCGGCCCCGTCGCCCCCTGCCAGGACGCCGTCGTCCCGCCTGTAAGCGCCGCGCCATTTATGGCGCGACGCTGAAGACTCGCCCCGCCCCCCCCTCCCCCCCCCCATTCTCCCTTCCCCCTGCGTCTTCCCTTCCTCCTGTCGCAGCTGCTGTCTTCTGCCCGGACGTTGCCACATCGCCGAGAGCCCTCAGCCGCGGCAGTCGCCGCCTGTCGTCGGCGACCCAGCCGCCTTGAGCCAGAGCTCCGCGGCTGCTTGTCGCTGACCCGCCTAGACGCCGTCGGCTGCCTCGTGTACGGGGGTGTGTCAACGCTTTGCCTGAGGGTCAGATACCCGGCTAAGCACGAGCCTGAGGGTGTGCGGGGTTAGGGGGTGGGTTGGGTGCGGGTGTGGGGGTGTGAGTGGGCTTGACACTACCAAGCCTAGGGGGTGTGTTAAAATTATATAAGTTATAATTTTATATAGGCTTGGTAGGTTGCTACTGAACCTTTCTGTAGGGGGTACAAACCCCTCCTTGTACTCCCTTCTCTTCCTAATCCAACCCTCTTTCTTCTCGACTTTCCTCCTACTCCTAGATCCGTTTTTCCTAGCGCCGTTCCATGGCGGCCTTGCTCCTATCCTAGCTAAGCTAGTGTCCTAACTTTAGGGACCTAGCATCCTAAGTTCTTAACATAAGGATGGTATGGCAAGGTGCAGTATTGTTCCAACCAGCTGACATGCTGCCGCGCTGCTGACGCAAAAATGTTAGAGACCACGATTTCAAATTTGAGTTGACTGAAGTCGACCTTCGTCGGGATTTGGGTGCCTTCAGTGGCAACTGTACACGTTGGCTTGGCATGGCTCATGGTGTAGTAAGGTGTACAAACTCATTTCTGATAACAAAGGTATCTTCTTGACATACGAGGTGTTACACAACTCAGTGAATTTGACTAATGGCAAGGTATCCACAAATGCCACAAGTGGAAACGGTGAGATGGCTAGATAGCAAGCTGAGAACCACAATACCCTGACCAGCAGGCACAGGATACATTTCTTCAGGCAGTCAGACAGCAAGCCGCTATCCTTGGCTTCGCCCCAGTACAGGGTATGCGGTTACAATAGGAGGGCTATGTGTGGCTGGCAGGGATGTTTAGAACCTTCCATTTCAATAAGGGGGACAGCAGTAGCCGTCCGCTGATTGCAGCCGGAGCAAGGTGCGAGGGAGCTTAGGTACAATGATTAGTTGGCGTGCAGGGATTGGGTTGGGGAATAATGTGGTTGTTAGGTGAGGTTGGGGGTGGAGGGGGGGGCAGAGCAGGGGGGATACAAAAAGGTAGCTAATAAAAGAGAGGGAGAAAAAGGGAGTGGGCGTTGGTGTATGTCAGTTGGAGGAGAGGGGGAGGAGCGTGCGGGAGGTGACGCGAGGGGGGGTCAGTTGGAGGAGAGGGGGAAGAGGGGGGGGGAGGGGGGGGAGGGTGGGGGATGGGTCAGTTGGAGAAGGCGACGAGGGCCAGCAGTTTGCGGAGCCTCTCGTCCTTGCACACCTGGTTGAGGCGCTCCTGGGTCACGGCTCTGGTTAGAAGCACAGCGACAAGGGCGAGGAGAGCAATGAGACAAGGAAACGAGTCAGAGGAGGGCAGGCAGGGGAGCAGCACAGGAGCTGGGGTGGGCGTTCGGAGACGCAGGAGAATGGATGGGCGGCAGGAGAATGGATGCACGGCAGGAGAATGGATGGGCGGCAGGAGAATGGATGGGCGGCAGGAGAATGGATGGGCGGCAGGAGAATGGATGCGCGGCAGGAGAATGGATGGGCGGCAGGAGAATGGATGGGCGGCAGGAGAATGGATGGGCGGCAGGAGAATGGATGCGCGGCAGGAGAATGGATGGGTGGCAGGAGAATGTGTGAATCCATGTGTCATGCAAGTCACAAGCCACAAGCCTATGGGTACAGCACATACTTTTGCCTGGAGACACGAGCCCAGTACTCCGACTTGACAATGGCTCGCTTGAGCTGAGGCCACAGCAGCAGACAGTCCGTGCAGGCTGGTGGCAAAGAGGGGAGAAACACGTGGTTGGTTGGTACTGGGGAGGAAGTGCAGTGGAAGATGAAAGACGTGAAAGGGGGTTTGAGGTGTGTTTGGGGGGTGGGGAGGGGAGGAGAGGGAGAAGAAAGTAGCCAGGAATGTGTGGTCATGAAATGAATAGACCAGGGTGGTGAGTGAGGTGGCGGTGCCTGGAGTGGCTAGAAGCTAGCGGGTCCATCCTTTCTCGGGGAAAGAGTGGAAAGGGAGACAGCCATGGGGAGCGGAGGCCACGGAACAGAATATAACTTACATCCGAGGGTGATGTCCCAGAGCTCCTTGATCTCTGTCTCGCTACTAAACGAGTTGCAGTTGCGGTGCCCAAACTCCAGGAACTTGACAATCACGCCCAGCGAGCTGGGAAGCTTCTTGTAGGTTGCGAGGTCGAGCTTCTTCTTGATGATGTCTTCTGAGGAGAGCTGCAGCATCGACACGTTCACGCATGCCGCCATCGCCAGCGTCTTGTAGGTGATCTTAGGGTCCGTGCCTGTTGGGAAGGGGAAGAGAGCGAGGAGAGGCAATCAGTGAAGATGAGAGGGGAGAGGTCTTCAGTGAAGGAGGGAAGTCTTTTCATCAGGTCGAGCTTCTTCTTGATGATGTCTTCTGAGGAGAGCTGCAGCATCGACACGTTCATGCAGGCCGCCATGGCCAGCGTCTTGTATGTGATCTTGGGGTCCGTGCATGTGGGAGGGGGAGGGGGGAGGAGGGAGGTTCAGTGCAGGAAGGGGACCGAAGGAGGTGGAGGAGAGGAGGGACCAGAGGAGGTGGACGAGAGGAGGGACCAAAAGAGATGAGGAGAGTTAAGGAGACCAGGCACGTGTGGGGCCAGGCGTCCCTCCGGACCACCCTCGGCGGGCTCGGCATCACCAACCCTGCTGCGGAGGCAGCGCCAAGCTACCTGACCTCCGTCGCCGCTACCGCCCATCTCCTGGGTAGCCTCTCGTCGCTGCCCCGTGCCGTCTCCGACCTGCTGGGGCAGTTCCACCCCGATCCCACCGGCCGCACGCCCTTCCCCCGCCGCCTCTCCATTCTCGAGAACTCCCTGCCGCCTTCTGCGGCGGACCTTCTGCGCCAGGAGAGCACCTCACCAGACCCGCCCAAGCTTCAGCGAGCGCTGGTGCTGCAGGTGCAGGCGGAGCACTTCACGCTCCAGCTGGACCAGGCTCGCCGCATGCCGCTCAGCCCGCTCCAGGGGCACACGCAGCGCATGCTTTCCCTCATGGGCCCGGGGGCAGGCGATTGACTGCACGCCATCCCCTTCTCGTCCTCCCTCCGCCTCAGCCCCGGCCACTTCTCCACCGCCATGGCGTTCCGCCTGGGGCTCCCTCACTCCACCCGGGCGTCTGTGACTGTGCTGACCGTAACGACATCGACAATCCCCATCTACCCAACCACCTCCTGAGGTGCACTAAGGGGCCGGGTCGGACGGGTGCGCACCACGCCCTGCGGGATGAATGCGCGCGGATCGCCATCGAGGCGGGGTTCATCACGTGTGAAGAGACCAATCTCTTCACAAGGGTCTCCAATCTTTGGGTGGACGTGTTCATCCGCCACCCGGACTTGGGGGCGGTGCGGCTGTGTGACGTCATCCTGACCAATCCAATCTCCCCAGACGATCGCTTGGCGCGCAAAGGGACCGGTTGGGGGGCTAGGATCACAGCTCGGGGCAAGGAAAACAAGTACCGCCCGCCGGCCCGGGCGGAGTGGGTTGGCTTCTTTGCGATGGCGGCAGAGACGTATGGCTGCTCTTCTGCCGGCGTTTTTGGTTTTCTCAAGCAGTGCGCCGAGTTGGTGGCGCGCAGGCACCACCAGGCAGCCCCCACCTCGCGGGAGGCCGCGAAGCTGTTCCACGAGTACCGCCAGCGATGGTCGGTGACTCTGCAGCGGGGCCAAGCCGTGGCCCTCAACACGATCAACGAGGCTCTCGCCGCGGAGGAGCAGCCTTGGGGCGAGCCGGCGGCTCCGCTTTACGTGGGGGACTTGCTGCATGTGTTAGAGCCAGTGTTGGGGGACCCTTAGAGTCCCCTGGCCTGGGCTGTTAGGTCTCACCTGCTGTGCACTGTCCGCTGCCATGCCTGTACCCTACACTACCTAATACAAAGGACCAATTGAGTTAAGGAGAGGAAGGGAGGGAACAGGGAAGCGTCTCAACAAACGAGAAAGAAACGGATTCTGGGGCACAAAGCACAGTGGTGTGAGAATGGCTAGCATGTTAAGTCGCATTCGGAAATAGGCACGTCACACCCACCCCAGCAGTGCATAGAGTGAAAAAGGGAGAGAGGGAGTGAGAGGGTTGCTTACTCTTGACGCTGCTCCAAGCGCCCATGGATGCGAGCAGCGGCACAAAGTCATGCGGGTCTAAAGGCACCTTGATGTTGCGCCGCTGTGCCACATGCATGGGAGATTGGGAGGGTGTACAATAATGGACCGATGCACATGCAACTTGCGGACACACATACACGCGTGCGAACGAGGGGAGGTTTGAATAACAGCAGGTGAGAGTTTGACGGTGAGAAGAGATGCAAAGATGGGTAGGAAACAACAGCACAAGCATTAGGACTGGCAGGGAAGGCAGGCAGGACAGGCTGCATGGTGAGAGCAGATGAAGGACGAACGACTCACGAAGGAGAAGAGGTTAAGGATGACGTCAGCAGCCTGCATGAGGCTGGTCTGCCCCTCTGCCCCCGACCGCAGCTGCCCCGTCATGTTGGTGCGGCCCGTCTCCGCAATGTACTCGATCAGCTGCGGTGGGGGGAGGAGGGGGGAGGATGAAGGCGATGTGTTAAAGGGGTTGACGTGTGTCATGTTGGTGCGCCCGGTCTCTGCGATGCACTCGATGAGCTGCGGTGGGGGGGAGGGGAGTTGGAGGTGAGGGGGAGGGGAGTTGGAGGTGAGGGGGAGGGGAGTTGGAGGTGAGGGGGAGGGGAGTTGGAGGTGAGGGGAGGGGAGTTGGAGGTGAGGGGGAGGGGAGTTGGAGGTGAGGGGGAGGGGAGTTGGAGGTGAGGGGAGGGGAGTTGGAGGTGAGGGGGAGGGGAGTTGGAGGTGAGGGGGAGGGGAGTTGGAGGTGAGGGGAGGGGAGTTGGATGTGAGGGGAGGGGAGTTGGAGGTGAGGGGGAGGGGAGTTGGAGGTGAGGGGGAGGGGAGTTGGAGGTGAGGGGAGGGGAGTTGGAGGTGAGGGGAGGGGAGTTGGAGGTGAGGGGGAGGGGAGTTGGAGGTGAGGGGGAGGGGAGTTGGAGGTGAGGGGAGGGGAGTTGGAGGTGAGGGGGAGGGGAGTTGGAGGTGAGGGGGAGGGGAGTTGGAGGTGAGGGGAGGGGAGTTGGATGTGAGGGGAGGGGAGTTGGAGGTGAGGGGGAGGGGAGTTGGAGGTGAGGGGGAGGGGAGTTGGAGGTGAGGGGAGGGGAGTTGGAGGTGAGGGGGAGGGGAGTTGGAGGTGAGGGGGAGGGGAGTTGGAGGTGAGGGGAGGGGAGTTGGAGGTGAGGGGAGGGGAGTTGGAGGTGAGGGGAGGGGAGTTGGAGGTGAGGGGGAGGGGAGTTGGAGGTGAGGGGGAGGGGAGTTGGAGGTGAGGGGAGGGGAGTTGGAGGTGAGGGGGAGGGGAGTTGGAGGTGAGGGGAGGGGAGTTGGAGGTGAGGGGAGGGGAGTTGGAGGTGAGGGGGAGGGGAGTTGGAGGTGAGGGGGAGGGGAGTTGGAGGTGAGGGGAGGGGAGTTGGAGGTGAGGGGAGGGGAGTTGGAGGTGAGGGGGAGGGGAGTTGGAGGTGAGGGGGAGGGGAGTTGGAGGTGAGGGGAGGGGAGTTGGAGGTGAGGGGGAGGGGAGTTGGAGGCTAAGTTGGTACCTTACGTGACTTAAGCCCACGTACACGTAAAGTACGCGTAACTTTACGTGTACGTTACGTTACGCGTACGTTACGTGTACGTCGCCGGGCAGGCCTCAAAAAAATTTCCCGGGCAAAAATTTCTCCCTAAGAAAACGCGATTTGCAGCTACTACTAAGCTGTTCAGGGCTAAGCTACGGCTGATGCCTACGCTTCGCACTGATCCACCCCATCAATCTAAGTCGCAACTTAATTCGTTGCGCTGATAGTATCCGCGCTCCTCATAGTCGTAAGATGCTACGTAGTCTAGACTTGATTGTCGCTGGAGTAAGGTTAGCGATTGGCATTCGTCGACAGGGGAAGGAGAAACACATGTCGAGGGGGGTTGGGTTGGGTCAGGTAGGGGTTGTTCATTGGCTGGTTGGATTGCCGGCGCACCAAATTTGACGCGCACCAGCGACGAGATTTCGCGCATGCGGAATTTCGCCAAACAATTTTGTACTTTCGTCGCACCGCACTCGTGATAATCTTCTACTGTACTAGAAGATCAGAACCTACAAACGTTTTTACAAAAAGTCGACTTTCCATCCCCCCTCATTTTTTCCCTTGGGCAGCCTAAAAAGTTTTTGGCTGCCCGTACATACAGGCCAAAAACCAGAATCGCGTAAACGTACGTAAACGTAAACGTACACGTACGTAAACGTAACGTAAGGAACCAACTTAGGTTGGAGGTGAGGGGGAGGGGAGTTGGAGGTGAGGGGAGGGGAGTTGGAGGTGAGGGGGGGGGAGGGAGTTGGAGGTGAGGGGAGGGGAGTTGGAGGTGAGGGGAGGGGAGTTGGAGGTGAGGGGGAGGGGAGTTGGAGGTGAGGGGGAGGGGAGTTGGAGGTGAGGGGAGGGGAGTTGGAGGTGAGGGGGAGGGGAGTTGGAGGTGAGGGGGAGGGGAGTTGGAGGTGAGGGGAGGGGAGTTGGAGGTGAGGGGAGGGGAGTTGGAGGTGAGGGGGAGGGGAGTTGGAGGTGAGGGGGAGGGGAGTTGGAGGTGAGGGGGAGGGGAGTTGGAGGTGAGGGGAGGGGAATTGGAGGTGAGGGGAGGGGAGTTGGAGGTGAGGGGAGGGGAGTTGGAGGTGAGGGGAGGGGAATTGGAGGTGAGGGGAGGGGAGTTGGAGGTGAGGGGAGGGGAGTTGGAGGTGAGGGGAGGGGAGTTGGAGGTGAGGGGAGGGGAGTTGGAGGTGAGGGGAGGGGAGTTGGAGGTGAGGGGGAGGGGAGTTGGAGGTGAGGGGAGGGGAGTTGGAGGTGAGGGGGAGGGGAGTTGGAGGTGAGGGGGAGGGAGGAACAGTCTCGAGGACGCGTGTCATGTTGGTGCGGCGCGTCTCTGCAATGTACTTGATGAGCTGCAGAGGATGAAAGAGAAAGGAAGGGGGAGAAGCGGGAGGACATGTGTCATGGTGGTGCGACCTGTCCCCACCACATACTCGATCATCTGGGGGGAGGGGGGAGGGGGAGTTGTTGAGGGAGTAAACAGACTTGAGGACGTGTGTCATGTTGGAGCACTACACATGAGTAGCACAGAGGGAGATGCAGGGGAGGAGGGAGGAGCACTCACGAATCTGTGGCTACCGCGTTTGAGGATGGTGTTGCAACCCCGGGCCTCACTGCTTATGTGACTTTGAGTCATTAATAGTCCCCTCGTTACAATGTCACACTGCACTCACGAATCTGTGGCCGCCGCGTTTGAGGATGGTGTTGCAGCCGCGGGCCTCACTGCTCATGTGCACCAGGGCAGGCAGCAGGTAGCGCGACGCCAGCAGAGGCCTGCGGACAGAGTGGGATGGGTGAAGAGAGATGAGGGGGCGAACGCAGCACCTTGGGGTACCTCGCTGCTCACTGCTCATGTGCACCAGGGCAGGCAGCAGGTAGCGCGACGCCAGCAGCAGCCAGCGGAGAGGAGAGCACCAGGCGGATAGGAGGAGTCAGTACTACTCTATACACACCTTCACCCAAGCACACATCAGCAACTTCACCGTCAAGACCAGCTACCTGGTTTCCGACATCTCAATCCCCCATCCTCACCTGCCCTCGTCCTCGCCCTTCACCCCTGGCACGAAGCCCAGCCGCATTCTACGAGACACGTCTCAATCCCCCCTGCTCACATGTAATCTCTCCCTTCAAGCAGCGCGCACCTGTCCTCGTCCTCGCCCTTGACCCCCAGCATGAAGGAGGCGTTTTCCAGACATCCTAAGACACGTAAACTGACTCTCAATCCCCGCCACGCGCACCTGTCCTCGTCCTCGCCCTTGACCCCCAGCATGAAGCCCAGCAGCCGCCCCACTCTCTTGCGATGCGAGGAAGGCGCCACTGTCAGGTAGCTGCGGGGAGGGGGGGAGGGGGGAGGTAGGTAGGATGAAGGTTGAGGACGGAAAGACCGATAACCTGGAAAAGAATGAATCCGACTCATGTGACGTGATGACATGTGATGAGATGTGATGGGATGGGTTGTAAAAGGATAGAAATTGCTTTGCTGTGATGTTGTGCAGTTCTGGTGGCAACATAGTGATCGGTGGGCCGCTAGCGTGCTTGCGCATGTGGTACCTCCCCAATAGCTTGATGGCAGCAAGGACCCCATCGTGCGAATACCGCTCCCGCTCCTGCACACAGAAACACACACGGGACACAATTGATTAATGCAGACACGGTAAGCACACATCAGGACATCACACAAGACAAGTGACCACATGGGAATGCACAGGCGTGGTACGAGCAGAGAGGGCGCAGAGCAGACTGGCAGCTGGTAAATGAATGATGGCAGCCGGCCGACCGACACATACTGATGACGGCCGAGACATACTGATTACGCATCTATTGCTTTATACTCGAGTAAGACAACAAGTCTCTTCTCACCTGTGCGAGCTGCAAGAAAATAAGGACGTCCTTAACAATCGCATCGATTATCTTCACACACAGCTTCACCGTTTCAACCCCTAACCTCGCCACCAGCGCCTGCACCTCCTTCCCTCCCTCCTCCCCATCCTTCTCCTCTCCTGCTCCCTTCCCTCTCCCTTTCTCCGCCTCTGCCGCCGCCCCAGCCAAGGCACCAACGACCTTCTCAACCAGTGCATAGCAGTCCCCGAGCACCCTGTACAGCCTCTTAACCTCCTCCGGAGGTCCAGTCTCCTCTGGCACCTCCTCCTCTATCTGCAACGCCCCTGCATCATCATCCCCATCCTTGGGAGGTTCCCACACCATCTCATTGACAACAGATCTCCAGTCCTCGCTGGTAGGCACTAACGAGTTCATTCGTGTGATCTCCCCCTTGCCTAACCCCCCTGCTCTGCCCAACCCTCCCCCTGCTTTCCCAGCGTTTCCCGGCCCGAAACGGTCCAGATTGCCGCCCAGCGCAGCCCACGCCGCATCCGCGTTCATCTTGTCCTTTTCCTCGCCGTCCACCGCTCCCTCCCCCTCCTCTCCCTCCCCTCCCTCCCCACCTTCACCCCCCTCCTTCCCTTCCTCCTCCTCGTTCTCAAGGGTGAGCACAGCCAGTTCCTGCAACAACGGAGGCATCTCCAGCTTCACCGCCTGTAGCACCACTAGCAGGAACCGATCCGCCGGCGACGGCCGCACCGCACTCAACCCATTCACACCCACCCCGTCTCCGCTCCCCTCGTCCCCAGATTCCACAAGCCAGGCGTGCCCTTGAATCTCGGCCAGCACGCGCACGAGCTGCAGCGCGTCCTTTCTGAACTCCTCCTCGGTGCTGTCGAGGAGAATGCCGGCCAGACCGGCTCGCATGTGGTGCGCCCACTGCCGGCCCTCGCTGCCCGAGTCAAAGGTCTGCACCACTGACTTTACTGGCTCCTGAGAAAGGGGCATGGAGAGGCGGGTATAGACGGGCACAAAGAGAGGTGCTCATTGAGTCAACTTAAGTGACAAGGATGGCAGGAGGACAGCAACGGTAGGGATAAGGAAGATGGGAGAGGTGTTTTTTTTACCATCTGTAAGACTCGCTCACAACTGCTGCTTCGCCTGTCTTTACCTTTTCACCTCTTATCTCCAACCCCTCCCTTGCGCCCACCAACATCCACATACCACAGCCTCAGAGGAGAGCATGGCCACCAGCAGCGTGGGCACCTCATACTTGACAGCATGCCCCTTGTGCCCTCGTGCCTACCCCCTCACACATCAAACCAAAACGTACCGCAGCGTCGGATGACAGCATGGCGACGAGCAGCTTGAGCACCTCGTACTTGAGCATGTCCGTGCGCTGGGCCAGCTCGCGTGCTAGCGTGGGCACCTGGCATTAAAGTAGGGGGGTGGGGAGGGTGAGGGACGAGAGAGGAGGGGAGAGAAGGGGAGAAGTCGTGAGCACCTCGTACTTGAGCATGTCCGTGCGCTGGGCCAGCTCACGAGCCAGAGTGGGCAACTGCGGTTGGGAGTAGGCGGGTTGGGGGGGGGGGGAGGGGAGGATGGGGGACGAGAGAGGAGGGGCGACGATCTGAGCACCTCGTACTTGAGCATACCCGGGCGCTGGGGCACCTCGTACTTGAGCATACCCGGGCGCTGGGGCAGCTTGGGGGCTAGAGTGGGCACCTGGGGGAAAAGGGGGGTGAAGAGGAGACGAGGGCGGATGCACCTCAGGGAGTTGACTTGCGAGTTGACTGCGAAGCCACACGCAGATCGGCAGCTTGAGCAAGTCGAGCCTGAGTACGTCTCGATGCTTGACTTGACAGACACGCTACTCATAACGAGTCACGAGACTTGCAAGTTTGACACTAAATTGATTCTACACCCCTACTCCTCTTCCTGCCTGCACTCACCGTGCAGCAGCGGGTCATGCTTGTAGTACTCATGCGTGCATCTCAATCTCAGCGAGGCGTCAGCTCAACAGAGGCTGGCTCTATGCCCCTCCACCCCTGCTGGCACTTACAGCAGCGGCGAGCTCGTGCTTGTACTCGTACATCTCGATGTCCGACACGCCACTCATGAAGAGGAACCCCAGCAGCTGGATGGCGGACGGGAGGGACTCGCAGCCTGCCCAGGGAAGGGAGGGACCAGGGGGGAGGAGAGGAGGAGGGGGGGGAAGAGAGGAGGAGAGGGAGGGGGACGAGTGGGGCATTTGATTCAGATAACACCTGGATGGCAGGGAGGTGCAGCCTGGGGAACTTTGGGGCGAAGGGACTGCTGAATGTTCTCTGCCATCACTCGAACATGTGCACTGACGAGCCTTGTTAACGCAGTGACGTGTAACGCAGTGACTTGTAACACACTGTGCCTTGTAACGTTGTAACGCACCTGGCTCGGACCGCTGGATGTTTTCTGCCACCACCCCCAGCACGTCCGCGCCCTTGACCGCCTTGAGCCCCGCATCCGACCCCGTGGCCACGCCCAGAAGGCACTCGTACGCATCCACCGCCACCACTGGGTCGTAGCTGCGCCCACAGAACAACACGGAAAGAGTTAGGGGGTTGGCAGGGGGGAGGGGAGGAGGTAGGGGGTGTTTTGGGGAGTGGTGCGTAGAGGGGGATTGTTCTGGGGGCTTCAATAAGGAGCTAAAAAGGGGGGGGCGGGGGGGGAGGGGGGGGGGTTTGGAGGACAAGGGTGCGTGGCGAGGAGCAAAGGTCACAAAGCCGCACAGCAATGCACAGCAGAGCAGAGCAATGCAGAGCAGAGCAGAGCAGAGGGCGCAGTGGCGCACTGACCCGCTGCGGATGAGTCCGACGAGGTGCGGCACGAGCGGCATGGTCTGCGGCGCGTAGGCAAGGTCCGGCTCCTGCAGCAGCAGCGCCAGCACCGCTAGCGCCGCGTGCACCAGCTCCTCCTCCTCCACCATCCCGTTGGGGCCCGAACTTCCTGTGGTGGGGAGAGGTAAGTAAGTAAAACAACGGTGTAAGGAGAATGCCAGCCAGCGCGTGCAGCTGCACCGCCAGCTGCTCCTCCTCCACCACCCCGTTTGGGGCGGCGCTCCCTGGGGGCGGGAGAGGCGAGAGAAGAAGGATGAGGGGAAGAGCAGGGCGCTGGGGGGTGGCTGGACAGTTCGTAGGTAGCAGTTAGGGAAGTCTTTCCTTGCGAATTGCACATCTACACTGGTACTCTTCTCGAGTGCTCTACCCTAAATCCAGCACATCGCACACACCTTTGCCTACAGCCGCAGCGAATGCCTCACCTTTGGCTACAGCCACAGCGAATGCCTCACCTTTGGCTACAGCCGCGGCGAATGCCTCCTCGAGCAGAGCGAATGGCAGGGCGTCGTACACGTTGTTCATGTTGTCCACGTCACCGGACGCCACGTAGGCGAGCACCGCCACGAGGGCCATGGTGACCTTGCTCTTGTTGCCCGAGCTCAAGAGCTTCAGACACCTGTCCAAGCTGTCTAGCATCACCGGCTCGTCCTCAGGTGCCGCACGCTGGGAAGAAGAGGGGGGGGGGGGGGGGGGGGGGAGGGAGCGAGAGGGGGGGGAGGGAGGGAGAGGGGGGGGAAGGGAGGGAGAGGGGGGGGAAGGGAGGGAGAGGGGGGGGGAAGGGAGGGAGAGGGGGGGGGAAGGGAGGGAGAGGGGGGGGAGGGGGGAGTGGAGGGGACAGAAAGGGAACACAGCCGTTGTGACCTGCTCTTGCCGACCCAACTCGACAACTTCAGACACCTGTTCAAATTGGCCAGACTGTCCAGCAACACAGGCTCTCCTCAGGTGACGCGGGCTGGGGGGTCGGAGGGATCGGAGGGGACAGGGAGAGTGTGTAATTGTTCTGACCCTAGTTACTGGTTAACACTGCGTTCTTTATCTGCGTTCTTAAAATCACTGAAGCTTGTCATTGCCTCCCGCCTTCTCCACTTCTCTCGTTGCATGTCCCTCTGCCGGCTTCTCGTTGCATGTCTCTCTGTCTCCCGCCGTTATTCGCGCACACTCACCTGCGGAGCCACGGGTGAGGGAAGAGTCTCAGCAACATGCGCATCCTCAACCTTCTCGCGCTCCTCCTCCCCTCCCTTTCCGCCTGCCCCCTCCTCGTCTCTCCGTTTCTCATCCCCTGTATCCGCTACCGCCATCGCAAGAGCAGCACTGCCGCCCAAACCAGTGCCGCCCAGCCCAGTGCCGCCCAGCCCAGTGCCGCCCAGCCCCTCGCTCACGGTCAGCTCCTGCATCTCGTGCTCCATCGCCTGCTCTTCCATCTCCTCCTTCCCGTGTCTCACGCCGGAAATCGCGGCGGCAGAAGCGACGGCTGCTGATGGCAAACTTGCTAATTGATCATCCTGCGGTTGCAATTCCTTCGAGGGATTCTTCTCCTGCCCAATCGACGGTTGAGATACGCTCTGCTCCGAGGAGCCCTGATCCGACGGCGAATTTTCCGCGATTCTCTGCGCATCCTTCGGCTTATACGCCGACACAGCCTCGTCATCGCCGCTTATATCCATCCCCACCGCCGCTGACTCACTTACAGTCACTCTCTCTACAGTCACATCACCACCATCTCCTAAAACAGCTCCTTCGCTAACGGTCTGGCTCAACCCCGCTCCAGACGCCTGATCTCTCGCCGCATTCTCCTCCGAAGCGGCAGCCTTGGCAACCGCGTCGCTTTCCTCTGAAGTTGCCGACGCGCGAAGCGGCGACTTGTTCGAGCGGCTGCGCTGCGGGGAGCGGTCGGACTTGCCGCGTCGCTTCGAAGCCGCGACGCGTCCCGGCGACTTATCCCTTCCGCTGCTGCTGCTGCTCATGCGATGACTCAGGTCCGAAGCCAGGTGGAACGGCGAACTCGCCCTTTCCCGCATGCGACCGAGAAACCCTCGCTTCAGCGGGGAGGAATGGCCGCCTGCGGTCCCGGACTGCTCCGCATTGTGCCCGGCGGTAGCGTCCGAATCTGAGTCGGCTTTCAAGTCCGGAGAGGGATCGCGAAGCGCGCCATGTGCACCGTCCACGTCCGTGCGAACGCTGTTGTGGAGGATGTTTCGTTGAACGTTCTTTCCGCTGGCGGCGAAGGGCCAGACGTTGCGCAGGAAGGCGCCGCCGCAGGACGGCTGGCCCGAGATGCAGGGCACGTCGGAGATGGGATCGACGTCGCTCTCGTGCGACTCGGAGTCCGACATGACCTGCTTCGCGCGCGCGGTGTCGATTTGAGCCAGGTCGCTCGATGGTGCTGGTGATGCTGATTGTTATAAGCGGAATGCTAATCTAGCAAAGCGGATACAGAAGAAATTGAGAAATGCAGAGGTCCTGCTGTAATGCAACTAACGCTTAGCCTAGGAACGCTTCTCGCGGACAATTCAGGGAACAGCAACGGAAATCGCTCAAACAACTGCTAAAACGAGGGTGTCAGGCAAGGCCGGCAAGCGCAATCCAACACTGATACGACATACTACGTCCAAGTCCAGGCATTTTTAAGGTAAACGCACAATCTAGCGGCTCCTACAAGCGGCATAGTGGAACAGATTACAAGCGACAGCACTTGTCATGGACATTGGCAGGTGTTGAAGTGGTGGGTGGGTGGATAGACGAGCAAAACGCAAGCAAGTTTGGAGCAAGGTGCAGCGAGCGAGTGGAACTGTAGCAACGGCTTTTGTTGGGTGAGGGGACGGAGAGGGAAGAGAAGAGGACAACCTCGAGGTGCGGGCAGAAGAAAGGTGAAGTGAACTCAATGGAGGCACACAAGGCACACGCACACGAGAGGAAAAATGTTCCCTCAATGAGGGAAGAGTGACACAAACGAAGGTTAGGTCGCAGTCCTACAGGCGGAAAGGCGGCGGCGGGTGCCTGCGCCTACGTAAGTACGACTGGCGGATGGCGCAAGACCGAGAGGTAGAATCTAGGGGACATGTGGCATCATCTTACGGCAGGAACAAGAAATTAGGTGGGCTTTGAACGGGCGGATTGGCTGCGGTTGGTCACGGGATGTGGAAGGGCGGGGGAGGTTTGCGGAAAGACTGTGCGCAAAGCGGTCTGGGGCGAAAAAAGGCAAGGCCTCCTGGAGAAGCCCCAGCTTTCCCGGAGCAACGCTCCAATGAGAAACTTTTAGACAAACAAGATAAACGCTAGCCCCTTAAAGTTTGGGGAAATACACTAAATGCAAATTATGCATACAAACATGGACTAAGTGCATTTCAACCCTTTTGGGATGGCTATGCGAGGCTTCTCTGGGCAAACGGGAGGTCTGTGACTGCAGCTTCTTGGCCTTCCACTAGCACAATAATGCCCTCTCCACCCTCTTGCTTCTTGATGTACCCCAGGGCAAGGTACTCGCAGGAACTTGTGCCATCATGGACATGGGGGCCATGAACACAGCTTGTGACCTTGCCAATCTGCAAGAGAAATAAAATTTCCATCAAGCATTGACATTGATACAAGCGGAACTACAAAGCGCAGTATACAAGGGGTTATCACCTTGGCTCCTTCCTTGCTTGTGATGATTGCACCAACAGGAACGGGGTTGGCAAGGCGAAGTCCCCAAAGCTGTTGCTTCACCCCGTCATAAGTGATCAGTCTCGCAATGGTCTCTTGACCCATATAGCAGCCTGCAACCAGACAAAACGGGCAATTAGCTACCACCTGACAGCACCAGTGGAGGAAGGAAAACAGGCATGGATGGAGGGGTATGTGAACAAGCGGTCGTCAATCCTTGGGGATATGGCGGAGATAAAGCAAGAGAGGGGCTTGGGCTTTATATGAGACGCATGGGCAGGCGAATGCGACCTTTGGTAGTGGAGACGCATTGGAAGAGAGCGGCCTCCAGAGGGTTGAACTCATCCGTGAGCTCCGCCCCTGGCATGGGGCGGCCTGCAAAGGGGGGGAGACCAGGGCAGACAGTAGGACAGCGACGAGGGCAGAGATGAGAGGGGATGTATAATGTGTTATGAGGAGAGATTCGGGTGATGAGGGGCAGAACACGAGGAGCAATGAGCAGGGCGAAAGCAGGCGTGAAGGAAAGGCAGCGTCGGAAACATGAGGCATGCGCACCTTGCTGGACTCGCAGCCTCTCCCAGGCTGCTGCTCCAATCGGGGTGAGCCCAAGGCCGTCGGTGAGGTGGCTCCACACGCGGCCCGCGACATCAGCGGACAGCATGAGCAGGAACCCGGGCACAGAGGCGCCCAGGCCACTGCCCACGCCCACTGTTGCTGGCGCTCCCTCAACCTGAGGGAGAGAAGGATGGGGAAAGAGGAAGGGGGGAGAGGGAGCGGGTGGGGGGGAGGAAAGCGCGCAGCAATTAACCAGGTAATAAAATATGCATAATAACTAGTACGCAAATTCAGTAGCATATGCTGCAGAGGTGAAATGAGAGTGCCACACGTTAGAAGACAGGGCAGAGGAGCGTGCATATGTGACTTGTGGGCTATAGCTGCAGGGATGCGCGGGTGAATAATGCCTGCACGGGTGTATAACGCCTCCATGGGTATATAATGATGGGTGTATAACGCCTGCACGGGTGTACAACGCCATCATGTTCAGTGGTAGCGGCAAGGATACAAGAGCCATGTGCTTACAGCGAAGTGTGAGTGAGTGCCCTCGGGCTGCCCCAGCAGCTGACTCAGACCGAGCTTCTCCACAACCTGCAGGGCAGAGAGGCAAGCAAGCCGGGTGCCAGAGCATGTGGGAGGCCAGGGCGTGTGTGGGGAGAAGGCATGCGTGGTGGCGCACGCGTGGTGATGCGGTGTGCGTGTCATCAGAACATGAAGACATGTGCTGACGAGTGACAATGCCAGAGGGAAACCGAACACAAGAGACAAACGGAAGGGAACGTCAAAGGAAGCGCAGAGAAGCACAAGGGGAAAGGGGGGAGAGGAGAAGTGCGAGGGGAAACGGAAGAGAGGTGGAGCGAGAGGGGAAATGGAGGTGAGGGAAGAGAGCGACAGACCACTTGTGCCTGGGGCCCGATGAGGGCGAGCAGCTTGGTCTTGTCGGAAATGTCGGCCACGGATACCTTGTCAGCTGGGAAGATGTACCTGCCAGGGAGGGGAGTGCGGACAAAGAAGGTAATTGGAAGGTGGGATAGGGGACGCGTTAGGCTAACGAGTGGGCTGATGTGCATGCGTAAAGCAGACTGCAGAGAGGTGATCCGTCTCAATTTCCCTAGGATCGTCTCATCTTTCGTTTCATCTTTCGTCGACTCCAGTTTCCCTCATTGTCTCACCTGTCCATGGTGGTAACGAGCTGCTGTGCTTTGCCGGGTGAGACCGTGAGGATCACGGAGGTGGCCTGGGGAAAGAGAGGGAGATTAAATAGGAGGAGGGGCGGGGAGGGGGGGAGGGAGAAGGGGAGAGGAAGAAGAGGGCGAGGAGAGGAGGGAGAGCGAGAGAAATGTTAGAGAGGCAAAGAGAGTGGAATGAAGGTGAGGAGACGCAGTGAGCTGTGGTGCGATGGCAGATGTGATGGCAGGAAAGATGCACGGCAAGAGGAAGGAACGCACGGCTGGGTGGACGCACGTGGCCATAGTTACGGAGCAATGTCGCAGTGCAGAAATGCCATGATATAGCAATGTAGCAAGGCGGCCGTTGAGCAACAGAGGAAGGCAATATAGGAAGACACGGAGGGTAGGCTCAGTCTTCTAATCCACGAGCCAAACATGGGGCACTCACCATGACCCATGCACTCACCATGACCCATGCAGTGGCGAGGTCAATGGTTCGTGCCGTTGGTGAGACAAACACGGTCATGCATCCCTGCAGTGCCACGTGGTACCATGCCATGCAACAAAATGCCAAGTGATGCAGTGCCATGTGACGCAGAGCCATGTGACGCAGTGCCATGTGACGCAGTGCCATGTGACGCAGTGCCATGTGACGCAGGGCCATGTGACGCAGTGCCATGTGACGCAGTGCCATGTGACGCAGAGCCATGTGACGCAGTGCCATGTGACGCAGTGCCATGTGATGCAGTGCCATGTGACGCAGTGCCATGTGACGCAGTGCCATGTGATGCAGTGCCATGTGACGCAGTGCCATGTGATGCAGTGCCATGCCATGCAATGACATGTTGTGCCAAGCCAGGAACGCGCCATGGAGTGGTATGGCATCAAGAGTTGCCGGAGGAAATCAGTAGACCAAAATACGAGATCCAGCGTGCTCAATTGGGAAAACACGCATAGGCTTATCAATACAGGCAAGGCATGCTCGCCCTGGTGCGTGAATGTATGAACGCGGAGTCTCAGAAGGGCACTTGCCTGGCCAGGAGGAATGGAGTTGAAGTCAGCTGTGGTCTGGTTGTGCAGGAAGCGGATGCGATCGTCCCCAGATACTGCCACCATGGTGCCACCAGGAGGGGAAGTTGCACGAGCAGCTCATGTGGCTAGATTGTGGGGAGCATGTCTTGTAGCGAAAATCGGGGGAGCATTCTCATCATCCGCGATCTTCCAGGCTTCACGCTCTAGCATACTTGTGATTCGTGCTTACCTTTGATTCTGCCAAAGTGAGACATGTCAAGGACCTGAGGCAGGAGCGAGATGGGAGTGAGAGACGCAGACACGGGGAGTGAGAGACGCAGACACGGGGAGTGAGAGACGCAGACACGGGGAGTGAGAGACGCAGACACGGGGAGTGAGAGACGCAGACACGGGGAGTGAGAGACGCAGACACGGGGAGTGAGAGACGCAGACACGGGGAGTGAGAGACGCAGACACGGGGAGTGAGAGACGCAGACACGGGGAGTGAGAGACGCAGACACGGGGAGTGAGAGACGCAGACACGGGGAGTGAGAGACGCAGACACGGGGAGTGAGAGACGCAGACACGGGGAGTGAGAGACGCAGACACGGGGAGTGAGAGACGCAGACACGGGGAGTGAGAGACGCAGACACGGGGAGTGAGAGACGCAGACACGGGGAGTGAGAGACGCAGACACGGGGAGTGAGAGACGCAGACACGGGGAGTGAGAGACGCAGACACGGGGAGTGAGAGACGCAGACACGGGGAGTGAGGAGAAGGGCGGAGAAGGGTGAGGCGGGAACAACGACGAGGGATAAAGACAGGCATCAGATCGAGATTGAAAAGTGGCATGCCAGTGAAGGGGAAACAGGAGTTACCAAGGCGTGGATTGGACTTCTGGGCAACGGAAGAGCAATAGCAGAGAATCGCACGTGCTTGAACGGCAGCAGCTGGCGCGGATGACATGACACTGCTTTTGAGTCGACTCAAAAGCAGACTCATTACACGCGGTTTTTACATTGACAACAGACATGACAACCGACTGGCATGCACCAGGCGGGCGACTTACAGCGACGGAGTTGAGGGCTGCGTCAATAGCAGCGTCGTCGTTGCCGTTGAACGTCAGCGGCACCCCTTCGGCGTCAAACTCCGCTCCATACTCCTCCATCGCCTCCTGCTCGCACAGGGATATCATGGGGACGCGCTTGCTTGCGCAAAAGAACGGAAATGTCTATGCGGAATGAACCTGTTCACAGGTTAGAAAGAAGCCAGGCTGGAGCTCTGATGACGAAAGACCGACGTTGCTTCAGGCGAACGCACCGTCAGATCGCCGTCGATAGGCGGAGGGGCGATGTCGAGGTCAATTTCAAGGCTCGCAGCGACTGACACGTGTCGCTTGGCCTGTGCGCTTCTTTCCACCAGCCTTCGTGACAACGGCGACCCCATTCCTTTGACTGGACGACAGCACTCCTGAGAAGAAATTTGCACGGGGAAAAGACGGGGAAGACGAGAGACTGATAAGGAACATGGCGACAGCGATAGGTGAATGGACCGGAGACGTTCGTTGCGCGCTCGATCCTCTTCATGTGATAATGAGCATGCAAGCAGGATGCTGAAACGTCCTTCGGCATCTAAATATTTACGTTTAAGATCACGAATTGATCCGCATTGACCCGCGTCATTGCTCCCGCCCTGATCGCTGACCTGGATGCGAAGACCATCGTATCGCGTGCGACGGGTGGCAAGTTGCTGAGAAGCGGTACTTCTAGCATCGCTCTTGCTGCGAGGCGCGAGTGCGCTGTCTCTGATCGCGCTAGTAGCCACGACGGGCGATATCGAAGCCATGGCGCGGCAACCTACAAGACAATACGACTCTATTCGCAGACGAGTGCAAAGTGCGATGCCTGAAGAGCTGCGTTGCTACTGGCAGCTCATAAATAGAACTGCTGAAGTCTCGAGTGGCACTCAGGGAGAAGATGAAGTGCAGCCTGCCTGGGGATGAACGGTACGAGCTAGAAGGGAGATGAAACTGACATGGCTGCTTCTGGAATGTGGAAGCGCGTACGATACATTCCCAAGGCGTACAATACAATGCAATCCCAAGGTGGGCTTTGATTTGATGCATCGTACAGCCGCGAGGGACAGCTGAGCTGACTATGACAACACCCTGACCTGACACATGCGCCGAAGTTCGCGAAAGTGCGTTCGCCGGATGGCGAAAACAGCGATATAGCCCTTGCGACAAAAAGTTGGCACAAATTCCACGTGTCCCTGACCGAGTCTGCTAATATAAGGAACAATGTCTTGGTTTGCCTTCACCAGTCACAGTCCTCCCATCCCTCCTCCTCAACCCTCAAAACCCTCCCAAACACCGCCCATCCCCTCTTTCCCGGCTCTTTCTCAATTTAGTACCCTAGTTTTCCGTCTCAGTCCGTCTTATCCAAGTGACTGGAGATCGGTCACATGGAGATCGACGCCGTGCATCTGTGCGGGTTACCAGGAGGGTTACAGGAGTCCTCCTGGTCCGTGGTAGGCACGCGGAAGGAACCTCCTGGGGTGTTCATAGGCGCCTCTAGGGTCGACGATTCCACTATCCTGCTCTCCAGGCAGTCCGACGGCGCGTCCACATTCTCCGTCTCTTCTCGGGTAGGTTTTCGTCGCAGCGTTTCAGCCTGAAAGCGATCGTCTTCTCCGTGAAGGCGATCGCATTCTGTTCTGCCTGGAGGCGAATCATTCTCTTTCCGTTCTCCGTATTCTCGTCTCCGCGCATGGCCTCTGACTCCACCCTATTGCTTACCTCTCCATCGCGTCGTGCTCCCCCCACCGTTGCTCCCGCCATTATGGACCAAACCCTTAACCCTGAACCTTCTTTTACGTCTCTCCCCTCCCCCTCCCCCTCCCCCCCCACCCCCCCCCTCCTCCCCCCCTCCCCTCCCCCCCTTCCCCTTTCGCCGGTCCTCCCCAGACCCGGCTTCGCGCGTGGCCTCTGGGTCCGCCCTCGCACCGCTTCGCCTCCCCGTGTGTCTCCGACTGGGCCTCCCGGCGCCACTACGCGCTGCTCCAGGGTAGGGGGGAGCAGGGGGGCGCGCAGGATCAGGGGGAGCAGGGGAGGGGGGATGAGCAGATGGTGGTGAGCTGGCCCTTCGGCGCATCCTCCATAGCGCCTTCCGCGCTCCTGCACAAAACAGGAGCCGCGGATGGCTGTCACGCGATGGAAGCCGATAGGCCGATCCACTGCCTGTTCCCCTTGACGGCTAACCGATCGTCCGATGAAGCAGGTACGGACGGAGCCTCCTTGCATTGTTTCTAATTTTCGTTCAAATGCTCCGTGCACGGCGCCAGACTTTCTAATGGAATCCCTTCCGCCGCCTTGCACGATTCACTGCTCCCTACCACCTTCTCTCCTTTCCGAGGAGTCTATTTTTGAGGCGCCTCAAAAATAGACTGCTCCCTACCAGCTTCTCTCCTTTCCGTTCCAGGCCCTCCTTTCCCCATCTTTTGACCTCACTCTGCCTTTTCACCCTCTGCTTCCCACGCATCCTTCACGTTACCAGACGGCAAGAAGCCATCAGACCAGACCACACCCGGCACCAGCACCACCACCACTGCTACCGCCACTCCCACCGCTTCTGCCGACACCTCTAGCCTCCCCTCCTCCCCCCATTCCTCCCTCACCCACCCCTCTCCCCCCCTCCCCCCCTCCGGGGGTGTTCTCGCCCTCTGCGCGGACGGGTCCATCCGAACCTACTCCCCGGACCTCTCCCTGACCTCGTCGCTCACCGAGCCTGCGGACGGACCGAAGGTTCGGGTGGAGGCAGCAGGTTCGGGGAGTTGGGTTGGGCACACGGGTGATGGAACGGGGGAGAGTGAGTGGGTGCTGGCGGTGGTGGTGGGGGAGGAAGGGGAGGGGAAGAGGGATGGGCGCAATGAGGAGGAAAGTAAGAGCAAGAGCGGTGCGACAAGGGTTGTGAGGCTGTACCATGTGGTGTGTGGGGCGGCCGGTGCAGACACGACAGACGTGGATGTGATGGCGCGAGGCGACGCGCATGGGGAGGTGCCTCTAGTGAAGGTGACTCTGCTGAAGACGTTCAGGGTCAGGAGTCCGGGGCAGAAGCAGGAGGAGGAAGGGGCGGGGGGGAGGCAGGAAGCAGGGGCTGCAGCAGCAGCTGCGGTTGGTGGTGGTGCTGGTGGCAGCAGGGCAGAGGGACCCAGTGTTGTGGCTCTCTGCGTGGGTGACGCGGGAGAGATCACGGTGCGTGGACTGTTCAACTGAAGCGACCAACCGTCTGGGAACGGTTCATCCTTCGCTCAGCACTGACTTTTAAAAGCTAACTTCTGTCCTTCGTTTTATTGCTATCTTTTTTCTTTTCGTTTCTTGCTTTCTCTTTTTAATCTGTCTTACTCTCCCGTCATCTCTTTCTCCCTACCAGCTCCTATGGAGTGACGCCACGTGGCAGTGCTTCCCCAACGCCATCCTGCCCTGCGCCCCGCCGTCTGACACCCCCAAGGACGCCGTTACTCCCCCCGCTCTCCTGGAACCTTCCCTGGTACGGAGCCTTGCAGTGGCTGCAACACAGGTGGTACCTGGGGGCGGCGCCACCCACCACATGATCCGCTCATCTACCCATGGGAGAGTGGCAGCTGTTGCCATGGCTGCTGTGCCCGAGACTCGCTACTGCGTTGTCCTCGCTGCCAAAACCCCCTCAAACCCCAAACCCCCTGCAAACGCCAAACCTCCTCTAAACGCCGCAGGCGACACACCCCCCTCGCACCTGCCGCTCTATGCTATCGCCTTGGATACGCTCTTTGGCTGCGTGCACGCCTGCACCCCCCTCCCCTCCTCCTGCTCCCTCCCCTCCTCCCTTCCCCCCTCCCCCCTCCCCCTGCCCCTCATTCACGTTGAATGGGTGGGCCCGTCCCCAGAAAACGCCTCCCTGCTGGTTACGACGCCAACTGCAGTGCATTCCTTGCACGTGCACTGCCCCCCTCTCTCCCTTGCGTCGGTCTTAGGTGCTTTCCAACCTGCTGTCCCCCTGCTCTTGCCCAACGAACCTGCTTCCGAGCCTGCTTCCGGAGCAGCAAGGGCTGCTTCGGTGAAAGCAGGGGGGGTGTCGGCAGGTGTGGTAACTGCAGGGTGGGGTGGTTTGGCTGCTTCTGCTGCCAGGGCGGCTGGCTTGGCGCTAGCAGACAAGCAAGGGCCGGGCGGCAGCAATCCACTCCAGCCGACTGGGTGCTTTGTGGGGCCCAGTCTCCAGGACTCTGGTTTGGTGAAGAACCTTCCAGGAAGGAACGTGGGGGAGGAGAGTCAGGGGGGGGAGGACGAAGGGAAAGGGGGAGCGGATGGGGGGAGACCGACAGGAGAAGGATCGAAGTCGGGAGGAGGGGAAATGAAACGGAAGCAGAAAGAAAAGAAGAAGACGAAGAAGACACGTGGAAAGGCAAGGTTTGGCAAGTTGCATGCGGCGTTGAACCTGTCACGCGCTGCGGATGGCAGTGGGCGACAGTGGTTGTCTTTTGTGGGCAGCGAGGCGGAGATGGCTCTGCTGCTTGCGCTGGAGGGTATGGCTGCGAGGGGGAGGGAGGGGGTGGAGGGGGGGATGTCGCCAGGGAGAGAGCGTGCGGAGGACGGGGAGGAGAAGAGGGAGGAAGGGGAGGAGATGGAGGAGGGAGAGGCGGAGGAGGAGGAGGAAGATGAGGCAGAAGAGGAAGAAGAGGAGGAAGAGGTGGGAGAGGAGGGAGAGGAGGGAGAGGAGAGAGAGGAGGAAGAGGAGGGAGAAGGGGAGGGAGAGGAGGCTGAAGAGGAAGAAAACGAGGAGACAGTTGAGGAGGAGGACGCGTACCAGAGGGCATTGGAGCAGGCAGATGGCATGGCGCAGGGGAGCAGCAGCAAGGAGCGGCAAGTCCCCTCCAGTGAACACCAGCACGAGCTGGCCCGTCTCATCCTGGACTGCGCCCAGCAGCTGTGCCGGGAGAGTGGGCTACCACCCAAGGCTGGCCCGAACCCAGCCAACGCAGGTTCAAACCGCCAGAATGCGTTGGCAGCAGCGGTGACCGAATCTGTGCGTCTCTTCTCGCCCTCCGTCGTGTCAGCGCTGACTCAGCATGCGCTGGCACGCTCCCATGGCATGCTGCTCCGAGCCATCATCAGCTCCGGCCAGGTCACCTCGGCGCTCTGCCCGAACCTGGTGCCGAGCCTGGTGGCTCGGCGGGAGGCGGTGGTGCTGGAGAGCTGTCTGGTGCACGTGGGGGACCTGCCTCCCCGGCACCTGGCCCTCATCTTGCGCCAGCAGCTGGATGCTGCTGTGGCCCACGGTGGGCACAAGGGAGCGAGGAGCACAGGAGACAATGCAGAGAAAGAGGGGAAGGAGGAGAGGATGGGAGGGAGGGAGGGAGGGGAGGTGGATGGGCAGGGCGGGTTCAGCAGAGTGGCGGGGCTGAGGAGGCTGAGGGGCAGGAGCGCCATGGCAGGTGTGCGGGCAGTGCTGGCAGGCGTTGCGCAGGGCTCAAAGGAATCCAAGCAGCGCTTTCAGGCCAGGTTCCAGTCCTTGCTGGCAGCTGCGCTGACGTCATCTGCTGAGCTGGATGCGTTCACCGATGCCGAGCTCGCCCTCCATACAGTTGTCGCCGTGCCATTCGACGACACGATTCTCGCGGCTGCCCTGGCGCCGCTCTCCCTTCCGCACGTCCACTTCCTCTTCTCCTATTTTGCCAAGTGGGTCGACGTGTACTCTGCCCGCGGCTTTGCTGCTGAATTCCCAGCCTACTCGGTTCACGACGCCAGGCCATTCCTCCCTGTTCCCCGCCTGGAGAGGATATTCACCTGGGTGTCGACTCTCGTCGATTGCCACATCACCCGGCTGCTCATGCTCCCGGATTGCCTGGAGCCAATCGCGCGGCTCCACCGGTGCATCATGGAGCAAGCGTCGGTGGATAGGAGGCTCACGCCGCTGGTTGGGTTTGTGCCGCATGTCTTGGCGGGGCTTCCTCTTCCTGAGAAGCAACCGAATGGATATGGTGGTGATGGCAGTGGAGGTGCTGAGAAATTTGGGTTGGCTGTCCAGGTTGTGGAGCTGGACCTTTGAGGCATGCGCGTGATGTTATTGCCATGGCAATGCATTCGTTCATGGGTATTTTCTTCCGGTAAAAGGTTTTTCCTCGGTCATGTAATACGCGTACTGTTAGTTGTGCATTCGATCAACCAACGTATTCACCCCTAGCTGGAGGGTCCCCAAAAAAGCCACCCACTGAACTTGGGAATCTTTCTTGCGGTCGATATATTCTCGCGTAAACTCTGTCGTTGATTGGTCATTCTGGTTCTAGCCCTCATAGCTCTAAGCACTCAAGAAAATATTGCATTTTCTAATGTAATTGTTATGAATGGAACTGCCGAGTAGTGTGGAGGGAAATGGAGAAACTGTGAAAGAGTGAATGAAAATAAAATGAAAGACAATATAATATATAGGAAACCTAGGGCGATCCTGGACGTAGGTTCGGAAGGTTCGGGAAAAGTGTCGAAGGGCCTCGATGTGTCGAAGCGTAAGTCCGGGAAGGGCCAGGAGGCTCGAACTGAAAGGTCTGGAACCTTATCGCTGGTTCGGGACTGTTCGAGCCGTACGCCTTGTAGCAAGCCTCAGTATGGAATTCTAATTCCTTACAGTAATGACTCGAGTAACAAACCGGCAACTGGTGTGGCAGACAGGGTGGTCCAAGCAGACTTGCGGGCCTTCCTTGAGAGCTGTGTGTTCGGCCACGCAACAAGCTGACCAATCATCAGTCTCCAAGTTCCCAAGTCCCCCGACCACTTGCAAATGCCACGCCCAGCCCTCGCTGCACTTTTAGCCAGCACCTGGTCAACTCCAGACTGAACACGTGTCATGTTTACTCCGTTTCGCCACCACACACCGACTCCCCTCATCGTGATTCAGATCGTTCCCCTCCACCCGTTCCCTACACCCCTCCCCCCAATCGCGTCATCGTGATGACGTGACAATCTCCATGGCTGGTTACTCGCCCCAACCTCACACCTGGCTGGCTTTTCCTGCTTCCTTTCTGTTCCTCCTCTCCCTCCTCTCCCTCCTCTCCCTCCTCTCCCACTTCTCCCTCCTCTCCCTCTCCCTCTCCTCTCTCCTCTCTCGTCGCTGCTCTGTAGCTTCCCCCGAAAGCTCCATAGCGCCACTGATTCACTGCTGAGGGAACAACAGCCGCCATTGATCCCGTCCTTCCGCTGATTGGGTGGGTTGTTCCTCGAAACTTGCGCAACCGGCCAACCCGACAGCGCGGAGCGCTGCGCGGAACTGTCCATTCCTTGCTCCTCGTCCTTGGCGGGAGGAAGGATTTTACCTCTATCGTGGGTGGTTGGTTGGCTAAAATCTGGGCTTGTCGTCGTTCGTTCTCATTATTCCTTCACAGCTTCGATCACTAGCCCGTCTATTTTCACCACAATCTCTTGTCCTACAAGTGTTCGAGGTCTGTTAAGGTTGGTAGCTCCATACGCACTAAGCTCGCGCTGTGTTGCCTCCGGTTATTGGACTAGTCGACCCTTATTTGACTAGTTGACTCTTGGTAAATAGTCAACCCTTCTGCGCAAATGGCTACAGCCGCGGCTGCACTCGCCTCTAACGCCGGCGTCGCGAACGCCGTCAACTCGCTTCCTAGCCAAACCTCCTCTCCCCGACCCCAGCTTCCCTCCTTCGCCTCCCTACCTCACCTCTCTGGCTTTAAAGGCCGACAAGTAGCCGTTAAAGCCCATGCCGCTGTGCTAAGTCCAGGTCAAGCGCCTCGCAGCGGCGTACAGGCGTCGAAAGTGGAGAGCGATGGCGAGAACTGGTGGGAGAAGAACATGCCGCCCAACATGAGGGACCTCAACTCCACGCAAGAATTCGTGGAGGCGCTAGGCGAGGCGGGGGACAAGCTGGTCGTGGTTGAGTTCTTCGGCACCTGGTGTGGAGCCTGTCGAGCCTTGTATCCCAAGGTGAGCGCTGCTGGATGATGTGATGGTCGAACACTGTTAGTTCAGGCCGGGTGCGTTTTTGTCGTTGTCACGTCGCACGAAATCACCAGGTGAGCACACGACCGATTCTGACACGATTTTGACAAAAAAACGCTCTTCCACACACAGGATATGCAGAATGGAATGAATCCCGAAGCATAGTACGAGGAGCTGTCAATCAATGTTCTGGTTGGGGTCGGGTTTACCTGAGTAGGGATTAGGTTTCTAGCCTGCGGAGTCCCGTCCTTAGTGTTATGCTATGACGATGACAATGGTCATGTCTATCATTGCATTAGTGTGCAGTCTCTCGATGAGGTACTGAAGTTGCCCAAGTTCGACCTTATTGCATCCGACGATTCTGACTGGTCAACATTTTTCGTTCTTGTTCCTCCACCACCCATGTCCAATCCCCCCAGCTCTGCAAGCTAGCCCTGCTGTACCCGGACGTCTTGTTTCTGAAGATTAACTTCGACCACAACAAGCCGCTCTGCAAGAGCCTCAACATCCGCCTGCTCCCCATGTTCCACTTCTATCGAGGAGCCGAGGGCCGCCTAGACGCCTTCTCCGCCTCCATTGCCAAGGCAAGCACGATGCTGAAACTGACATGCATGCACGCCCTCTCTCGTAGTCTGCACGATCTGTATTTACTTTGTAGTAACTCCTCTCCTATTAAAACAGGCCTGCTCATGGGCATTCTCTGCACTGCACATCTTAAAACATGTCATCTAATCTCTCCTAAGCGTCTGCGTTTCCCTTGTTTTCTTGCAGATCCAGAAATTGAAGGACGCCCTTGCAACCCACAGCACAGACCGATGCTCGTTGGGCCCACCGACTGGTCCTGAGCTGATCCTCCATCCCGATGCACCCGTTGCTGCTCCTGCTGCATCTGGATCATCATGAACAAACGTCCAGTAGAAACTCACTTCATTATTCGTTAATGTTATATTCACTGTCTATTGTAGTTTGATTTGCGCTTCATTGAGCACGCTATTGCGTCACATGCAGTACAAGGTTTATCAGTGATTGGATGAAGGTAAGTTGTGTTGATGAAATTCGTAGGAGGGTATGCACACTAACGTGGTGTGTCTATCGTGAGTGTGATATGTAAGCAGGAGTTGCTTGCACATGAGAACGGAACGATTGGTATGGTTATGGTAGTACATACTGTCAACTTATACATATTATCTATGTAGAAGTTATAGGCTAGACTGAGGTATGCTTCTAGTGAGTACAACCAACTAGTATTTGTTCTAGGTTTCCACCTCTAGTAATCATTCGTTTCTACGTTAACATGGTATCACGCTTAGGTTAGAATCCCCCCGCTGGGCCCCGTTGCGCCTCCTAGACCCCGTCGCGCCCCCCATGGGCCCCGTCGAGCCCGCTGAGCCCCGTCGTGCCTCCTAGGCATCGTCGCGCCTCCTAAGCCCCGTCGCGTCCCCCCCCTCTGGGCCCCGTCGCGCCTGTTCGGCCCCGTCGCGCCCCTCCTAGGCCCCGTCGCGCCCGCTGGGCCCCTTCGCGCTTCCTAGGCCCCGTCGCGCCTGCTAGGCCCCGCCGCGCCCCCCCTGGGCCCCGTCGCGCCCGTTAGGCCCCGTCGCGGCCCCCCTGGGCCCCGTCGTGCCCGCTGGTCCCCGTCGCGCCTCCTCGGCCCCGTCGCGCCCCCCCTGGGCCCCGTCGTGCCCGCTGGGCCCCGTCGCGCCCCTTAGGCCCCGTCGCGCCCGCTGGCCCCTGTCGCGCCTGCTGTTAGCGCTCGCCCGCCTGGCCTCCTCCTAGTGCCGCTCGGCCTCCTCCTAGTGCCGCCCGGCCTCCTCCTAGTGCCGCCCGGCCCCTTCCTAGCGCCGCCCGGCCTCTCCTCAGCGCTGCCCGGCCCCTCCTCGTGCCCGACCGGCCCCAGCAGCACCAGCCTGGCCCCTCCCAGCACCAGCCCGGCCCCAGAGCACCTGCCCGCCTCCCCTGCTCGGCCTGCCATGTCCTCTCGGGCCCTGTGTCTTCTGCTTGCCTGCGCTGGGACGCCTAGCTGCTGCCCTACTAGAGAGTGCTGCCGCCGTGTCCCCGCGCCGCTGTGCTCCTGTGCCGCTGAGGAGCTGTGCTGCTGTGCCGCTGTGTCGCTGAGGAGCTGTGCCGCTGACCCTGCACGATGGCTGACTTTGTGCTCCGCCTGGACGCTGAGGGCCACGCGGTTGACTTCGCCGCCTGGCTCTCCGATCTTCGCCGCCAGCTTACAGGTCAGCGCCAGGATGGCCACTCTCTGGTTGTCCATGCTGATGGCTTGCTCCCCCGTCCCCCTGCACCTACTCCCCTCCCTGCTGACCCCTCCTCTGATGACTGTGAGGCTTTCTCTACTGCTGCGCTGGCCTGTGCGATCTGGGACTCACGCGATGCAGTAGCTCAGGTTGCTATTAGTCACGCCCTCCCTGTGTCTGAGCGCTCGCGTTTTGCTACTGTTGAAACGGCCAAAGCTTATTTAGACGCCGTTATTGCTCGCTATTCCACCCCTGCCTCCGCTTCTGCTGGCCGCTTGCTCTTTCCGATGCTGTTCCCAGACCTGGCTGCCTTCCCTACTGTCGCAGATTTTGCCACTCATTTGCGTGCCCTAGAGACTCGCTATCGCACTGCCAGCACTGCTGCCCAGCTCACTGCGCTCCCCCCTCCTTTCTGCATGACGCTCTATTTTATCGCTATGCGCCTGCCAGACCGCCTCGCTAGTGCTCGCGACCACTTTCTTAGCCAGCACCCGGGTGACCTCACCCTGACCGCCTTTGTCGACACCCTCACTGAGATCGAGACTCGCCAGCGCACTATCGCTCAGTCGAGCGGTGCGCCGCCAGTCTCTATCTTTCACGGCTGTGCCCCATCCCCGTGCACGTTCACTGACGTTTCGGCTGCGGTCGCCACGGCGACCCCTCTTACCGAGACGGCTGCTGCTGTCCACCCGCAGCAGCGCTCGCGTCGCGGTGGCCGTGGCCGCCAGGGAGGTAGGGGTGGTGACGCAGGTGGTAGTGGTCGTGGTGGTGGTGACGGTAGTCCGCCTGAGGGGACTACCACCGGTGGGCAGGAGCAGCAGTCCCAGCAGCAGCAGGACCAGCCCCAGCCGCAGCCGCCGTCCCAGCAGCACCCGCCGCAGCCGTGGGCTCGTCTCCCGCCTGGTTGGCCCGGCACCTCCGGAGGCGGTGGCCGTGGTGGCGGCCCGCGCAGCTTGGCGTCTACCAGCGGCTCCAGTGCTGTGACCTGCCAGTACCAGCTTCAGACCGGGCCTCTCCGCGGCACTCTGTGCCGCCGCCCGCACCCGACCGCCCGCTGTTTCCGCCGCCTCGACGATCTTTTTCGTCGTCGCTTTGGCCCGGCCCCGGACCTCCCTGACTGGCACAGCCTGCTCCGCCAGGGCGTGCCGATCTTTGAGTTAGACATGGATCAGATAGGTGCTGCTTTGCATGCTTTGTATGCTGACGCTTCTAGTGTTGATGGATCTTACTACCCTGTGTACTCTAGTTTAGGTGTTTCACCCTTGTGTAGCTTAGCTTCCCCTGCTGCGACAGGCGTAGGACTGCCTAGGTTGCCTAGTCTAGTCGCTGCACCGGCTCCGTCCCCGGCCCCCGCCACTGCGTCGCTGTCCTTCACTCTCGACTCTGGTGCTTCTGCCTGCTTCTTCCGCGACCGTTCCACGCTCACGCCGCTTGCTGCACCTGCTGTTGTCTCTCTCGCTGACCCCTCTGCGGGTCCGGTCGTCGCGCGCAGTTCTACGTCCCTTCCCTGTCCGGCAGTTCCCTCGGGCTCCCTTACTGGCCTCCACGTTCCCTCGTTCTCCAGGAACCTGGTTGGTGTCGGCTGTCTCCAGGACCTCGGCGTCACCACCACGTTCCCCGGGCACGAGCGGTTCGCTGTCTGTTCTGAGGCTGTCTCAGGTTCCCCCCTTGCGACGTTCCCCCGGGACCCGGTGTCCGGTCTGTTTACCCTACACACCGCTTCCCCCCCGGTTGGTGCGTCCTCCCAGGTCGCTGCAGCTTGCTCGTGTCGGTCCCTCACTCACCCCTCCCTTCTCTGGCACCACCGCTTAGGTCACCCTGCTCTCCCGCGTCTGCGTCACATGTCCCAGCACGGTCTTGTCTTGTGTCTCCCACGTCACTCCCCTCCCGTCGGTTGTCCCCGTTGAGGAGTCTGCTGACTCTGGTGGTACCCCCGGTCCGTCCTTGCCGCGTCCCCCTTCCCCGGTGCCTCCGCCCCCACTGTCGCAGTCGCCGACCCCGCTGCCGCCGCCGTCGCCGTCGCCGCCGCAGCCGTCGCCGCTGTCGTCGCCGCCGCCGCCGCTGTCGCTGCCGCAGCCGTCGCCGCTGTCGCCGCCGCCGCAGCCGTTGCCGCCACTGCCGCCGCTGCTCTCGGCCCCTGGGGGTGCTGGTGTGGAGGAGGGTGTTCGTCCTGCGGCTTCTGGGGGTGCCGCTGGTGTTGGAGGGGGTTCTCGCTCTGGGGGTGTTGGTTCTGGGGGTGCTGCTGTTGAGTGTTCTGCCGACGGTCGTTCTGCCTCTGCTGGTCCGAGAGTTCCGGCCCAGCCGTCGTCGCCGCCGCAGCAGCCGTCGCCGCCGGTTTCCGCTCTCCGCCTGCTCGGCCTTCCCTCCCCGGACCGCGCGCCGGTGTCTCCCCCACCGCCTCCTGACCTCCCTGTCTACGGTCCTGTGTTCCCGCCGCCAGACTCGTCTCCGGCCCGTCTTCCTCCTCGTTCCCCTCCTGTGTCTCCTCCGCTGTCCCCTGACCCTACCCCTCCGTCTCACGTTTGGGCTCGCCGTCCCTCCCGTGCTCGTCCCGTCTCTCCTGTCCTGCCCACCCACCCTATGTTGCTCCGTTCCCACTCGTCTCGTCCTCCCCTCCTCCCGTCCCCTCCTCCCTCGTCCCTTGCTGTTGCACCTCCTCCGTTCTCTGACTACCTCCGTGCTGCTCGTCCCCTTGTCCCTCGGGTCCTTGCCTCTCTTGTTACCGACCCTGCTGTTCCTGTCTCGCGCCTTGACGCGCTTGTCGCTGCTGTCGCTGACTTCGCTTCTACCCGCCGCCTTGACTACGCTACCGCTCTGGTCTCTGACCCTGCCCGTCCTCTGTCCGTCGGGGGTGCTCCTGCCCTTGGCAGTGACGTCCTAGAGGACAGGCAATACGAGCTGGCTTTCCTTTCCGAGGCTGCTCCCCATCTCTGCTCCATGCTGTTAGTCCCTGAGGGTGACCCAGACGCCTTCGACATCCCGACCCCTCGCACCTACGCTGAGGCCACCTCGGGACCTTGGGCCTCTCAGTGGATAGCTGCCATGGAGCAGGAGATGGCATCTTGGAGATCCACCGGCACTTACGTCGACGCAGTTCCCCCGCCTGGGGTGAACGTAGTCGATGGTCGGTGGCTCTTCAAGGTGAAGCGCCCCCCTGGAGAGCCGCCTGTCTTCAAGGCGCGCTACGTGGCCAGAGGTTTCAGTCAGCGCGAGGGGGTTGACTTCTTCCAGACCTTCGCCCCGACCCCGAAGATGACCACTCTTCGGGCGCTGCTACACGTAGCAGCACAGCGTGACTACGAGCTTCACTCCCTCGACTTCTCTACTGCCTTTCTTCAGGGCAGCCTACACGAGCAGGTCTACCTGCGCCGACCACAGGGCTTCACTGGTACCTTCCCTCCTGGGACCCAGTGGCTTCTCAGGCGCCCGGTCTACGGCCTGCGTCAGGCTCCCCGCGAGTGGCACGACACGCTACGTGCCACGTTAGCAGACCTGCAGTTCTTTCCGTCCTCTGCTGACCCTTCACTGTTTGTGCGTTCCGGCCAGACTCCGTTCTACATCCTTGTCTACGTAGACGACCTGGTCTTCGCTACTCCTGACAGGGACGCACTGGCCTCTGTGAAGGCTGAGCTGCTGAAGAGACACACTTGCACTGACCTTGGAGAGCTGCGTCGCTATCTTGGCCTGCAGATCTCTAGGGACAGAGCAGCACGCACCATCACTCTGACCCAGTCACACTTGGTGCGTCAGGTCCTTCAGAGGTTCGGTCTTCAGTTCTCCTCCGCACAGCCCACACCTCTACCCGTAGACCATGGGCTCTCTGCTCCCGTTCCTAAGGAGCCAGTAGAGCCCAGTGGCCCCTGCGCAGAGCTGGTGGGTTGCCTCATGTACCTGATGACTTGCACTCGCCCAGATCTCGCATACCCTCTCAGCATCCTGGCTCGCTTTGTGGCTACAGGCAGACACCGACCTCAGCACTGGTCTGCCGCTAAGAGGGTTTTGCGTTATCTTGCTAGTACATCAGGCATGGGGTTAGTGCTAGGAGGACGCAGGCCAGTGGTCCTTACTGGGCACACAGACGCTTCTTGGGCAGACGACGCTGAGACGCTCAGGTCGTCGCAGGGCTACTGTTTCAGCCTTGGTTCGGGTGCTATCTCTTGGAGATCCACTCGCTCGTCGTCTGTGGCTCAGTCTAGCTGTGAGGCTGAGATCTACGCTGGTGCCATGGCGGCACAGGAGCTCCGCTGGCTGACCTTCTTGCTCACAGACTTAGGTGAGCGGCCTAGCTCTGCCCCGGTCCTGTACGCTGACAACAGGGCCATGATACTCCTGTGTCAGGAGCCTCGGCTTGAGGGCAGAGCGAAGCATATCCAGCTGCGGTACTTCCTCCTGCGCGAGCTACAGCAGCGCCGCCAGGCCCGCGTAGTTCACTTGGCCTCAGGTGCCAACACAGCTGATATCTTTACTAAGGCGCTTGCGCCTAAAGATCATCAGCGGCACTGTGTACAGCTTGGTCTTGTTCCTATAGCTGCTCCCCTGTTAGGATCCTGATTGTGTACTCTCTATTATATATGCTTGTCAGACTGGCCTTGTGGCCTTACCTCCAGTGGCTAGACTAGTAGTGCCACCCTGGCTTGCTTCAGTTTTGGTTGTATTCTTGCTGACTGGTCTCCAGACCCCTGCCTCAGTGGTTGGACTAGTAGTGCCGCCCTGAGCTGTTTGCTTCTTGTTTAGTTTCACCCCTTGTCTAGCCTAGGGGGTGTGTCAACTTATACATATTATCTATGTAGAAGTTATAGGCTAGACTGAGGTATGCTTCTAGTGAGTACAACCAACTAGTATTTGTTCTAGGTTTCCACCTCTAGTAATCATTCGTTTCTACGTTAACACATACAAGCTCCCAGCTGGATCATTCTGCAGCTCCCAGCCAGGACAGGGCACAAGTTCGTTCTACCATCCATGCACCCACAGCCACCGGCCCACCGCCTATCTAGTCCAACCTCTTGATCTGTAGGCACCTTCTTCCCACCCTGAACCTCTCCTTGCTGATGCTAGTGACTCTCCTAGCCATGCATGCAAGTTGCTATCCACACACATGGCAACAGGGAACACATTTGCTGAGCAGTTAAGCCCTACAAGCAAGCACGCAACCTTTCTCCGAATTGAGGAACAAAATGTGATGAATTAGAGTCATTTCAGGAGGAATACGGAAAGTTATCAGGAGTGCACTGGTCATGATTGATGTGAGCATTTACGCACTAGCAACAATCTGATATAGCATGTTAAGCATGCTGGGGGAAAGGTGTATCACTTATATCATCACCAGGGTTCAGGGGACAAGAAGGAACAGTCGGCAAATATCTTCCCTGTCACCACCTTCCCTCACGAACTTTCCTTCAGATTGCATCCCGCTTCACGCTTTGCATTCATCCCTCTTCAGATTCGGCAGCAGATTCTTTCTCCACGCATTCCCTGTCGTTGCCCGTCTTCTGACACACTCGTCATCCTCACACATCCTCATACTTGGCATCGGAGGGCGACGCTTCGCTTCACCGCCTAGGAAAGCGGGATTCGTTCACCGTCTGTCGCCATGGCTGCGATCGCTCCATCCGCGTCGCTCCCGTCGCATCTCTTTTCGCTCAAATCCAGCCCAACGGGATCGCTTCGTCGGGCTGCGAAACCCCTCCCGCCAGTCGAAAAGTTGTCGCAGGTCTCGCAACAACCGAGGCGACGTCGCCCGGCATTCGCGAGAGTCGCAGCGCCGGAACCCGAACCACCCAGATCTCGATCCGTCGCTCAAAACTCCGCGCCGTCGAGCAACACCTCCGCAGCAACCCCACCTCCGTCTCCGTCTCCGTCTGCGTCTACGTCTCCGCCGCTGCGCGAGCCGCCGGTGGAGAAGCGGCTGTTCGAGCACGTGATCGAGGCGCAGCAGTTCAGCCGCGACCTGCTCTCGGAGATCTTCGAGGTCGCAGACGAGATGCAGCACATCCTCGAGGGGCGCGGCGGCGCGGGGTGCTCCGACATGCTGCGCGGGTACCTCATGGCCACGCTCTTCTACGAGCCGTCCACGCGCACGCGGCTGTCGTTCGAGTCCGCCATGAAGCGGCTGGGTGGCGAGGTGCTGACGACGGAGAACGCGCGCGAGTTCTCGTCCGCTGCTAAGGGCGAGAGCCTGGCAGGTGAGGAATGGGAATGAAGGAGCAACGGGAGTAAAATCGCACAAGAAATGAGAAAACAACAACACGCAGTGGACGCGAGTTCTCGTCCGCCGCTAAGGGCGAGAGCCTTGCGGGTGAGCGGAAGAAAGAGCGGGTGGGCTGGGAGGGAAATGAAGGAGCACTGGGAGTACGAGGCGACGAGAAATGAATGCAATACAATGAACGACGACTGGGTCTCAACGGGGTTCGCGAATTCGCGAGGTACGTTGACCTGGTTTGAAAACGCGCATCCGAGAAAGGCAACAGTCCGGCGCAAGAACACCAGAGGGGTGAGAAGAGCCGAGTGGCAAATCACGCGAGCCACCAGCACTACCGTCCTTGAGTATTACTTGGTTACTTTTGAGTCGACTCAAAAGTCAAATCACGCGAGCCACCAGCACTACCATCCTTGAGCATTCTCATGAAATCACTACTATCCACGTCCCTTGTGCTCCCTCCGGTCGCTTTTCCACAGGCCAGGAGCAAGCACCTTTCCCATTCTGCTCTTCCCACTCATTCTGCCGAACCTCTCTCCCCACCATTGCCCTCTCTCTCATTCCCCTCTCCCCCCTCCTCCCCACCCCTCTCACCTGTGGCAGATTCCATCCGCACGGTGCAGGCGTACGCTGACGTCATCGTGCTGCGACACTACGAGGAAGGCGCGGCGAAGCTGGCGTCTGAAGTGGCGTCGGTGCCCATTGTGAACGCGGGGGACGGGCCGGGGCAGCACCCCACGCAGGTGAGAGGTTGAGGGGTTTAGGGCTGCACCCCACGCAGGTGAGGGATTGAGGGGTTTAGGGCAACACCCCACGCAGGTGAGGGGTTCAAAAGAATGTGAGCTTGATTGAGGAAATCACATTAACATTTCCAGTTTACTTATAGAAGCTCGGCAGGGTTTGACGTTCAGGGCGTAGGGAACGGGGTTTTGGAACGAGGTCGTATAAGAAATGACAGAAGGATCAAACATTGCCGACAGACCTTATCATTGCTTCTGTTTTACCCTTCTGGAAAAGTTAACACATCTCTGCCACCCACCTGGGCACCATCCTCTCCCCCCTTCCCCTCCCCTCTCCCCTTCCTTCCAGTCACTGTTGGACATGTACACCATTCAGCGCGAGATCGGGCGACTGGACAACATCCGCGTGGGGCTGGTGGGCGACCTGGCGAACGGCAGGACAGCGCGGTCGCTGGCGTACCTGCTCTCCAAGTTCAGCAACAACAAGATCATTTTTGTGGCGCCTGAGGTCGTCAGAATGAAGGTGCGCGGCCTCCCTCTGTTTGCTTGACTGGTGGGCATTCCCTTCCTTCAGCCCCCACCTGTCCGTTTTCACCCCTCTGTGCCTCGAAAACCTGACCCGACTTCTGTCCAGCGTTTTGTAGCTTGCCCTTTGGCCGTCACCGCACTGCGTTCCCTGCCCCCTTGCTCTCCCAAATCCACATTTTCACCTTACCAGAGCAACGTCAAAGAGTATCCGACTGCTCACGGTGTGGAGCGAGCGTGAGGAGTCCCCCGACCTCATGCACTGCTCTGTCCGTTCCACCCCCTCCCCCCTGGCACTCTGCCCTGCCGTACCAGGACGATATCAAGGACTACTTGACCACCTGCGATGTAGAGTGGGTTAGTCCACGGACCTTATGGTCCACTCTGCCCTCCCCACGCTAAACCCCGTAACCCTTTCCCTCGTGCGGCCAGGACGACATCAAGGACTACCTGACCTCTCGCGGCGTGGAGTGGGAGGAGTCGTCGGACCTGATGGACGTGGCAGTGCAGTGCGACGTCATCTACCAGACGCGCATCCAGAGGGAGCGGTTCGGTGGGCGCATGGAGGACTACGAGGCGGCACGCGGCAAGTACATCGTGGACCGCCGCGTGATGGACGCACTCGGGAAGGATGCCATCGTCATGCACCCGCTGCCCCGGCTCGACGAGGTGAGCGGGCGGAGGGGCCTTGATGAAGCGAGGGGAGGAGGGGTCTTGATGAGGTGAGGGGATGAGGGGTGGGTTGGTGAGCACTTAATTCATGCCCCTTAGAAGAATGCAATCGTCATGCACTTGCTGCCCCGGCTTGATGAGGTGAGTGGGAGGAGAGGGGTAGGGGAAATTGGCAGTTTTAGGGGCTTGAAAGACAGTTTTATTTGTTTTTTCTCAATAGTTGTTCCCCCTACAATTTCCATGCAGATCACCACTGATGTGGACTCGGACCCTCGTGCTTCTTACTTCCGCCAAGCCAGGAACGGCGTGTACATTCGAATGGCGCTGTTGAAGTTGTTGTTGATTGGTCGTTAGCAGGAAGGCATGGGTCTAAAGGGTTTGATGGGGCTTTCCACGTGAGTGTTTTGTTCAAATGAAAGGATTAGGTGGTGTTCATTGTACAACGTTATGCTAAGAGTTCGGGTATAGCGCGGACTCTTCTGAGGGGGGTCTGACTTTCGCCTTGTCGAAAAGCCGATGAGAATGTGAGCAAGTCTGCGATATCGATTGGATAGTCCGAGATTCGAATCGACAAGTTCAGTGCCATGTTCGAAGCTACAGTAATCCGCTTGAGGTGACTAGTGTGGACCATTTCCAAGGAATGGGTGCAACGCCAAGGAAATCAGCTTTCTTCGCTTAGCGGGGGATGACCCCCTTGTGTACCGGAAAATCACCAACTAGCGAAGAAGTGAAGCAACTTCAACCATTAGCGAACAGGGGCATGACAAGCACCACACAGGAACGCAGCTGAGGGGAAGGCGGGTGGGGAAAGGGAACCAGAGAGTGAATTTCCGGCACAATATGTGTGTGATGGGGATCCGTGCAGCACAGCACCTCCTACGTGGTGATTTTCAGCCTTCAGGGGAAAAAAACCGGGCGATGTTGAAGCCGAAAGTTCTCTGGTATTTGTCGCCTGGAACAAGTTTTGCCGAACCTCTCAGGGGTGAATTCTTGTGAAGACAATTTCAAGATAGCCCGTACTGTATAGATCTTGTTTGTTTGTTTGTTTGTCTGTACCCCCTCCTTCGGCACTGTGCACGCGCACTACTGCGAGATCAGCAGATTCGCCGTTGTCCCTTTTGAGACTTTCCATCACTGTTCACAGATTGAGGGGAGAACCAGCCTATCAGCTGTTCCTCGTTTGGCCTTGCGTAACTGCCAGTGACCAAGGCATTTCCTCCAGTGATGGCTTGGCGACAAGTGGGTTGGTGGGCGGAGATGGAAGCAGCAACCGCAACACCCTTTTCCAGCTGGATACAGCTGCTTTAGCCTTTTTCTTTTGGATTTCACTCAGTCAGCCTTGGAAAGTCGGCGCCGGATCCCGCACTATGGGGGCGGGTGTTGAACGATAGCCTGCCTGATGAGGCTTCGCTGTAGACAAATGGCATTTTTTCGGAAGATCCCTTAAGAGTCACAAAAGATTCTTGGACCTCTAGAAAAAAGGGGAGTGATTTGTAAAATAGACGATTAAGTAGGAGAATCCGCATTCCATAGCGTCAGTTCTGTATGGGTAACTACTCCTCCAAAACTAGTTCTCCTTCAACCTGTTCATCCAAGTTTCACCACCATTTTCTCCTTCTACTGTGGAGGGAGTTGCGTGCTGTTGCTTCAGCGGAACTTGCAACACGCGTGTCCCTAAATGCTCAGCCTGCATCATCCATGTCTGTGGACCTGGTGGGCAACAATAGGGGGTCCTGGGAGTGAAATCGAGCTGTTAGAAATGCGATGCGAGCCCAGCAACCTAGCAGCCATTGTTTCTGTCGACAAGGTTGTTTTTATTTTCAAGCCATTTCTTTGCGCCAGATCCAGCAATTTCTCCTAATCGACGAATGAGTTTTTTTTTTGTTCGGCGTCCTATCATGGTTCGAGCAGTTGAGATGACGGGCAAATCTTAGGATTTAGGTTCTACATTTACCCTAAAAATAACGATTGCGGATGCTACATAAATTATCCCTAGCTGTCAACATCACAGGCATTCCGTAGCTACCCCTAAGGCACCGTCTCGCGTTTGTATCAGAATTCCATTTCCTAGTAGATGGTTCTTACCGATAGCAACTCACCTACCAGTAATGAACCGTGCTACTATTAGCTCGCCGGCTGCGATGCTCGATTGAGGCAAGAGGCTCTCCTTGAATGGGAAGAAATGGCGGGTCAAGGCAACTGTCCGCTCGCAGCAGCCGTCGCAGGCTGGATGGAAGAGAACGAGGACTCGGAGCGCCGCTTTAGGGACCTTGATATATCCAATTTCGCCAACTCGGATGATTTCGGAGGCTCCAGACCTAGTTACGGCAACGTGGACATTGTTGGCTTCCACAACGCCGGCGTGGGCTCCTTCGGGGGTTCTGATGACGTGGCAGTGCGTTTCGGTGGCGCTGACCTGGCCCCGGGTGACTCGGACGGGTCGTTCGTGCCGTGGGACCCGGAGGTGGATGACGTGGATCAGACGTTCTATCCGTTCGTCATCGAGCCGAGAAGACCGCCTCCTGGCGTGCCGTTTGACCCCGCGGTAAGACGCGATCCCTTTCATCCCGATGACAGACTCCATGTCCTCTTCGATCCGTGTCTTCGATCCGTGAGCCTTGATGATTTCCGCCTTCCACCCCGCCGTCCTTCCACCCCGCCACCATGAGGCTCAATTCCGCCATGGCGATGTGGCTTCAGATGCACATTCACTCTCGGTTCTTCGGCGCAATTCCCCTTCGGCAAATGATCTGCTAGGTTCTAATCAAGACAGTCCGTTAGTCTCAACCTGTTAATTTTAACCCTCTAGCCGCAGCCCGCTAATCTGAGCCTGCCAGGCTGAACCTGTGTGTGTGGCGTGCATGTGTCTGTTGTCCTCTCTGCCTGCTCCGTGCGACCATCCATCTGACGCCGCTCCATCCGCACATCCCCCCCTACAGGGCGCGCCGAGGCCCAGCAATGAGGTGCCAGTTAGGCGACTCAACGGATTCCTCTCCTCTCCTTCCGCACACCACCCCTCCCCTCCTTCCCCCCCTACAGGGCGCGCCCAGGCCCAGCAATGAGGTGTTCCGCTTGCAAGTGCTCCGCCGCTTCGCCATCCTCGACACGGTATGCCACGCCCCCACACCCCAATCGCCCCCACACCCCAAGCTCACACCCTAATTTCCCTCACATCCGATTTCCCCTCACACTCCAATTCTCTCGATTCTCAGACTTCAGAACCCCCTCATTCCCTCACACTCACACACCCATTCCCTCTCGCGCCCACCCCGTCATCAGCCCCTTTACTTCCAGTATCGCTCTTCTCTCCTTTTTTCTCTTTTTTTTTTCCTCTCCCTTTCGCATGTAGTCCCCCTCGTTGTCCGCACCACCCCCTTTCCCCTCCCATTTGTCACGGTTCACAAGCGACTGGGCTCACATAGATTAGGGATGGCTGTGGCCCGAGTCTCGCGTGATTCCTGATGGCTCCTCTGCTCGGTATTGTCACGCCTGCAGGAGCCGAATTCCCGTTTCGACAGAATTACAGCGCTTGCAGCACAAATATTCAAGGTGAGTTGCCCCCTCCCCCCTCCCCCCACTTCCCCCTTCCGTTTCCCCCACTAACCCCCCCCCCCCCCCCTCTTCAAGCTCCTCCCCCTCTTCCCACTATCCCACATCAATGTTCTTCTGTTATCAGCATGCCACCACTTCACTCATTTGCCATATCGCCCTTGCCATGTGCCTGCTTCTTCCACCTCTACTCCCTCTCACCCCTCCTCACCCATCTGCACCTCCTGGCCCTGCAGTGTCCGATATCTCTGGTGGCGTTTGTGGAGGACGACCGGCAGTGGTTCAAGGTAGGGCCTCCGTGCTTGCCGCAGTCGGTCAACAGAGCACCTCACTCTCTAGCAGGGAGGAGATCCGAGCTTGGCCGTCTCTGCATGCCTTCTTGCCATGGCTTACGGTTTAGCCTTGAGCTGCCTTCCTCGCCCTCCCTATCTGCTCTCCCCCCCCTGAAATCTCTCCCCCCCCTGAAGTCTCTTCCCCCCCTGAAATTCCAACCCCCCTTGAAATTCCTTCCCTTCGCCCTGAATTTTCTTCCCCCCCCCCCTGCAATTTCTCCCCCGCCGAACCCTTCCCCCCGCCCCCTTCCCTTGTCCCCTTGTCCATCCCCTTCCTATAAGGCAGTCCACATATGGGCTGCCAGGTGTGTGCGAGACCAACAGGGAGTCGTCCTTCTGTGCCTACATGCTGCTGCCGAAGTAAGAGCTCTTTTCACCTGCTGCTGCTGCTGCTGCTGCTGCTGCTGTTGCTGCTGCTGCTGGGGTCATCTCGCGTCTTCGCCCTTGCCCTTGCTTCCCCTCTCCATGCCTGCGCCCCTCGCCTCTCGTCTTCACTGCCTTCCATTTCGCGCCCCTCGCATTCTCCCATTCCTTCCATACGTCCTCCATCCTCCTCCCCTTCTTACCCGCCTTTCTGCGCCCCCCCCACTCCTCCTCCCCCCCCGCCCGCCCCCCTTTTGGCAGCCGCAAGCCATGCCTGGTGGTGAGGGACGCTCTAGAGGACAGCAGATTCGTGCACAATAAACTGGTGAGCGCGCAGCAAGGTTGTGAGTTCCTTGCACGCGCACCAGTAACTTCATATGCTGGGTCTCAAAACACGTGAGTTCCTTGCACCAGGAACTTGGTATTCTGTGGTGAGGCAGCTGGGGTGATTTTTGAGTCGACTCAAAAGTCATCTGTGGTGAGGCACCTGGGGTGATTTTTGAGTCGACTCAAAAGTCATCTGTGGTGATGAGGCACCTGAGGTGATTTTTTAGTCGACTCAAAAGTCATCTGTGGTGAGGCACCTGGGTCCAGGTGGCCATCCCCCTGTAGGCCCTTCCTTCCCCTCCTTCACCCCTCCTCCCCTGCCTGCCCTCCCGTCGTCCCCTCGCCTCAGGTGGTGGGTCCGCCCTACATTCGCTTCTATGCTGGCGCGCCAGTGACCACCAGTGGGGGCTTTGTGCTCGGCTCACTGTACGTGTGCTGCTCTCTCTCTCCCTCTCTATTATTTCTCTCAGCTTACCTTACCTTTCTCTAGCTGTGCGCCTGACACTCTGCTGTCGTTTTTGACACCACACCACCTGCACTCACTCTCACACCACCTGCACTCACTCTCACACCACCTGCACTCACTCGCACGCCACCTCTCTCCTCCCTGTTTCCTTCCACCACCGCGGCAGCTGCGTGATTGACACCGTGCCGCACCCCGAGTTCTCCGCCGACCAAGAGAGCCTCCTCGTTGCCCTCGCCTCCCTCGTCACTCTCGTGAGACCCCCTTCTTTCCCTCCTTCCCCTCCTTCCCCTCCTTCCCCTCCTTCCCCTCCTTCCCCTCCTCCCCCTCCTTCCCTCCTTTCCCTCCGTCCTCCCTCGCGTCCCTTTGTCCCCTGCCTGCCCTCCCTCGTCTCTCTCTTGAGCCCCTGGCCCTGCCCTCCCTCTCTCCCTTCTCTACCCTCCTCACCCTCCCTCCCCCCCTGCAATCTCATAGATTTCCTGACTCTATGTGACTCTATGTGACTCTATGTGACTCTATGTGACACTATGTGACTCTATGTACTTTCACAAGGCTCACAGTCCTTTCTCTCTCCCCATGTGCCCCCCCCAGGAGATGGACAAGCACAGCCAGGAGATGGAGGTGCAGCGCATGCAGGCAGACAAGTTCGAGGAGGACAAGAGGGGCCTGCTGCTCGCCATAGGTGAGGGCGCTGCTGCTGCTTGCCACAGGTGAGTCTGAGGTATGGCTGAGCTTCGAGGTATTGGTGGGGCATGGTGGGTGGATAGCTGGTGGACACTGTCTTTGCCCCTCCTCCCAAATTTTCGCCTCGCCCCCCAGGCGCGTTCGTCCCCCACTCTGGTGCTGGTGGATGTGTCGCAGCAGTGTGCTCGGGTAAATGGTCTCCCCCCACCCATCTTTTCCCCATCTTTTCCCTATCTTTTCCCGCATTTTCCCCCGCCCTCTCCAATGGCGCCCCCTGCAGACGCGTTCAGCGAGGGGCTGGTGCTGGTGGACGTGTCGCAGCCGCGGCAGCCGGTGGTGTTTGTGAACGAGGGGTGGGAGGAGATCACGGGCTACTCCATCGAGCAGGTTGTCGGCCTGCACTGCGGCTCCATCTTGCAGGTGGGCACTGCGGCTCCATCCTGCAGCCTGCAGGTCCGTACCGCCCCCCTTCCCTGCCTCTCTGGCGCTTTCTCCTCTCCTCGCTTGACTCCCCTTGACTCCCCGCCGTCGTCTCCTCTGCTGCACTGCGGCGCCATCCTGCAGGGCCCCGGGTCGAACATGACGGCGGTGTAGACGATGCGCAAGGCAATCAACACCTCCCAAGCTCCTCCTTCAACCCCACCCCACCCACCCCCCGACGTGCCCCCTGCCATGGTCTCCGCGCCAGGGCCCCGGGTCGAACATGACGGCGGTGGAGACGATGAGGAAGGCGGTGGAGACGGGCGGGTCGGCGTCCGTGGAGCTGATGAACTACAAGCGCGACGGCACGCCCTTCTGGAACTGGCTGCGCATCCACCCCGTGCCGCCCGGCTCCTCCTTCCTGCCCACCGACAAGAACCAGCGGTCAGAACTCCTCATGCCGCATGCGCCCCCCACCACAAGCACGAGCCACAGCAGTTACCGCCTTATGGTTGACAAAGTTAGCGTCCCCACGTTTTCCATTCTGACATGGACGTTGCCTTACTGTATTCTCTGGGGCTTGATTTTCCTTTGGCAGGGACTGCGTGGCGTTGCAGTGTGGCGTTAGGGTTGATTCAGGGTTTGGGGTGTGCCGTAAGACTTTGCTGCTTGCTTCCCACGGCCGTGGCTGGCAGGTACTACTTTGGCATCCTGTCGGACTGCACGGCGCGTAAGGAAAACGAGTGGCAGCTCGAGAGCATGCGCGTGAGTAGGCGTGGGGCATGTGGGGCATGTGGGGCATGTGGGGCATGTGGGGCATGTGGGGCATGTAGGGGGGGGTCAAACGGGGTGCAAACGAGGAGAGAAAGAGGGGGGGGAGGTGTTGCGGCGTCTCTTGGATCAGACTGCACGGCTTGCAACGAGAACGACTAGCAGCTGTAGCGCATGTGGGACTGCACCCCTCTGCATGCATCCCCCCCAATGCATCCCCCCTTATACATCAACCCCCATGCACCCCCCCCCCAACGCATCCCCCCCCTATGCATCCCCCCCATGCATCCCCCCCCATGCACCCCCCCCCATGCACCCCCCCCTATGCATCCCCCCCTATGCATCCCCCCCCATGCATCCCCCCCTACGCATCCCCCCCTATGCATTCCCCCCTTGCATCTCCCCCGATGCATCTCCCCCGATGCATCTCCCCCGATGCATCCCCCCCTTTGCATCCCCCTCTTTGCATCCCCCCCTATGCATCCCCCCCTATGCATCCCCCCCTATGCATCCCCCCCCCTATGCATCCCCCCCCCTATGCATCCCCCCCCTATGCATCCCCCCCTATGCATTATCCCCCCCTTTTTCCCCTTGCATCCCCCCCTTGCATTCCCCCCTTGCATCCCCCCCCCTATGCATCCTCCCCCCTATGCATCCCCCCCCATGCATTCCCCCCCCCTATTCATCCCTCCCATGCATCCCCCCCTATGCATCCCCCCCTATGCATCCCCCCCTATGCATCCCCCCCTATGCATCCCCCCCTGTGCTGAGTCCCCCTCTTACGTTGCACCTTGCTGTGTATGCTTGCAGATGGGGAGGTCGAACGCGGGGCCAGCATGAGGGCCAACCGGCAATTCGTGGCGAATATCAGCCACGAGATCCGCACCCCCATGACCGCCATGCTCGCCCGCCCTTAACCCCCCACTCCACTACCTTCTGCTTTGCTGGCTGCATGCAGATGGCAGAGGTGGAGCGAGAGGCCAGCATGCGGGCCAAGAGGCAGTTCGTGGCGAACATCAGCCACGAGATCCGCACGCCCATGAACGCCGTGCTGGCCTGCGCACAGCTGCTGCAGGACGCGCCCAACCTCTCGCCCGACCAGGTGGAGCTCGTGCAGATGATATCCGGCGCGGGGCAGCAGCTGCTGTCTCTGATAACCGACATCCTTGACTTCTCCAAGGTGGGTGATTTGAGTGGCTCCAAGCACGCACGAACCACCAGTGCACCGCCTTCCATGCGCGCGGGCAAGAACAAGATGCATGAGACAAGAGTGACCCTGTTGGCAACTTGGCGTGTCTATCCTACAAACTCAGCTTCCCCCCTCCCCCCCTTCCTCCTCTGCTGGACGCGGGCAAGATGGAGATGCAGGAGAGGGAGGTGAGCCTGTGGACTTGACGGCTCAAGCCATCCCTGGCACCACCATTCGTCCCCCCCTCCTCTGCCATCTCCTGCCTGCGACTTTCCTTCCTCCCCACCCTTCCCCCCCCCCTCCAGTTGGACGCGGGCAAGATGGAGATGCACGAGAGGGAGGTGAGCCTGTGGGCGTGTCTGGACTTCTGCATGGAACTGCTCGTGCTCAAGTCGCAGCGCAAGGGCCTCGACCTCTCCTACAACGTCGAGCCGTCCGTGCCGCAGTAAGTGTCCTTTCGTGCAGCAATAGGACCCATATGTGCCCGTTGTAACTTACCGGCACAGCAAGGTCGTTTCCTCTCTGTGCCGTTATGATGATCATTCCAAGTCTACTTGAATGACCCGCGCAGCGCATCCTCCTTCTCCGAAGGAAGCTGCTGCCAAGTGTGGATCTTTCCTGTGTGCTGCATGGGGTGTGCTGCATGGGGTGTGCTGTGTGGCAGGTGGATCTGGGCGGACGAGGTGCGGCTGCGGCAAATCCTCACCAACCTGCTCTCCAACGCCGCCAAGTTCACCGACGAAGGAGGGGAGGTTGAGGTCTCCGTCTCCGCCACGCAGCTGCCCGACCCAGGTGAGACATGCGGTGAGATGCGGTGAAGTGTGGTGTCCGTGATGTGCAGCAAGGTGTAGGGAGGTGCAGCTGTGGCAGATGATCACCAGCCCGTTTGAGGTGTAAGGTGGAGGTTGAGGTATTCAGCCCTCGTATCCCATGCCCTCACATCCCATGCCCTCACATCCCATGCCCTCACATCCCATGCCCTCACATCCCATGCCCTCACATCCCATGCCCTCACATTCCTTGCCCTCACATCCTCATATCCCGTGCCCTCACATCCCGTGCCCAGAGAGGGGGGAGGAGGGCGAGCAGCAGGGGGAGGAGGAGACGTGGCACGTGCTGCCGTGGTTTGAGATCCAGTTCTCCGTGCGCGACACCGGCATCGGCATGCCCGCTGAGTTCGCCTCCGTCATCTTCGAGGTGCGCGCGCCTCTTCTCCCACCTTCCACGTTCGCCGTGTTTCTTTCTTGGAGTCTTCTCTCCGAGCACTGGGAAAATGTCAAGATTGCCTCCCCTCCACCCACATCCCCTCGTGCCCCGACAGGCGTTCACCCAGTGCGACAACTCGCGCACGCGGCGCTACGAGGGGACTGGACTAGGCATGGCCATCGCCAAGGACCTGTCGGAGCGCATGGGCGGGCGCATCTGGGTGGAGACGGAGCTCTGATATGTCTCAGGTTGTCTCCTCTTCCCCTTATTCGTCCACAGGCCTTCACCCAGTGTGACAACTCGCGCACGCGGCGTTACGAGGGGACAGGGCTTGGCATGGCCATTGCAAAGGACCTGTCGGAGCGCATGGGGGGGCGCATCTGGGTGGAGACGGAGCTGGGGAAGGGCTCCACCTTCCACTTCACCATCCAGGCGCACGGAAGCATGGTGGAAGCTTCCAACATGCTCCCCTCACTCCTGGCAAATCAAGCCAACGCTGGTCTACTCCTCAAGTCGAGTACTGCCCCTGCTGTCAGCGGTGCCACTGCTGCTGCTCCCACCGCTGCTGCCAGCCTCAGATCGAGTCTGCTGCTGCCTTCGTCCTCCTCCACTCCCTCCTCCACTTCCGCTGCCTCTGCTGCTGTATCTGCTGCTGTTCCTCCTCGCTCTCCCACCTCACGTTCCCCCCAACAGTTCCCTCGAGCCACGTCAGTCCCAGTTCCCACTGCTGCTGCTGCTGCCTCTGCCGATGCTACTGACAGTGCCGCTGCGGCTGCCACAGCTACTGCAGCACTGAGCAGCGATGCCCAACCGGCCTTGACCACACCCGATGCTTCTGCTGAACCCCCCACCCTATCCAACCCCGAGACTGATAACCCCTCCCTCCAACCCCTCGCACTTCCCCCCGACTCCGCCCCGACCCCCTCTCCCCTCCACACTCTCTTCCTCACTCCTCCCCTCACTCCCCTCACCGGAAAGCGCGCCCTTCTGGTGGGCGTGCCGACGACCTTTCACCGCATGCTGGGGTCCATGCTGGCGGCGTGGGGCATATCCTGCACTGCCGTCCGCACCGTGGACGCGTTCTGGGACCAGTGGACGGGTGAGGAGGGCGGGCTGGGGCGGGCGGCAGGCTGCAGCGAAAAGGAGCAGCAGAAGAGTCTATTAAAAGTGTATCGGTCGGGTAGTTGGAGCGATTTACCCTTGTTTGGGTGGGGCGATGAGGAGGGAGGAGGGGAGAGTGGGGGAGGGAAGGGGGGAGCGGTGGGGAGAGGGGAAGGGAAGGAGAGAGCGAAGGGGTACCCTAGGGCTTTGAGCACACCCAGGGGGGTGTTTGCAGGGAGAGGAGAACAAGAATCACCTGGTGAGGATGGCGATGATGGCGATGATGGTGATGATGGTGGGGTCGGGGGGGAGGTTGACGGGGGGAGTGGGAACCGGGAACTGGAGGATGGGGAAGGAGGGGGAAGGGACGGGAGGGAGGGGCAGAAGCGGTCCTGTGAGGAGTTGTCGTTCCTGGCTCGGGTGCAGGCTCGGCAAGGGCAGAGGTTCGACGTGGTGCTGGTGGATGGGCCAGTCACCAGCAGCAAAGCGGCGGTGGGGCAGGGGAGATACGGCCGAGGGGGAGGAGGGGCGCTGGCATCAGCGGTGGCATCGATAGGGTCGGTGCAGCAGGAGCAGGAGCGGGCGCTGCTGATGATGCACCTGGGGTGTGCGTGCGCCAGCACTGCCCCCACCTTCCTCTTCCTCTCCAAACACTCCAAGCGCCAGCTGCCCTTCGACCCCGCGTTGCTGGTGAGATGGGGTCAGCAGATGTACTTCTGCTCTGCTAAGGGCGCAGCGCTTTTAGGCTCGACACCGAGGTTCGACACTTGAACGAGCAAGAACAAGGTCCTTGTGTTCTCCCAAAAGCACCGCGCCCTAAGGGGGGTGGAGCCTAAGGGGGTTGGGTTGCATCCTACGAAGAGTTGCTTTTTATTTGTTGTCCCACTCACCGCTCCCTCCACTGCTTGCTCCCCCTCTTCTCTCGCCTCTCGCCTCGCTTCTCCTACCTTCTGCTTCTCTCTCCCTGCTCCTCTCTTCCTCACTGCAAGCTGGCCGCGCACGGGCGAATGAACCGGCTTCACCAGGGTCTTATCGAATACCTGTAATTGCCCTCTCTTCCCCTCTCTTCCCTTTCTTTGCCATCCTCAATCTCCAGCGCCAGGTGGCAGTGCTGTCGCGCCTGGTGCCGGTGAACCAGCTGTACAAGCATCTCATCCAGTACCTCGCCCTCTGCCATCGTCCCTTCCTTTTCCCCTCATTCCCGCGTGTCCTCTCCTCCCCCCTCTTGCCCATTCCCTTGCCTTCAGCGCAAGGTGGCGGTGCTGTCGCGCCCGGTGCGGGTGAACCAGCTGTACAAGCATCTCATCCAGTACCTCGCCCCCTCTGCCCTCGTCCCTTCCTTTTCCCCTCATTCCCGCGTGTCCTCTCCTCCCCCCTCTTGCCCATTCCCTTGCCTTCAGCGCAAGGTGGCGGTGCTGTCGCGCCCGGTGCGGGTGAACCAGCTGTACAAGCATCTCATCCAGTACCTCGCACCCTCTGCCCTCGCCACCCTCCCTGCCGTCCCTGACTCCCCGCGCTACGAGACCCCCGCCTTCTTCGACGTGAGTGCCTCCAGTCCGTCACCTTTCCACCCTGCCATACAACATTGCCCATAGTGTCATTCTGTGCAACACCAATCGCGCATCGCTTCATCGTATACCATACGATACCATACGATACCATACTGTATTTCCCCATTTCCTCCTCTCTCCCCCGTTTCTCCCTCTCCTCTCCCACATCCCCTCTCTCCTCTCCCCACTTTCCCCCTCTCCTCTCCCCCATCCCCTCTCTCCTCCCGTCCCTCAACCCCCAAACAGGAGCCCCTGGACCTGCGGCCAGCGCCCTCGGCCATCTCGCCGTCGCCCGCGCCGTCGGGGCTGTCGGGCATCTCGGTGCCGTCCTCCTTCTCCGGCTGCTCCTCCGCCCCCCTCGCCTCGCTCCCAGCCTCCATCCCAGCCTCCGTCTCCACAGCAGGTATGGCCAACCCTAGCCTCCACAGCAGGTATGGCCAATCCTAGCCTCCACAGCAGGTATGGCCAGCCCTAGACTCCACAGCAGGTATGGCCAACCCTAGCCCCCACAGCAGGTATGGCCAGCCCTAGCCTCCACAGCAGGTATGGCCAGACCTAGCCTCCTCAGTAGGTACGCCGAGTCCAAGCCTCCGCAGCAGGTACAGCATTCTTGCGTGCGTCCCCACAGCAGGTACCACTAGATGCAGTTAGAGTTACTTGACACACATACACTGCTCCGGTCAGCTCCGCTTTCATGCAAGGACACACAGCAGACATCTCCGCTGACTGGCCTGTTGTCTCAGCAACCACACTTACCACCCACATGTTTCCACCACCACCCCGTGGCTCTACCACCCACCCCTCGCACGGGAGCCGTGCCTCACCCCCCTCGCACCATCCGCCCCTCTGGATCCCCCCAGGTCCAGCAGCAGGGTCGGGGCCGGAGGAGGTGGCCAAGGCGGTGGCGCGGGATGTTGCAGCGCTGCGCGTGGCGGTGGTGAAGGAGCCCATGCCGCTGGGGGTGAGGACGGAGCGGTCCAGCCCGCGCCCGGGGGACCTGCAGGTGCTCATCGCCGAGGACAACATCGTCAACCAGCGGGTGAGTGGCCACCGTGTGGTTCTCATGGACGCAGAACTCGGCCAACCAGGCCTGTGGTTATTGCCATCATGAGCCCGCTGTTCCAGTCTGCACGGCTGAATGCATGTTCCGTTATTCACGACTATGTGTGCGTCATGGTGCATGGGAGCGTGTGCAGGTGCTGCTGAAGCTGCTGAACGGCATCGGGGTGAGGTCGTGCTTCACTGCCATCAACGGACTCGAGGTACCCCCTCCTCCCTTCACACTTTTCCTCCTGCATTGTCCGTTCTTCCCTGCAAGCCCTACTACTGCCTGACGCCTCGTGTGCACGGCTCTACAAGGCTCCCTCTACGCTGCTACAGACCCCTTCCGTTGCAGTGCCACATGCCCATCTCTCCACACCTGCTGTCTGCCCCCCTCCTCTCCCCCCTCCCCTCATCACCCCAGGTGATGCAGCGGCTGCGGCAGGTGACGGTGGATCTGGTGCTCATGGACGTGCAGATGCCCGAGATGGACGGCCTCACCGCCACTGCATGCCTCAGAGTAACGCGCCTTCCCTCTCCTTACCCTCTCGCTTGCTCTCCACTTAAACCCTAACATATGTACTTTTTAAGCTTTCTCTGTGCCTTGTCTGCCCCACTTGAACAGTCGCTGCACAAATCGCGACGCATCCTTCCTTGTTTCACCCTCTATCTTCATGCTCTTCCTCCAGAGGGAGCTCCCGCCAGAGCAGCAGCCGGTGGTGGCAGCACTGACTGCGGATGTGGGGTCGGGGATAGAGTCGGAGTGCAAGGCTGCTGGCATGAACTCTTACCTAAGCAAGCCTGTTAGCAAACCAGCCCTTCAACATTTCATCGTGAGATGCCTATCGTGGAAGCAAAAGGGAGCCATCGACCCTCTCAAGTGGATGGATTAGAGTGGGTGGGAGTAGGATGATTGGGTTCACTGATATGAGTGTTGTGCAGGAGGGCATGCAAAATAAGATCGGCATCTCCATAAGCGGAAATGTTGAAGTGACTACCGGTAATAGAAAATAAGCTGTCACTCACGTTGTATCGGTATATGGAATTTATCAAACAAGGACAATTTCATTAGCTATATTGCCACTGCCTATTGATTGCAATAACTGCAGAATAGGCACATTGAAACGCACATTTGTTCATTGAAGCTCGGCACTATCAAGGACATCGAAGTTCCTTCTTTCCCTTGCCCTACCCTCGCCCTGTCTGTGCTGGCCTCCCAGTTCTGAGTGTTACTGCTTCTGTTCTGACTGGCATTGCCTGGCGATACCCTGTTTCCGCGATCAGCTTGCATTCCTGCATTGTTTGCTTTGTTCGGCCCGTGCACCTGCGCCTCCGCCCGTGCTCATTCTTATTAGATCCGTTGCCATGGACGGTTCCTCGTCTCGGGAAGGAGGCATTCAGCTTCTTTTAGCGGCAGAGCAAGAAGCCCAGAAGGTCGTAGCTGCTGCTCGTGCAGGTGAGCCGGTAGCTTCTGCATGGATGCTAGCGTTTTTCATTCGTCTATGCAACGAATAGCAAATAGTCACATCTGATCTACTTTTTTTGTCAGCTAGGATCGTCATCCGGTCACTCACTTTCGGTTTCAGATCGCGAACTATTTTCCCACCACCATTTCGTGAACTCTTTGGTCTTCCAGCCAAAACTGCTAGGTTGAGACAAGCGAAGGAGGAAGCGGAGAGGGAAGCCGCTGCTTACCGCGCTCAGCGTGAGGAGGAGTACAGGAAGAAGAAGGCGGGGGTAAGTGTTAGCTGCAACATAGGTCGCAGCGAAGGCATGACATCCGAGCGGTCAGCTGTTGTTCAAAGGCCATTGTTTCTTTACAATGATCGGCTGGTTCTACACGTGCCTGATGTCAAATATTTTTTCTCGCATCTCTATTACTTGTTTGTTCGTACTTGACCGTACCATTTGGTAGACGTCAGGCGACTCGGAAGCGACTGTGAAGCGGCTGGAGGTGCAGACAAGGCAGAAGATTGATCAGCTGACCAAGGAAGCGGGCAATGTGTCGAAAGATGTGAGTCCTCTTGTTTCCTTCGTGCATTATCAGTCAGTCATTAGTCTTACGTTCTTTCCTGGCATCTCTCTTCTTGCTGAGCTCACCACGGAAGGCCATTTGGTTGCCCTGTTGTGCAGGTTACTGGGATGCTTCTTGATCTTGTGACAACGGTCAAGCATTGAAATCCTTGCATTATGCTGGAATGTCATGATCAGTGTACAAGACCTAGTTAGCACCATTCATCCGTAGAAGATCCTGATGGGATGGTTTGTGTGCAGGTTGTTTATATGATGGTCCATGGAGATCTAAGGACAGGCTTTCTGCCTCATTATGTCGAATAATCCATCACGACTACTATAATTGTGGCAAAGCCTCTCTCCAAGACCTTGAGCTGAGAAGAAACCTTCATGTGAATGTTTAACAGATTTGACACTACTGATACTGTACTCAGAAATCCAGGAGCAGCTTTGGAAGAATCCTTTCTAAATGAGGTCCTTCAATCACCAAGGAGCCTTCCACCTCTGCCTGCTCTGTTGCACGGCCAACTGCTTCTGCAGTTCAGAACATTCAACCCACAAGGAAACTCATGAGCTGCTTCATGATCCAGGAGGCTTTCCTCCATTCTGGAGTGGAGGGTGCATGCTCCCCTGCATAATGGACATTCAACTCACCCTGAACAAACAGGCGAAGAAGTCCACAACAAAGGCGTTGTGCTGGCTTTGTTACTGGCAAAACAGGCAAAAGGCAAGAGGAAGCTCAGTAACATTGACGTCCCACCTGATGCCATGCTTCTTACAGCAAGCACATTAACATGAGCATATCGTTGCAGGCAGATGGACGAAATGCCTACCAGGAAGAGCCACGCCTCCTGCGCCGACACTGGATTGTCTCTTGCGCTTCTTCCTTTGCCCTGCTGCCCCACCATCACCCTCCTCACCCTGAACGACCTCCCTCGGCTCATCACCAGCTTCAGCCGCCCCAGCAGGCGGATCTGCTTCGGCAGAGTCACCCTCCACGTCATCTCTCTCCCTCAAACGACCCGGACGTGATGCTGCTTCCGCTTCGCCTGCGCTTCTGACGAGCCCTTGAGGCGAATCAAGAGGAGGAACTGCATGAGCAAGGCTGGCTTCATCCTCGCCCCCTTGCCCTGCTGCCACCCCGAATGCTGCGGAGGTTGAACCTGGAAGCTGTATAGGCCTTATGGCAAAAGGTCTCCGTTCACAACCGAAAATTTCCTAAAATGCGGAGACTCCAACAATACAGTAAAATGAAACCTGCAACGCACCTCTGAGCTCTCCGCTTCGTAGACATGTCTGAAGAACTCAGTAAGGACCTCCTGCCAACAACGAAACCAGATTCAGGAACTGGTCTTCCGCGCTTAAGGGCGAAAGCGACAGGAAGCTTTTGCCGCCGCCTTCTGCGAGCAGGCTGTGTGAACGTAGTAAGCGGAGGGAAAGAATCTCACGGGCAGAAATTGGCCCTGGCCTTCGTCCATCTCGATGGACCTTACGGGAGAGGACGCTCGAGCTATCGATCTTCGCGGCCTTACCAGCCAGCATGTCAAACTCGAGGTGAGAGACTTCGTGCTTGCTGCTTTTACTGGGCCCGTTGCAACAGCATGGGAACTTTCGAAAATGCAGGAAGACTACAAGCAGTCATACAGGATTTGATCAGCCTGCCATTTGGGTGAGGATTCCTGAAACTTGCGTGTGAGACCCTTCATGTACATTTTCCACGGCTCCATTGCATCTAACATTCCCCTCCAGGAAATCTTTTCATTACAACCAGAGTTCCTTTCGCACTGTTCACATTTGCCACAGTTGATGCAGCACTCCCCTGCATTTGCCCTTGATTTAGTCCGCCACCTGTGGAAGGCTGCTACCTGCAGTTACCCAGAGGCAAGAAAGAAAGGCACATCAGAGCTTTTAATGTCGATCTTCACATATATCCCCTTCCAACCCCCCCCCCCTCTCTGTAGACCACCCACCCACCCCCCCCCCCGCCCCCCCCCTCTCCCCCCTCCACCATGCATTCCTCCTTTCCCCCCGCACTCATTCCAACCTGCAGACAGATCATACCTGTAAGGCGTGCAGAATATTGAAGAACAGCACCGGTGGCGGAACACGCACTTCTTTCTGAGAGGAGTCCATTTGCTCGTCTGCCCCCCCGCCCCCGCTATCACATTTACCCCTCATTTCACCTCTATCGATGCATCCTATAGACATTGCAGCCTCAATCTCCTTCCTCTCCTTCCCCTCTCCTGTATCCTTCTCCTTCTTTACCATTTTTGTCCCAGCCTCTCCTGAGTTTGAAACTGACCAAGGAGGGCAGGGACCAGCCCCGTCTCTGAGCTCATGAGCCAGCACAGGAACTAACACCACCCACTCAGACTCCGTCTCCCGTAACCCTGCATCATCTCTCCCAGGCGGTAACCCTATCGTGGCACTGCAGCTGTTATGCACAAAAGGGGCAGCCCTCCATCCCATACTGGCTAGCTCCTGTACCCGTATATCAACCTCCCTCCCGCCCTGCTCCTCCCTATCAGACTCCCTCCCTCCCTGTTGCACTCCTCCCCCCACTTCACTTTCCGCTGCCTCACCCTCTCCCCCCTGGCCCTCCTTCTGCACTATATACAGAGAATCAGACGCTAAAAGCGGAATGGGCACCAGCACTGCCTCGTCCCTGTCCTCCCTTTCACGATGCAGGCATGCTAAGCCCTCCGGCCCACAATGGGAGCACAGTAGGCTGCTCACACGTCTCCTCTTTGACCCTTCTGTCCCTCCATCCCCTCTGCTCCTCTCTTCCACATTCCCCTTTGGTGCTGAGTCTCGGCCATTTTCCCCAAGCCCATGAGTTCCCACTTTCCCCCTCTGATTGGCTTCAGATACCACTTCCCATCTGTCCCTGCCCTCAGATACAACCTCCACCTCAGCATTCTCCCCATCGTCATGGAACCTTCCAGGCCCCACATCCCCCATGGGTGTGGGGTTGAGGGAAGTGTGAGGAAAGGGAGGGCGGAGAGAGAGTGGGATGCGAGAAAGAAGGGAGAGGAGGGAGGAGTCTTCGCTGTGTGCAGGGTTGAGTGTGAACCACAGAGTGAGGGTGAGGCGTTGACCCCGAATCACCTGCCAAGAGGGAAGTGGGAGGGCATTTTTTATTTAAACACATACATCTAGTAGTTCAAGGCTGACCCTTGATGTGCTCTTGAGATTGGTGCCTGTTCCTCTCTCCCTGCCTCCCTCTTCCCATCCCCAGCACCCGCTCTGGACTGCTTACAGGGTCAACGCAGTGCTCATTCTCGCCTGAAGCTGAGTATGCCACCAGTCTCTGCAGCACCCATACGACAGCCGTGACAAGGAAAGAACATATGAGTGGGACAGCCGAGACACAAGCCAGAAACGGACGCATCGCCCGCCCGACACCGCCCGCCAATGACCCTCACCACCCATCACCGCCCGACACCACCTGCCAACGCCCGTCACCGCCTGCCACCACCCGTCAGCGCCTGCCACCGCCCGCGACCGTACACCACCGCCAACCAGTGGAAAACCTCTCGAGGTGGTGGCAAACCAGTGGAAAACCACTCGAGGTGTCGGCAAACCAGTGGAGAACCACTCGGTGGTGACAAACCAGTGGAAAACCACACGAGGTGGTGGAAAACCAGTGGAGAACCATTCCAGGTGATGGCAAACCAGTGGAAAACCACTAAAGGTGGTGGCAAACCAGTGGAAAACCACTAAAGGTGGTGGCAAACCAGTGGGAAACCACTCAAGGTGGCGGCAAACCAGTGGAAAACCATTCGAGGTGGCGGCAAACCAGTGGAAAGCCACTCAAGGTAGTGGCAAACCAGTGGGAAACCACTAAAGGTGGTGGCAAACCAGTGGGAAACCACTCAAGGTGGCGACTAACCAGTGGGAAACCATTCAAGGTGGTGGCAAACCAGTGGAAAACCACTCAAGGTGGCGACAAACCACTGGGAAACCATTCAAGGTGGTGGCAAACCAGTGGAAAACCACTCAAGGTGGTGGCAAACCAGTGGAAATCCACTCAAGGTGGTGGCAAACCAGTGAAAAATCACTCAAGGTGGAGGCAAACCAGTGGGAAACCGCTCTAGGTGGTGGCAACCCAGTGATAAACCACTCAAGGTGGTGGCAAACCAGTGAAAAACCACTCAAGGTGGAGGCAAACCAGTGGAAAACCTCTCAAGGTGGTGGCAAACCAGTGGAAAACCACTCAAGGTGGCGGCAAACCAGTGGAAAACCCCGTCACCGCACGTCACCGCCCGTTACCGCGCGTCACCGCCCGTCACCGTCCGACACCATCTGTCACCGTCCGCCACCCCCCGCCACTGCCCGCCATCGCCCGCCTTTGCCCTCCACCGCCCGCCACCGCCCACCACCACCCGCCACCCCCTGCCACCGCCCTCCGCTGCCCCCCACGGCCCGCCGCCGCCCGCCACGGCCCGTCGCCGCCCGTCACCGCCCGCCACGGCCCGACACCGCCCGTCACCGCTCGCCACCGCCCTCCACCGCCCGCCACGGCCCGCCACCGCCCGTCACCACCCATCCCCGTCACCGCCCGCCACCGCCCGCCACCGGCCTCCACCGCCCGCCATCGCCCGTCACCACCCGTCACCGCCCGTCACGACCCGAAACTGCCCGCCACCGCCCGCCGCCGCCCGACACCGCCCGACACCGCCCGTCACCGCCCGCCACCGCCCGTCACCGCCCGACACCGCCCATCACCGCCCGTCACCGCCCGTCACCGCCCATCACCGCCCGTCACCGCCCGACACCGCCCATCCCCGCCTATCACCGCCCGTCACCGCCCATCACCGCCCGTCACCGTCTGTCACCGCCCGCCACCACCCGCCACCGCCTACGAGTTGGATCCGTGAGCATCCCTGACACTCACACCAGGCACCTGAGTGTGTGTGTGTGTGTGTGTGTGTGTGTGTGTGTGTTTGTGCACATTCTACTCGCAACGCACTCACCCCAGGCTTGGGAGCAACGGAGTGTGGATGGCCCTCTCGGAACCTGAAGAGCCCCCCATCAAAGTCCTTGCCGTACTCGTTCAAGTAGCACACCGCCTGTGGCGTATGGGAATGGGTATGTGTGTTCTGACGCATACACATGTGGCATGCACCTGGTGCACAGAAACAGCACAAGAGAGAAGCCCTTGTGCAGGCACAATGGAGCACAGAATGTGAGGCATCAAGTGCAGGATGCATGGTGTCAGGCAGAACAACAAAAGAGTAAAGGAGGGATGGGGCGTTGATCAAGCGAAGGGGTTGTCGCACAGCGAATGCTCGTTGCTTGAGGTACGGCCTGTTGTCGTCAGCATGCCAGCCGATGCTGGCGCCTGGCAACCAGCTGATGAGTCCCGTGAACTCAATGAACAGCCCTAGCTGCATGCCGAATGCCTCCTCCACCTTGTCCCGTATGCGATCTGCCACGCACACAACAGCAGCAACTCTTGTCAGAAAATATTGGTGACACTTGTTGCGCAGTGCAGCCATACTTGGCTGCACATTGCGCCAGATAGCGTAACGAGAAGAGCTTTTGGGCTTCTAGCAAGCAAGAGCTGATGAGCCGACCATGGAAGGGCAACACGAGCCAGCTGATTATGTGGCGGCCGTTACAGGGTTACCGCGAATGGGGAGGATGGGGAGCATGAGGGGAGCGCAGTTGGCGGCGATGAGGTGGGAGAGCGTGGTGGAGCACACATGCGGCCGGTACCCCACCGTGCTGCTGCTGGCGTGGATAAATGCAAGCTCCTGGATGGTGCGAGGGAGGGGATGCGCAGTCATGAGTTGATGAGTCATGAGAATGGTACGTGAGGTCCAATGATGTCACTTGCGGCCGGTGCCCCATCGTGCTGCTGCTGGCGTGGAGGAACGCGAGCTCCTGGATGGTGAGAGGTGTGCGAGACAGGTGGGCAGGAAAGAATTTCTGAGACATCTCAAGCTACAATTGCTGGCACGGGTGTGCGCCAGGGCTGTGCGAGAGAACGTACGCGCGTAACAGACGAGAGGCTTCGGAGAAGGGTAGGAACGAGAGAACATACGGCTAGGATTAGCACAATTGAGATGTACTAAGGTCTTTAGGGCGGAATGGTATTGGACGGGAATTTGTGCAGACGCGACCCTGGCGAGAGCATCCTACCTCGCACTCCTGCGCGCTGAGCACGTCGTCAAACACAATCCTACGTGGCAACGAGGAGACGTCTAGAGGAGTCGGCTCCTTGGATTCACGAGGATCCATGGCGGAGTCCTGTTCGCGTCTCTTATTCGAGCGATCCTGCGTATTTGGCCACAAATTCCCGGCTTTGCTATTCTCGACCAGACCGCGCTCGGTCGGCGGAAGGAATATGTGACGCTGCTATCGTAAAGCGGATCTGACGTGGCGCGATGGAAGCATGAAGGGACATCCTAGGAGTTTGAGCCCACAAAACAGTAGTAAACGCTGCGTTGCTTTCCTTGATACCCAGCTACGTGACAAAGAAAAAACCATAAAAGGGCCGACTGGCAATCATGCCACATGAGGTGTAGCAATGCACCTAATGCCGTATGGATATCAAGACATATGGGCGGCATAATTTATGGAATTCGGAGGGCTAGCAGCGAACTGCTGGCCCCACAAAGTGACTCAATTAGGAGGTTATTGGCCCTGCCTAGATGACAAATTAACTGATTAACAGATCTACGCAACTATTCTTGCTGTACACAAATGAAACGACGGATCAAACTCCAATAGAACGACGTCACATCCATGTTCTCAAAGTTCGACTGCATCAATCCCCCCTCAAGCCAACACTGCCATGTGGAGACTCCAGCCACTAAGCAAGGGAAGGCAGAGGGCATGGCAGTGGTGCAGGGCGCCCAGAGAAGCAAGCCCCCCAACCAAACCACATAGTGCAGGATACGTGGTCGTGGTGTGGGGCTTGCTCTCCTTCAGCCGCTGGGCACAGTACCAGCGGCCCAAGCCACGTGCCATGACGCATAAGCATCTTCGCGGCCCTGCCTTCCCAACACAAACACCAAGGAGACGGAACACACACACAAGCAGGACGCTCGGAGGAGCCACAAACCCCTCCCAGAATGAGGAATGTGCTGATTGAACAGAGACGACGGAAACTTGATGCTTGCAAGACAGCGGAAAACAGGAGAAAGCACAAGACCCAATCCCAACCAAAGCAGGTCAACGTGAACACAGAACGCAGCACAAGCTAAAAGGAAGCAAGTGCATACCTCCACACAGGTCCCACATTCGCGCCCCACGCTCTAGGCCTTGGTGCGGCCGTAGAACTTGGCCTTCTCCTCGGACGTCTGGAAGCGGCCGTGGCCGAACTTGGAGGAGGTGTCGATGAACTTGAGCTTCACCTCCTCCAGCGCGTTGCGCGACGTCTGCTTCAGCAGCGACCGGCGGAGAGTCACCACGCGCTTGCGCACGCCGGGGCAGCACCCCTTGATCATGATGTAGTCCTCCCCGACCACACCGTACTGCGCGAAGCCGCCCATCGGGGTGATCTCCTTGTCAGTGCGGTCGTAGTCGGTGCTGGCCTTGTGGCTCTCGTCGCCCTTCTTCCCGATCTTGTAGATCTTCTTGTTGAGCTCCGTGCGGTGATGGTAACCATTCTGACCGGCGCGCGCCACGGTGTACGCGACACGAGCCGGATGCCACGCTCCGATACAGGCAACCTTGCGAAGACCGCGATGGGTCTTGCGAGGCAGGCGGGTGACACCCCAACGGTGCACCACACCCTCGTTACCGTGACCCTTGGTGATGGCGATAATGTCAATCATCTCGTCCTTCCTGAAAACGGCATCGATCGGAACGGCCTTCTCGAACAGCTTGTAGCCCCAGTCGACCTTCTCCTCGATGGTCCCGCCGTTGATCTGGATCTCCATCAGATGAGACTTCTTCTGCTTGATGCCCTTGAGCTTGTGCACCTCGGTGTGTGCCATCACGCGGATGATCGACGCGTGCTTCTTCATGCGCTCGAGCTCCTCCTCGATCTCCTTCTTCCCGTCCTCGGTGCTGAACTTCTTAGCGTACTTGGTGAACGCTTTTTTCTTCGACTTGTGCCAGTTCTTGTACCACCGGCGCCGGACGTTGTCGCTCAGATGCCCGGCGTACACGTGCGTGAGCGTGCGCGGGCCGTGGGCCGTCTTCACGTAGGCGACGAGTCCGCAGACGATCATGGGAGGGGTTTCGACGATGGTGACCGCCTCCGCCGCCTCCTTCTTGTGCAGACCTGCGGACGAGAGGGGTTCCAGACGAATGCATCGGCGCCATAAGATGAGCGTACGCCAATCACGCGGGTGCAACGGAAGAGATGAGACGGGGAAAACAGGTTGTGATGACTTGGCGAGGGATGGGGGGAGGATAAGACCAACACCAATGCGGGATACGCGATAAAAGCCGTGAGCGAGTGCAACGTACGGGATCCGGGCTTCTCGACCTCGCGGACGATGTGCGTCATGCCGGCCTTGTAGCCCAGGAACGCCGTCAGGTGCGGCGCCTTGGTGGGGTCATCCTTGGGAAACGACTTCACTGCGATCACGCAACGGGGAATGAAGAAACAAGAGGACGAGGCCTTCAGTAAACGCGTTCGGATACTTAGTAGTAAACTCTGCGTGGGCTGGACTTAACCTAATTTATCAAGCGATCGAGAGTGGACGAAATACTACCCTGCCCGAATCCTGAACTCGGGAAAGCTTAATACGGTTTACAGGTGAGGAACTACCTTTCCCGCGTGAGCGCTTGCAGCGCTTCCGGGGCAAGAAGCCGAGGGAACCATGGCGCGGATGCTCGAACTTCCTGTGACTCATCCTGGCAGGAACGTCCCTAGCGTCCCAAGAGAAATTAGGGAAAAGGGCCTGATGAAAGGGAGGACTGGAAAAGAAGTAGGGCAATGGGGAGGCGGTCCACAAAGGGCAACAGGGGGGCGAGGCAGTTAGGCTGTATGGCTGGATGGATGTCTCTGGCCTGGTGAGGCGGGCTTTGCGTGTGCGGGTGAGGGGATTAGGGCTGGACAACATCGGGGGAGCGAATGGCTTTTGGGGCATCGCGGAAACGCCAGGCGAGGGTACAGTTGAGCATTCGTTTTAGGCCACTCCGCAAAACACGTACCTCACTGGCATGTAATCATGAAACGGCCTAAGCTCATTCAAACCCTTTGCTTTACAGATATCTATCATAGATAATCCGGCCCATTTGTTTATGTTGTCACCCTTGGAGGTATGCGGGTTACCACTTCCCCAAGGATGGCTTCACTAAATTCATTGTTCAAGGATGATGGGATAGGAAAATCTAGCTGCCCTTCTGGTACGACATGCCCATAGTTTGGCACAGGCTGGCTTGCTCTCACGTTAGGTCGCCCTCCTAAATTGTTCAGAGTTGTCATGTACCACATTATACAACAGGCATAAGTACTTGTGCAATGCTATTTCCCAGAGTAGCAGTGACCACAATGGCTTGAGCGTGCCACCATTAACCTTTAGGCGTATGCCTCTGGCCATCGCCCAGGCCCACCCACACCCGCGTCACTCAACAGTCGCAGCTTTCCCACAACACATGCCACAGGTGTGCAAAACACGCCAACCAACTCAAACCCAACACCATCAACACACCGACTTCATGCATGCAGAAATGCCTTCCCAGCAGGACCAGCTTCTCAATCCCAATTTCCTGACGGCACCGCTAAGTCCCTAGCTGCCCAGCAGAGCCCCTAGCTTGCCCCGGCTTGTCCCAGCGGATGGGCGGTGTGGATCGCAGCATCTCCAGCAGCATCTCCTCCTGCGCCGCCTTGGCCGGCGACAGCAGCACCCGGCTCCCCTGCCGCCGGCCCCCCAGACTCTCCCCTGCTGCATCTACCCCCTCCTGCTCCCTTCCCCCCTCTGCCTGCGCCCCCCCTCGGTCACTCCCCCCATATGGAGGCGTAACATCCCCCCCAAATGAGGATTCAGGGGAGTGGGAAGCGAGAGAGAGTCTGTGGGCCTGGGGGAAATGGGAGAAGGCACTGCTGCCAGTGCCCCGTGGACTCAACCCCCCACTCCCACTCACAGTCGTGCCCCCGCTTGCACTGCGGGCCACAGAAGACCCAGAACCCCCACCAGCCCTCCCCAATGCTCCACCCGCCGCTGATTCTGTTCCGCTCACTGTTGCACTTCTAACCACCATACTACCGCTCCGCAGGCTGCTGCCACCAGAGCTGATACTGCTGCCACTCAATGGCGAGGATAAGGGCAGCCCGCCCCACCCGCTGCTCACGCTGCTCAGAATCTCCTGCAGCCGTTCATGCCCGCTCTTCCCCGCGCGCGCCCCGCTTCTCATCCCTCCCCCCCTACTACTTGGAGCCTTCTCAGACCGGCTCTTAGTCAGCCTGGGCCCTGCTGCAAGTCTCCTGGAGCGCGACCCCCCAACCCCTTGCTCGCTAACCACACCAAGGCGACCTATACCTTCCTCCACCTCATCTCCCTCCCTCTCTCCCTCCCCCTCTTCCTCCTCCTCCCCCTCCTCCGCCACCTGCCCCTGCAGCTGCTGCTGCTGGGAGAACGTCCGGCGGTGGCTCGAGCTTCGAGAGCTGCGGCTTCGGAATAAGAACCCGCCCAATCCGCCCTTAGACGACCCGCTGAGTTTCGCGCTCGGCTCTCTTTCTCCTGGTCCCTGAAGTGCCACGTCAGCATGCGAGTCTGAGGCGTCGACCATACCCTGCAGCAGGGGTCCCGAGTGGCGTTCTGAGGCCGCTTGGTGCGGCGGCTGTCGCGGCGAGGCTGGACACTGTGGCGCGGGCTGCTGCTGCTGAGCGTGATTCACGGCGATTCCAGGGAACGCGGCAGTGTCGCTCCCAACCCCAGCTGGCGCCGCTCCCCCACCTCCCCCTCCATTTCCTCCGCCGAGCCCCCCGTTCCCCCCCCCGCGCCCCAGCACGGGAGTGCTAGCCCCGTCGTCCCCCACCTCCCCCTCCCCCATGGGCCCAACCCTCCCCGCATTCCTCGCGCGGAGCAGCACCGGGCTGAAACCGCACGCGTCCAGGAATCCCCCTCCGCCTCCGCTGTTCCCGCCGCTGTTCCCACCGCCACCAGGGGTATTAAGGGCGCGCTCAACGTCCCCTGCGGACACGGCGGAAGGCCGCTCGCGCACGGAAAACGCGCGGGTGAACATCTTTCGCGCTGCCGACCCGCCCCCCGCCGAGCCTGCCCCGGAGCTACTGGTATTCGTATCCAAGCCTGCCGAGGCAAACATGGGGGAGATTTCCGAGCCTAGAAGCTTGGCGGCGACACTGTCGTCCGGCGACCGAAACAGCGACCCCGACGACGCCACGTTCATGGATTTCGATCGCATGCGATTCGCAAGGGAGACTTTCGACGGTTGCTGCGACGGCGCGCTCTCGTCGCCTGGCGAATCGCTGCTGACCTTATTCGCCGGCGACGACCCATTGCTGCCGTCCGTCATCTTCCCGCCGGCCGCATTGCCGCCGCTGCCGCCGCTGCCCGCCCCTCCGCTACTAGTACTGTTGCTCCTGCTATGCGACCCACCGCCATACCCCGCCCCCCCACCTGACACCGCCCCAGCAAGCAGCGGCTCTTCCGCCCCGGGAAACTTTTGGAACCATTTGCGGAAGCCCGACGGGTTTTCCGCCGACAGGCGCTTGCCGATTTCCTTCTGAAGCCCCGCCGCGGTGGTCTGCACGGCCTGCAGGAAGATTCCAAGCTGCTTCTGGGCGAGCTCCGCCTCAGATAAGACCTCCCCCAGGTCGCGGTGGAAGCGGCGGAGGTCCGCAGGGCCGGTCCCCGCGAGCCAGACGTCGTTGCGCGTGGGCGCGCGGGGGATTTGCGCGAGGAGGTGGTTGAGCTGCGCCAACGCGGGGATTTTGTAGCAGTGCGGGACGTACCAGTCCGCCTTCCAGACCTCCCCCACCGCTTCCGGCACGCCGGGGAAGGCCGTGAGCATGGCGGGGGAAACGGGAGAAAATCCCTATGCGGGTAACGACGAGGGAATCAGGGTAATGGACGCGGAATGGGGCGCTGTGCTGTGCCCCACCAACTGGCTGAACTTTCTGCAACAAGAGGAAGTGACTACTACGGTCACCGGCACTGGCAATCAAGCGCGCCGCTCTGAGGCGGCCGCCTAAGACGACGGGTCCTGGAGAAACGCGCAGCGACTACGACGATATGGTTGAGGTGAGGGAGTGCAGTAGAAACCATTGCTGGCAGTAAGGTATGTCACGTGTACCTCCCCCCTCCCGACCAGGTGCCATGATCCAGATTTCCTGATGTCCTATGGGAGACTCAACTGTACTCCCCCAAGCCCTAGGTTGCTCCTCTCTGCTGGCCTCTCAAATCTCGATGTCCAAAGGGCTCTCCCTGCTGAATCCGAGGTCACCCTGGGTCCAACTCCTCCAGGGAGGGGATCCCTGACGTGCTAGGCTGTTTTTGTGGGCCAGTGTGTCGGCCAGCTCGGAATGTGCACGGTTTCTGCCTCACATACAATTTTGGCGGAAACCCCCTAATGCAACTTTTTTTGCAGGGGAAGCATATTGTACATGGGAAATTACAGGGTGGGTCCATTTCCCTATTCGGAGATTGGCCGTGGAATTGTTTCGGCTTGCTTGCCCAAAAATACAGTGTAAATGCCCTAATTTCGAGAGGTCTCTATCTGATTTGATTTCTTCACTACACCCAACCTGCTCATGCTGGGCAGACCATGCTGCTTCTCACAAGGACATTAAACTCAGGTTCCTAGGCTGCCAGTACAGTGCGTTGCAGCGTGTTATCCCACCCACCTCAATCCCCTGAATACGGTGCAATGGAGTGCGTGAACTTCAGCAACACACCTCCGTCTATGTGGGGAAAACTGTAGAATGCGATTCCTGCGACTGTCGCCAGCGCCAGCCTGTGTGTCGCGCCCAGTCGGCTTCGGCTGGAGCGTAGCCCCAATTGTGTACAGTATCGCTAGATGCAGTGTGCGGGACCGAGAGTGGCCACCTGCGACAAGCCGAGCCGACCACGAGCCTTGGAAAACAAACAAGCCAGCTGGCAAGAAGACATCCACTGTAGACACACCTGGCGACAAGAGAGTGCTGATTTGACGAGCCAGCCCCCTGGTTACACCTGGCTCGTGGGTGAAATTGGGCGGCAGCAACAGTTTTTTAGCACCCTGACCGTTTCGGGGTCAGCAGAGAGCATCTCCGTGTTCAGAAGGAGGTGTCCAACGAATCTGTGACGTCCCAGGACCTTATGAGAAGCCACAGTGCGGTAGCGGTTGGATATACAGTAGTGATCTCCTGGTTCCGCGACGTCCCGAAACTTTATGCCCTACAGTTCTTCGAATACCCCTTATAGGCACGAGCCAGTAGAAGTTTGAAACCGATACTTAAGTCGACGACAGGACCAAAATCTGGATCTCATATTGTAAACATCAGTTGTCTAGAAAACGAAGATAGGTGTTTTTTCCAGGGGTCTCTCAACCGATCTCTTCGGTGATGCTTCGCGAGGGTAACAGTCCCCTGCAAAGAGAACCATTGAAGATACCAGCATCAAAAATAACGCGGGCCAGGTGTACACACTCCAGCTGTGCGCCGGGAAGTTGATATGGAACCTATGGTGACACGCGATAAGCTACTCAAAACCGAACCTCATGCCAAGGCTGGGGCGGTTAGGCCCCGGCCGGAGCCTAAAAGGTTCAGTGCACGGTGTTCGGTTTGCCACGGTGACAAACAGCGCACGGTTCAAGAGGCTTGGGTGAATCTTGTCTCTTCGTCAATTTGGATTTGATGCACGTTCGCGATGAGGTCGAGGAGGGCGAAACTTGTTTCTGTTGTCTGCGTTTATGAGTCTTCCGCGAAACAAAATTGAACTGCACACTTCATCACATGGCATATATGTGCATTTCAATTGTTTCCTTTAGTTTAATTGTTCCAGGATTGCAATATCAATGGAAACAAAATTGTCAATTGAGGCTGGCATCTACCTGTGACGCCTTGATTCAGACAAAAGGAACGGGAACTGCCTCCCGTGATAACGAGTACAGATTCTTATGCTCACTAACGGTAACTCCCTGTGAGAGGTGTGGAGTCAGCACTGGCCGCAACTAACGCTCCGCTTGCTTTGCGTCGCATTTCTTAGTGCAATCGCCACGTCGGGCTCTTAGCGGTTCCCGGAATGCCCGCGAATCAGCACCGAGTCAGCACCTAGTCAGCACCTAGTCAGCACCTAGTCAGCAGCAAGACCCGCTCCCGGTCGACAACGCAGCAGCTATGTCCGCTCCCCCCGGCCGGGGTCTCGACGTTCATGCCTCTCGTGATAACTGCCAAGGCGATATCTCGTCCGACGTTTCCCAGAGCACCAACGGCTTACCGAACGTGTCCCCCGGTAGTAGCAGCAGCGCGCATACCCTAGCTGCTAGCAGCCACTACGGCCTCAGCAGCGTCAGTTTGAACATGTTCGATTCGCGTTCGCTAGACGATCTCCCTCCCGACGTCCTCCTTATAATCTTCTCTTTCCTCTCCCGCCGAACCCTCGCCACCGCCGCTGCTGTCAGCCGGAAATGGCGCCACCTGGCGAGCTCTGATTCGCTGTGGGAGGAGCTGCTGCGATCCGGAGATCCCGAGGGATGGCCGATGGTGCTGTTCGCTGAGACCCACCTCCGACTCGGCCGAGGGAGCAGGTGAGAGTCGGGCGAGGGAGCCGGTGAGAGTCGGGCGAGGGAGCCGGTGCGAGTCGGGCGAGGGAGCAGGTGAGAGTCGGGCGAGGGAGCAGGTGAGAGTCGGGCGAGGGAGCCGGTGCGAGTCGGGCGAGGGAGCAGGTGAGAGTCGGGCGAGGGAGCCGGTGAGAGTCGGGCGAGGGAGCCGGTGAGAGTCGGGCGAGGGAGCAGGTGAGAGTCGGGCGAGGGAGCCGGTGAGAGTCGGGCGAGGGAGCCGGTGAGGTGGCGCTGGGAGCTCCAAAGAGTGCTGAAGCAGGGGTGGTGTGACGGTGTGGCTTATCGTCTGAGATGGCTCAGCGCGTACAGCCAGAAGCATCTGTCCCACTAGACAGTCCTCAACTGCTCCGCTGCTCGCCCGGGCCAGAAGCATGAACTCTCCATGCCCTGCCTGCACTTCTAGTTTTGAGGCGCCTCAAAACATGAACTCTCCATGCCCTGCCCACACTTCCCCCCCGCTCCCAGCAGGCCCAATTGCAGTCAAACCGAGGCCGGATCCTCGGAAAACAGGCGCCATGAGCAGCAACAGCAGCAGCAGCAGCAGCGGAAGTTGGTGCTGCGGCAGTGCGGCAGCAGCAGGGGCGTGTCCGGGCTGCCCTGGTGTGACATCTACCGCTTGCGAGCGCTGCTGCCGCCTGTGCTGGTTGTGGATGGTGAGCCGAGGAGTCACATTCCCCACTGCTCTGTCCTCTCCAGGCCTCTCCTAGGTCCGGGGGGCGTAACACGTGTCTCTCTCTGTGCCTACATGTGCGCATGAGTGCAGGTGGGTCGGGCTACTGCAAGTTCGGCATGAGCAGTGAGGCAGCGCCCACAGGACGCATAGCCACCTTTCTGGTCAGTGCCTGGCATACATATCTGAACTTTCACCTGAGAATCTCCTTGATTATGCTCCGTAGAGTACACTCTTTTTACTTCCTGTCAATAACGCCATGGACACGTGTCTTCTCACGCCCTACGCCCGCTGCCCTACCCAACAGGAGTTTGGAAACATCGAGGCACCTTCCCTCGCCCGCCTGCGAGCGCTCTTTTCCTCCGTCTACGCCAGGTGACGTCAGCGCACACTCCAGATGATGTCAGCATGCTTCTCAGGTGCTACCAACGCCTGTGCTAAAAAGGCTGGCATGCATGCCATGTGCTGAATTTGCTGGCATACATGCCCTATGCTAAAAATGTTGGCATATGTGCACTACGCCTAAAATGCCGGCATACATGCACTATGCTAAAAATGTTGGCATATGTGCACTACGCCTAAAATGCCGGCATACATGCACTATGCTAAAAATGTTGGCATATGTGCACTACGCCTAAAATGCCGGCATACATGCACTATGCTAAAAATGTTGGCATATGTGCACTACGCCTAAAATGCCGGCATACATGCACTATGCTAAAAATGTTGGCATATGTGCACTACGCCTAAAATGCCGGCATACATGCACTACGCCTAAAATGCCGGCATACATGCACTACGCCTAAAATGCCGGCATACATGCACTACGCCTAAAATGCCGGCATACATGCACTACGCCTAAAATGCCGGCATACATGCACTATGCTAAAAATGTTGGCATATGTGCACTACGCCTAAAATGCCGGCATACATGCACTATGCTAAAAATGTTGGCATATGTGCACTACGCCTAAAATGCCGGCATACATGCACTATGCTAAAAATGTTGGCATATGTGCACTACGCCTAAAATGCCGGCATACATGCACTATGCTAAAAATGTTGGCATATGTGCACTACGCCTAAAATGCCGGCATACATGCACTATGCTAAAAATGTTGGCATATGTGCACTACGCCTAAAATGCCGGCATACATGCACTATGCTAAAAATGTTGGCATATGTGCACTACGCCTAAAATGCCGGCATACATGCACTACGCCTAAAATGCCGGCATACATGCACTACGCCTAAAATGCCAGCATACATGCACTACGCCTAAAATGCCGGCATACATGCACTACGCCTAAAATGCCGGCATACATGCACTACGCCTAAAATGCCGGCATACATGCACTACGCCTAAAATGCCGGCATACATGCACTACGCCTAAAATGCCGGCATACATGCACTATGCTAAAAATGTTGGCATATGTGCACTACGCCTAAAATGCCGGCATACATGCACTATGCTAAAAATGTTGGCATATGTGCACTACGCCTAAAATGCCGGCATACATGCACTATGCTAAAAATGTTGGCATATGTGCACTACGCCTAAAATGCCGGCATACATGCACTACGCCTAAAATGCCGGCATACATGCACTACGCCTAAAATGCCAGCATACATGCACTACGCCTAAAATGCCGGCATACATGCACTACGCCTAAAATGCCGGCATACATGCACTACGCCTAAAATGCCGGCATACATGCACTACGCCTAAAATGCCGGCATACATGCACTACGCCTAAAATGCCGGCATACATGCACTATGCCGATGCCTCAGAGACTGCCAGCCAAGGCCCGTCATGACTTGCACCCGCGCGCGTAGAAAATCTTTTTCGTCCATCGACTTGCAAACTCAATGTCCTTGTGGGCAAGAGAAAGACACTTCTAAGGGAGAGGTGTTGGGCCCACCGCCCCCCGCCCACCGCCCACTGCCCAATCGGTTGGTTGGTTGTCCCTACTTCGTCACAATCACGCCGCCATCCCTCCCTGCTCCCGTCCCATCCACCCATCCCTCTCCCTCCCTTGCCCTCGCCCCTCCCCCCCCTCCTCTCCCCCAGCGTGCGCGCCATCCCATCCAGCCACCCAGTTGTCGTCTCCGAACCTCTCTGCTTCCTGCCAGGTGACTCTCTGTTGCCACGTGACCATCCAGGTGACTCTCTGTTGCCATGTTGCTTGCCAGGTGACTCTCTGTTAAGACGAACATGTTAGTCTACCTTGCCCTCTCCTCGCTCTTCCTGGCATCTCACTTCCACGCGGTGCTTTGTGCGCTGTGTGCCTACATACAGAGACGCGGGAGGCCCAGGAAGGGAGGCGGCGACTGAGGGAGGTGACATGTGCCGTGCTCTTCAGCGCCATGCACGTGCCGTCCGTGTGCCTCGTGGACCAGGTGACCGGCTCTAACTTGCAGCCCTAGATGTGTAAACCGGAGCAGCGAAACCCATCAAACTCACCACCTGTTCCTGTTTTGACCTGCTGACGTCATGTGCACTCTGAATTTCCCACTTCCCACTCTCTACTCTCATTCTTCCCTCCTCTCTCCCCCCTATCTCCCACCCGGGCCGCGCTAGCCCTGTATGCGGTAGGAGCACCATGAGGCGTAGTGGTGAACATTGGCCTCCGCAGCGCCACCAGAGAGCCCATCATGCGGGGCTGCACAGCGCGCCATCCATCTGCTTCCTTGCTTGGCGGCTCAACCCCCCCCACCTCGCCTCCCAATACCCAACCCACCCTCGCACTGTATGCAGTGGGTGCAGCGTTGGGCATAGTGGTGAACATCGGCTTCCGCAGCACCACCATCGTGCCCATCATGCGCGGCCGCTCTGCCGGTGACCTGCTCTCTTGCTTGGCATCTCAACCCTTCCCCCTTTTCCCCCCGACCCCCGCTTTCAACCCCCAGGCCACCCTGGCACTGTATGCAGCGGGAGCAGCATCAGGCATAGTGGTGAACATCGGCTTCCGCAGCACCACCATCGTGCCCATCATGCGCGGCCGCACAGCCTGTGACCTGCTGCCCTTCGTGTGCCTGCCGCTGGGCGCCATGCGGGTCACGGGGCACCTCAGCCAGCTGCTGCACGATGCCGGGGTGGTGTGCGAGTCCATGTTTACTGTGCGCACCATCAAAGAGGTCAGCCCCACGCCTTGCTGTCCCACATGTCACATGCCACATGCCACATGTCCAACCCAACTCGCTGCCCTGCATCTGCATAATCTCTCAATCAACACTTCCCGCACGCAGTGCTCATAGCTCAAGGGCCCGCACCAGGGCTTTTCCATGCCGCTTTCCCTCCGTGCTCTGCCCTCTCTCTGCCCCCTCCTGCAGTCGCTGTGCTTCGTGGCGCGCGACTTTGACAAGGCAATGAGGGGCGAGGAGAGGGGTGTGCGGGACACATGTGAGGTGCCGGGGGAGGGCTCCTTCACTCTGGGCAGGGAGCGCTTCCTCGCCGCTGAAGTGCTCTTCCAGCCTGCGCTCTGCGGCCAGTGCGTCCGCTGCGGTCAATGAGTCGCCACTGCATTGCTCCCCTCTCTGCTTTCTGCTGTGCTCCTCTCTTCTGTCTGCGTTGCTCCTAGCTGCTCTCTGCATTGTGTGCCCCCTTTAAGACTACCGCATGTGCAACTCGTGGCCCCAAAACAAAAACCCTTTTCCCCCCACGCCCCTCACATTCCCCCTGCGCCCCTCACATTCCCCCCGCCACCCTTCCAGAGGCGGCAGGGGCATACACCAGGCAGTGGCGCACTGCATCGTGCAGTGCGCCGCCAAGGTCAAGGCGTTTCAAGCACAGCAGGACTGGAAGGCGAGGAGGGGCGACGCGGGAGAGGCAGATGCTACAGAGGAAGAGAAAGATCCACTGGCTGGGGAGGGGCGGGGAGGAGAGGGAGGGGAGAGGCGGTCTGGGGGGGGAGAAGGGGCAGCAGAGGCGGGGGTGTGGGAGCGTGTGCCAGCGCCGTTGACGAGCGAGGATGTGGAGGAGGCGATAGGGACCGTGGTGGTGGCGGGAGGCACGTCTGCCCTTCCAGGGATTGCAGGTACGTGATGAATGAGGCTCCTGCTGTTGGTAGAGTGTCTGAGTGTGGATAATAAGAGGGGTTGGGTCTAGGATCTTGCTCAGAGTGTTTTTCTCCTCTTCTGAACCTTTTCTGCTCTGCTGGCCTTCATTGCTCCTTGTCTTTCCGCCCGCACAATCCACCCTTGCGCAGAGCGACTTCAGCTGGAGCTGCAGCGGCTGCTTCCCTCCCCCCTCTCGGACCGACTCACTGTGAAGGCGGTGGGGCAGTACGGCACATGGATGGGTGGCAGGACTGTTGCCACTGTGAGTGCAGGTGGTCGTGGCTCTGTATCACCTTGTTACGATCACATTCACATGCAACTACATCATTCACCAAGTATGATTGTTGTTCATGTCTTCCGTCTGGTTGCAGACGAGCTCATTCTTGTCGGCATGGGCATTGAGCAAGGAGGAATACACGGAGAAAGGGCCGTCTTCTGTCCATGCCCTTGCCATGGATACACATAACGTGAACATGTCAACTTATACGTATGCATTGCATGTATAGTTATAGGCTAGATGGGTTCATGCCCTTAGAGAGTACAACACCCAAATCATATATGCCCCTGTATGCCTTCCTAGAGTTCACTTCGTTACTCTGACATGGTGTCGAGCTAGGTAGGTCCGACCCACCCGCATTTCCGCCCTAGCCTACTGTATAGCGCCCCACCTTAGAGCACCCCGCCCCTAGCGCGCTCCTGCCCTAGCTCACCGCGCCTGCCTTAGCCCGCCGCGCCGCGCTGGCCCTAGCTCGGCGCGCTAGCCCTCTGCCCGTCGCGTCGGCCTCTAGCTCGCTGCGCCGCGCTGGCCCCTAGCCTGACGTGCCGCGCTGGTCCTAGCTCGCCGCGCAGGCCCCTCCTCGATGCGTCGGCCCTAGCTCTCGCCGGCCCCTCCTCGCCGCGCTGGCCTCTCCTCGCCACGCTAGCCCCAGCTCCACACGTCGGCCCCAACTCGCCGCACCGCCCCATATCATCGCGTCAGCCCCAGGTCACCGCGCCGCCCCAGCTCGCCACATCGGCCCCAGCTCGCCACGCCGGACCCCGCTCGAAGCGTCGAGCCCAGCTCGTCGCGTCGGCCCCAATTCACGTGCCGGCCTCTATTCGCCGCGCCAGCCCCTGCTCGCTACTGGCCCCAGCTCGCCGCCAACCCGGGTTTCTCCTCTGCGCCGGCGCCCTCGCCGACCATCTGCTCTCCCCCATCTTCACCGCTCTCCACCACTCTCCACCGCACTCCACCATACCCACCTCTTCTCTGCTCCTCCTCCTCTTGCGCTCTACAGCTGCTGCAACTGTGCGTGATGGCGAACGCCACTATTCGCTTGGACACAGTTGGACGTGCGGTGGATTTCGAGGCATGGCTCACCGACCTGCGCCGCCAGCTGAAGGGTCCATGCCAGGATGGCCTGTCTCTGGCCGTCCATGTCGACGGTAAGTTGCCCTACCCCCCCGTGCCTGCTGTCCTCGCCGACACTGCCACGCCTGCTGAGCATGAGGGTTTCACAACTGGTGAGCTCGCTCGCTCTGTTTGGGAGTCGCGTGACGCTACTGCGTAGCTTGCTATAAGTTATGCCCTCCTGCTGTCCGAGCGTCCCCAATTTCAGGCCCCAGAGACGGCGAAGGAGTACCTAGAAGACGTTATTGCTCGCTATTCCACTCCCTCCTCCGCCTCTGCTGGCCCTCTCCTCCTGCCCCTGCTCTTACCTGACTTAGCTTCCTTCCCCACTGTCGCTGATCTCGCCACCCACTTGCGCGCTTTAGAGACTAGCTACCGCGCAGCTGGCACTAAGGCTCAGCTCATTGTACTTCCTCCCCCCCTCGGCGCTACCCCTCCTCCTGTGCTCCCTCCCAGTGCACTTTCCCTGACGTTTCCGCTGCTGTCGCTGAGACTGCCGACGGGGGCTGAGCGCAGCCTCGTTAGGGTAGAGCCCCCTGTCGCCCTAGAGGGGGCCGTGGGGGAGGGAAGGGTGCTGGGGGTGATGGGGGTGGCGGGAACGGTGGAGGTCGTGGAAGCGCTGGGGGTGCAGATGAGGGGGTAGGGGCTGACGTCCCAGAGCAGCACCAGGAGCAGCAGCAGCCGAGGCAGCAGCAACAGCCGCAGGAGCAGTGGGGGCCCCCGCCGCCGTGGTGGTCAGGTGGCTTCGTTGGTAGTGGCCGTGGAGGCGGCACTCGCAGCTCGATGTCGGGTGGCAGCTCCAGTTCGATGAGTTGCCAGTACCAGATCCGTTCTGGTCCGGTTTGTGACCGTCCCGGTCACACCGCCGCCCGCTGCTACCGCCGCCTCAATGACCTTTTTGGTCTCCGCTTCGGGCCCAAGCTGGCCCTCCCAGACTGGCACAGCCTGGTACGTCGCCTTATGCTGGTGTTTGAGATGGATATAGATAAGATCCACTCTGCTTTGTATGTCTTGTATGCTGATGACTCTAATGTTACTGGACCCTATTAACTAGTGTTGCCTAGCCTAGATGTGTCTGAGGTGTGTAGTCTAGGCTCCCAAGTTGCATCACGCGTAGGACCTCCTAACTTGTTTAGCCTTAGCTCCACACTTGCGCCCCCGCAAGCCGACGCTACCACCGCACTCTCCTTCACGCTGGACTCTGGTGCATCTGCCTACTTCTTTCGCAACCACACCACCCTAACGCTGCTTTTAGCACCCGCAGTAGTCTCCCTTGTCGACCTTTCCTCCGGTCCGGTAGTTGCACGTAGCCCCACCACACTTCCTTGTCCAGCGGTTCCCTCAGGCTCTCTCACAAGTCTGTACATCCCCTCGTTCTCCAGGAACCTTATTGGTGTCAGCTGTCTTCAAGACCTCGGCGTCACCACCACGTTTCCTGGACACAAGCAGTAGGCAGTCTGTACTGAGGCTGCCATTGGTGCCCCTGTCGCCACGTTCCCTTGAGACCCGGTGTCTGGCTTGTTCACGCTGGACACCACGTCTTTTAGGTGGTTGCGTCCCCTCAGGTGGCTGCGTTTACGCAGATCACTGCGATTTGGTCGTGTCGGTCGCTCACTCACCCATCGCTTCTGTGGCACCACCGCCTAGGTCCTCGCACTCCCACGCCTACGTCACATGTCCTAGCACGGTCTTGTAGGTCTCCCTGCATCGCTCCCTACCCTCCCTCCCTCGCCCGACGCTTCTATCTGGCACTTCTACCACCCGTCGTCTCACCGTTTCTTTCACTCGCGTGACGTCACATTTGACGAGTCTGACTCCTTCTACACTCGCTTCCCCCACCGAGGTCTCCCCGTTACCCCGCCCCTGTTCCTTGTCCCCACTCCCCCGGTAGCTTCTGCTCTCCGTCCTACCCTGTCTGGTGTGTCTTATGTCACCCCCCTTCCTTCAGTTGTCCCGGCGGAGGAGTCTGCTGACTTCGGGGGCCTTGAGGCTCTGGGTGAGCCGCCCGTTTCTGCGGCACCTACACACTCGGCCCCGGTGCCTCCTCCGCCGCTGCAGCAGCAGCATTCGCCGCCACCGCAGCAGGGGTTGGTGGGCTCTGGGGGTGTTGGCGCTGGAGGTGCTGATTGCGATGAGGGTTCTAGTTCTAAGGGTGTTAGTTCTGGGGGTGCTACTCCTGGGGGTGCTTGTCCTGGGGGTGCTGTCGTGGCGAGTAGTGGAGGTAGCCGTGGTATGACTGGAGGTCTTGGTGTGGGCACGGAGGAGAAGCAGCAGAAGCAGCAGCTGCAGTGTCCGCCCTTCACCTTCTCGGTCTTCCCTCTCCCGACCGACCGCCCGCACATCCCCCAGCACTGCCTCCTCTCGTCTACGGCCCCCTCCAGACTCATCCCCGGCTCATTTCCCCCCTTGTTCTCCTCCTGTGTCTCCTCCTTTGTCTCCTAACCCTACGCCCCCCTCTCGCTAGTGGTCTCACCGTCCCTCTCGTGCTCATCCCATCTCTCCCGCTCCGAGTATCAGCACTATGTCTCTCCATCCTCATGCGTCTCGTGCTCCTCCTTCTCCTGTTCTCTTGTCGCCTCCTCAATCATCCCTCCATGTCTCCCCTCCTCCTCGCTCTGACCTTCTCCGTGCTGCTCGCTCTCTTGTTCCTCTTGTCCTAGCCTCTCTTGTTATTGACTCGTCCGTTTCTGTCTCCAGTATCTCGGCTCTTGTCGCTGTCGTTGCTGACTTCGCCTCTACTTGCCACCTTGATACGCCATTACTTTGGTCTCTGACCCTGCCCATCCTCCGTCCATCGGCGGTGCACATGCCCTTGGCAGTGACGTCCTATAGGACAGGCAGTACGAGCTAGCTTTCTTTTCGAAGCCCGCTCCTCATCTTTGCTCCATGCTGCTAGCCCTGAGGGTGACCCAGACGCTCTTGATATCGCAACCCTTTGTACCTACGTTGAGGCGACTTTGGGATCATAAGCCTCTCAGTGCATAGCTACCATGGACGCAGAGATGACATCTTGGAGATCCACTGGCACGTACGTCGACGCAATTCCCCCACGTGGAGCGAACCTAGTCGATGGCCGTTGGCTCTTCAAGGTGAAGCGCCCTCCTGGAGAGCCACCGGTGTTCAAGGCGCCCTACATTGCTAGGGGCTTTAGTCAACGCGAGGGTGTTGACTTCTTTTAGACCTTTGCCACGACCCCGAAGATGATCACTCTTCGGTCGCTGCTACACATAGCAGCACAGTGCGACTACGAGCTTCACTTGATTGATTTCTCCACAACGTTCATTTAAGGCAGTCTACACTAGCAGATCTACCTGCGCCGTCCGCCAGGCTTCTCTGGCTCTTTCCTTCCTGGTACCGAGTGGTTCATCCGGCGCCCGGTCTATGGTCTGCGGCAGGCGCCCCGTGAGTGGCACAACATGCTGCGTGTTATAGTAGCAGACCTCCTGTTCTTTCCATCCTCTGCTGACGCGTCCCTCTTCGTTCGCTTAGGCCACACTCCATTCTACATCCTAGTCTACGTAGACGACCTAGTCTTCGCTACTGCAGACAGAGACACGCTGGCCTCAGTGAAGGTCGAGCTGCTGAAGAGACCCACCTGCACTGACCTTGGAGAGCTGTGCCGCTACCTTGGGCTGCATATCTCCAAGGACAGAGCCGCGTGCACCATCACTCTCTCAAAGTCACACTTGGTGCACCCGGTCCTTCAGAGGTTCGGCCTTCAGTTCTCCTCCACACAACCCACCCCTTTGCCTGTTGATCACAGGCTCTCGGCTCCAGTCCCTGACGAGTTGATCGAGTCTAGTGGTCAGTACGCAGAGCTTGTGGGCGTCCTCATGTACCTGATGACTTGCACTCGTCCAAATCTCGCATACCCTCTTAGTATCCTTGCACGCTTTGTTGCGACAGGCAGACACCGACCTCAGCACTTGTCGGTTGCCAATAGGGTGTTGCAATATCTAGCAAGTACATCAGGCATCGGGTTACTGCTGGGAGGGCATCGGCCTAGCTCTGCCCCGGTCCTGTACGCTGACAACGGGGCCATGATCCTCCTGTGTCAGGAGCCTTGAATGGAGGGCAAAGCAAAGCACATTCAGCTAAAGTACTTCCTCCTTCGCAAGCTACAGCAGCGCGGCCAGGCTTGCGTAGTACAGTTAGCCTCCAGTGCCAACACAGCTAGAACCTTTACCAAGGTGCGTGCGCCTAAAGATCATCAGCGACACTGCTTACAGCTTGGCCTAGTTCCAGTAGCTCCCCACTTCCAGAATCGCGCGCATGGTTTTGCAACCTATTTTTTCCAAGGCGTTCCATTCTTTATCTTAGTATTTGTTTCCTAGCCCATCTGATTTCTCCAGTAGGCGATTTGGATCGCTTATCGCCATGTACCCGAACTTATCTTATCTCGTTCTCACCTTTGCGTGTGACCTTGTTCTGCATATGACTCTATCAAAGGGTGCATATCATACTGTGACCGTTGGTGGGACTGCAAGCAACCCCACCAAATGTGATCATACCAAAGGAAGGTACGAAAATACCAGCAATTTAAGCAAATATGTGGAGTCAACAAAGGTTAGAGAGAAATTCATAGCGAAGAGCTAAACCTGGAGCTGTAACCATTCATTTCCTCCCTCCCAAACTTTGGGGAACTTTCCTCTTGGCCTCATCCCAGGTGAGTGGACACCAACGCAATACCCGGCTACCAGCCGCCATACCCCGAAGCGTGTCTCTCAATGCTCAAGTGCCCGCAGCTGCTGCCGGGCCAGAAGCGCCTTGCAGCATACACGTTGCTGCCCGACTCGCCCTGCTCCGACCAGCATTGGCGGTGAGTGCTGTGACCAACAACCGCATCAGGTACTTCAAGTAGCCATAAATAACAAGCTACCGTGCATAATGTCGTTGGCGCCGCCCCTACTATTCACCTGTTCCATTCGTCACTCAAATCTCGATACTCCCTCGTCTCCCCCGTGTCCATGCCATTGGCGCCTGCACGTCACACCCTCCCAACAGAGCACAGCCAGCCAAGCTACTATCAATATACAGAAACTCCGCAATCGCTTTAATCGGGGACTCTTTTAGCAAGACCGTGGTGGGATCGCTCAAGTGCATTCTCGCGCAGGCCTCGCCGTACCAGGTGAGTTGGGCCAGTGCTTGACCCCCACTCGTGTCAGTTGGTCCGGCGCTTGACTCCTTAGGGAGTCTCGGCTCACTGCCAATGTGGCTTCCCCTCCACTGACAACACCAGTGGTTCGAATCGCATTGAGTTACTCACCTTAGCTTACTGCTTTCCCATCACCTCCCCTCACTGCTTTCCCCCCGCCTCCCCTGCCACCATGTGCCCCGCTCTCGACAGGGCGTCACAATGACGATCGGGCGAGTGAAGTATGCGTGCCTCCGCTTCACCAAGTACAACGTGACTCTCATCAGCATCAACAGTGGGTACCTTGTTAACAACCCCGCCTTCGTGAGTCTTGGATACACCCGAGGAAATGTCACCGGGAGTTGACCTGTGAATCTGCACCGAGTGCGGCAGACTTGTCCCTTGTCATATCATGACACCCCAGGGCACTCACCATTATGGCATTGAATCCGTGTGCCCATAATGGTCTAGAGAATCGCCATCAGGCTTGATGCTGTAGAGAACCCCCATGAGGGGTGATGGTGTGGCATCTCGCTCACCACCTCCATGTCCACCTCTGTGTCCCCCTCCAGTCCCCAGGGAACCTGACCTACCCCAACCTTAGATGGACCTCGGTGCTGCCGCGCATCCAGGCTGCCATCTTCACTGTGGGCTATTGGTTCTTCCACGAGAAGCAACCCCCACTGTTGGATCGCCTGCGAACCGCCTTCTCCCTCACGCACAAGCCCCTGCAGTCCTCGAACTACATATGTCGCGCCCTCGCGCTCTCCTTCTCCCCTCTCCACACCAAGGACGCCTGTGCAATGGCTAATGCGCCCCTCCCTGCGTCCTCTTCTGTCACCGCTCTAGCAAATGTGACTGTATGGAACGCTACCCCGGTTCTGAAGGCACAGAAGAGGGTGCTACGGGGGTCCAGGCTGCAGCTGGTGGATGTGACTGTAATGAGCCGGTTGAGGCCAGATGCACATATAAGGGGGAATACCGAGGTGAGCATGCGAGGATGTGTCCCAGGTAAGTAAACTGTTGGGTGCAGGGCCTCAGATTCGTTTAGAGGCGCCCTAATAGCTCAGGGTCCCCCCACCTTGGTCTCCTGATTTTTCAAGCCTCTCCAAAAAAATTCCGTGATCCATCAGGGTCCCTAGAAATTTTAACGCTGAGTAAACATGATTATACACAGAAAACACGTTGTGTAATATATGCCTAGTATTATGCGGTAGCAGGGTTCTCAATGGCAGCAGGCGCAGAGGGACCAGGGCTAGGATTGGGCTATGAAAGTACGACCGCGTCTGAAACAAAAATGGACGGTCGCATTCAAGTCTGCAGGATTGACAAGGGGCGGTTGGGGAAACTCAAGGAAGTCACGGGTGGAGGGGTGGGGGCTGCGAAGCGAATCTGCTATTACACGAATCTGGACAAACAGGGCTCACTACACTAGTAACGATGATCGATCAGAGTTCACTCCTAAAAAAACGCTGAAAATTCAGGTATGTGTCTTACAAAAATTCAATCTCATCAGGGTCACCCCCCAAAAAAGCCCAGATTTTACGCTGAATCTGGGTAAAAAGCTTGCAATCTGAGGCCCTGGTTGGGTGTGTAGATTGCAATTTCATGTCACATGGCATACCTCGTTTTCAGTTCCCAACCTATCTCCCACCCCACCCCTCCCCCCTGCAACACCGGAAACTCAATACTTCCCACCTCCCAGCAAATGTGCTTGCCCAATAATCCCCGCCTCCCTTCCCCCCCCCTCCCCACCCCACAGCATGAAAAGCTGGACTGCAGCCATTGGTGCTTACCTGGTGTGCCTGACAGCTGGAGTCAAATCCTCATCTCGCATCTGCTGGGGAAGCAGGATTGATGGATGGTGGCGGGTTATAATTTATAAGCACTGAAAATACGAGAAAAGGGCTATAAGAGTAGATTTTCTGAATGCTTGTGGCTTCTCGCTTGATATGTGGGGGCATTGCATAACAGATAGCAGGCACGCTAGGCAAGCAGTCATACATGCAGTCTTTCTTCCTCGTATTCAGCCCGCTGTCCAAATGCCCATCCGGCCATAGCATACTCATAATGGTGATCTCCACAAATCTTATCTGGGAGTTCTAGCAACTCCCTCGGAGCTTTCAGCCGCATCACACCACGGTTATCTCCCCCCTTAACAGCTTCTGTGAATTGGTTTACACGATTGGTTGCCTTTTTGCATTGTACACCGTTGTGCATCGGACTGTAGGACACATACAGACGCACACTGGGGTCATTCGTCCGTGCGACTACGATTGACATGTAAATTCTGTGAGAGATAGCGAGGGGTTCGAGGTTTGGGAGGAGAGAGAAAAACTATGGGATATGCAGGCATGGCTAAGGGCACACATGGTTACTAGCTAGCATGGTCATGGCCGACAGTGATGACAACACATATTATGCTGGGAGAATGGGCAGCTGAGATGAGACATGGTATGGGGAATGCGGATGATGGAAAGGGAGAAAGGGAGAAAGGGAGAGGGGGGGGGGGGAATGAGGGGGGAGGAGGGGAGTGGGGAAGAACCATGTGGGCAACTTTGTATGAATTGCCAATTACTAATTATGCCGAAGGATATGTGTGCGGGCACTAGCAGTAAATTTTATCTCGGCAGATTTGCAGGAATTGTCGGCCACCTCGTCGAGTTGCCGAGTCGCTTTTCACGGACCGCGCTAGGGGGGAACCCTCCCAACCCAACCAGCCAATTCCCCAGTTTCGCCGTCGGTTCCTCACCTGCCCACCCAACCAAACCCATCCAATTCGCCCCCATCTAGCTGACACGCCCTTTTCGCCTAACGCCATCCCATCATCCCATCCTCTCTCCTACCGCCATCACCGTCCCACCCCCCATCCCAGCTGCCTCGTTTGCCAAGCCCGACCTGCTTTTGGTTCCTTGTTTGCGAGCCCGACGCCGTCCACAAGGAGGCACGACCAGCAAGCAACATGCGTTCCGGACAAGGCTTAGGTTGTACGAGCAGTGAGATGCGTTTTGGACAATGTTACCGGCGCATGGGTTGCTTTCAATGCCTTGTGTTGCACCCCTCGAGTCGTTTCGGTATGCTAGCTCATCTGGTTTCTCCCGTCGCGCGTACCTATATATCTTTCAACTTGTTAATATTTTAGGCGATTCAAATTAGCTATCGCCATGTACCCCAAGTCATCCTACCTCGTTCTCATCGTCGCGTGCCACCTTCTAATGCTTGTGACTCTATCGAAAGGCGCGCCTCATCCCGCGACAGCCAGTGAGACTGCGAGCAACGCCAAAAAATGTGACTATACCAGGGGGAGGTACGGAATTACCAGTGGCCTTGGCAGCATCACTGGTTCGAATGATGCGTGTGCGGGCGATGAAGTCGTGGATGGATTGCAGGTGGGCTGCGAAGGATAGAGAGGTTCGATTTCGCTCCCTGAAGCTTCTCCTCCCCCCCTTGTCTCCATCCTCGCCTCTCCCCCTCGCCCCTTCTCAGGTGGTTAAGCACCAGCGCGATACCCGGCTACCAGCCGCCGTATCCCGACGCGTGTATTGCCTCGCTCAAGTGCCCGCAGCCTCTGCCGGGCCAGAAGCGCCCCGCCGCGTACGCGTGGCTGCCCGACCCGCCCTGCTCGCCCCAGCACTGGCGGTGCGTGCTCGGATCCCAGGAGTCGCACTAAGTGCGTATATTGGGTTGGTCGTTACATGCAAAGCAGCGGCAGCTATCGAGTATGAGGGTCAAGAATTTCAACTAATTTTCCAAATTCTAAATTTATCTCGTTCAACTCCGACGCACGTCCCTCCGACAGAAAACAGTCCAACCAGCTACTAACAATGTACAGGGACTCCACGATGGCATTTATCGGGGACTCTTTTAACAGTGCCGTGGTGGAATCGCTCAAGTGCATTCTCGCTCAGGCCTCGCCGTACCAGGTCAGTGGGGCCGGCATGGCGTGACAACAAAGCTGCAGCACCAGTTAATCCTCTTCCATCTCTTACCATCTCCTGCCGTGGCTCAGTGCGCTTCACGCCGTCTCCCTTGCACGCGCCCCTGCGCCCCGCCCACGACAGGCAGAGACGATCAAGATAGGGCAACTCAAGTACTCGTGCCTCCGTTTCATCAAGTTCAACTTGACTGTCATGAGCATCAGCAGCGGCTACCTCGTCAACAACCCTGCCTATGTAAGAGTCTGTTACCAGGTCAGAACCACTCAGGCTCCACAACTCCCAGCCCTTGTCATCTGGAATGCCGTAGAGAGTCAAGTAGAGCCTGACATGCCATGCCGGCCCCCATGCCATGCCGGCCCCCATGCCATGCCGGCCCCCATGCCATACCTGCCCCCATGCCATGCCTGCCCCCATGCCATGCCTGCCCCCATGCCATGCCTGCCCCCATGCCATGCCTGCCCCCATGCCATGCCTGCCCCCATGCCATGACGCCCACGTCGTGGCAGCCCACAAGACATGCATTTCGTCCTTCCTCCTTCTGCTCCACTCCCCACGTCCCAAAATTCCAGGATCAGAAATACGGAGTAGGTATACAGTAGGTACGGCATAGGTACGTCTGCTACGGAGTAGCCTTGCTATACGAACAACTGTACCTACAATATAGGAGAGATCCACATTTTTGTGACGCAGGAAGCCTAACCTGCCCCAAACCGTGTGCTGCTGCTTCGCACCACAGCAGAGCAGAGGCCCCATCTTTGCATTGAGGCGGCTCTAACCTCAAACCCCCTCAAAACCTGAACTCTGAACCCAATACACTGAACCCCAAACCCTGACCTCCAGTCTGGAAGCAATGTGACCTACCCCAACCCCCGGTGGACCGTGGTGCTGCCGCGCACCCGAGCAGCCGTCTTCACTGCGGGCCATTGGTTCTTCCACGAGAAGCAACCCCCACCATTGGATCGACTCCGATCCGCCTTTGCCCTCACGCGCAACCACCTCCAGTCCACCAACTACAGCGGCCGCGCACTCGCCCTCTCCTTCTCCCCCCTCCACGTCACCAAGGCCTGCAGTGTGGCTAAGGCACCGCTCCCTGCCTCCTCCTCTCCTGCTGCAATAGCAAATGTGACTGTATCGAATGCGATTCCCGCTCTTAGAGCACAGAAGTGGGTGTTGCGGGGTTCGAGGCTGCGGCTGGTGGATGTGACTACAATGAGCCGATTCAGGGTGGATGCGCATTTAAGGCGGAAATCCGAGGTGGGTGTGGGTGTATGTGTGCGCAGCGACATTGCAATCCGATGAAGTTTGCCGCTGCATGACACAAGGCTCGCTCTCATTCCTCAACCTATCTACATCCCAGCCCCTCACCCCAGAGATGCTCCTGCCCAAAACCTTCCCTCCCTTTCCCTCCCTTCCTCCTCCCCTCCCCCTCCCTTCCTCCCTCCTCTCCTCTCCTCTCCTGCAACCCAACAGCACGAGAGGATGGACTGCAGCCATTGGTGCTTGCCTGGCGTGCCTGACAGCTGGAATCAAATCCTCATCTCGCACCTGCTGGGGCAGCAGGATTGATGGCGATGCACCACACACGCTGGTGAAGTCCTCTGCAGCTAATGGGAAAATATGGAGAAAACATGTATCCTGTACAGACTCGTTGGAACGCTGTAAATGTTGCTCATCAATGTAACATGTGATTACTTGTGTTGTGGCATGATAGATTAAAGAATGACCTACACAAGCATGGAGTAGATAACATCAACCCATGCATCAGGTACACCAGGCAAGCACCAGTGGCTGCAGTCTTTCTTCCTCCCATTCAACCCTCTATTCAAATGTGCATCCGGCCTTAGCATACTCATGTAAGTTATCTCCACTAATCTTATCTGGGAGTTTTTTAGCAGCTTCCTCTGCTCTTTCAGCGCCACCATCGCACGGAGGTCCCCCCCTTCAACAGCTGCTGTGATGTTGTTTGAAGGAGCGACAGCCTTTCTGCACTGTACACGGTAGTGCATCGGTGAGTAGGATACAACGAGGGGGACGCCGGGGTAGTTGGTCCGTTCGATATAGTCACGCACAGCCTTTAGTGACTTGCGAAGTTTCAGAACCGGTGACATGAAATTCTGTGAGGGATGGTGGGTGTGGAGTGGAGAGGCAGCAAGGGCGAGGAACGCATCAGGAATCAGCAGAAATGGTTGCAGCGAGACAGGATTCCAGAGGATGGAATGACTGCCATGGAAAAGCCATCCCTGATGGGATGAAGCAGAAAGGAATCGTGTAGTGGTGGTAGAATGGGCGGCTGGGATGAGACCTGGTGGAAGAATCAATGGCCGGATGTGAAGATGATGGCACTGGTGAGCGGCAGGATGGTGGCCCACTCTGGATCCACCCTCACCCTTGCTGAGGTCTGGTGGGGGAGAGGTGGAAGAGGAGAGAGGGGGGAAGGAGGGAGGAGGGCTGAAACGAATGGAGAGCAGGTCAAAGCAGGGTGGGATTGCAGCATGACAGAAGGCACGCTTGACAGGACGCTGGGCTTGGAGGAGCACGTGGAATCATGGAGGGGCTTGGGAGTGTGAGGTGCCTAAAACCACATGTATGGCAGCTTGGTGACCCCAGGGGGGCAGGGGTAGAGCTTAGGACGCGACGGAGTAGTGCTGGTCAGTGCATACCGTGTTGACTAGGCGTGTGAGCTTGCCGCTGCCGATGCTGACTATAGTGAGGTTGTAGGAGGGCAGCAGCAGAGCATTTCGGTAGCGGTAGTTACCCACAGATAGGCGCACGTACTGACAACACAGGGTGGGCGGGGGAAGATGCAGGGGGTGGGGGGGGGGAGAGAAAGGGCGCAGGGAGGGTTGGGGATGCTGAAGAAAGGCAACTCCAGGGAGGGTGCCGGGGAGGATTGCTGTGAACCCCCCGTTAGTCAGCTGCATCGAGAATGGGCGCACTAAATGAGCTCAGGGCGCCATAGATGACCGACAGGCGGACCGCACCTGGGAGGGGAGGGTGCACCGGGGAGGGGAGGGCGCACCGGGGAGGGGAGGGCGCACCTGGGAGGGGAGGGCGCACCTGGAAGGGGAGGGCGCACCTGGAAGGGGAGGGCGCACCTGAGAGGGGAGAGCGCACCTGGGAGGGAAGAGCGCACCTGGGAGGGGAGGGCACACCTGGAAGGGGAGGGCGCACCTGGAAGGGGAGGGCGCACCTGGGAGGGGAAGGCGCGCCTGGAAGGGGAGGGCTTACCTGGGAGGGGAGGGCGCACCTTGAAGGGCGTGGCTGCTGAGAGAGTGCATCGGAAGGAGTAGACGAGGTTGTCGCTGAACGAGTCCCCCACAAAAGCTATCACGCTGTTGCGGTACCTGTCTAGCAGCACACGTGGCTGCATTCTATTGGGCAGGGGGAAGAGGGAGTGAGGAGAGAGGGGGGACGTGGGTCAATCTCAGGAAGGTGGGAGTCCGTGTGGAAGAGAGCGGGAGGAAGAGGAAAGAGGGCAGAACGGCAGAGCACGCCTGCGCCTTACCGCCACAGGTCATAGGAGCAGGGGGGAAAGGGCTGCCACACAAAGCTGGAAGGGTTCGTGTGCCCCTCTGCCACGTCAGCACAACTGAATTGCGAGCAGCTGGGGCTGTAGGGCGGGCTGTAGCCTGGTATGGTCGACGTGTCCACCCAGCTGCGGTCAAGCAGAGTCAATGAAAGTCAACGGGAGTCAGCGGGAGGCGTTATCTGAAGTGTTTAGAGAGGAGTTGAATCACCCTCGTGCAGGTGCTAACTGAACGATATACAGCTACCCGCTCAGGTACTGCCTGCTCCTGAGGTAGCCCCTGTCCGGTTAGTACCTCCCCTTGAGGTAATTGCATCCGCCGTGCGACCTGGTCCGCGCCACCAGCCGCGCGTGCCGCTGAATCGCCCCACGGCCCAGCTGGCTCAAGGCGCACGCACAGGGAACGGGCGGAGAGCGGCAGGACGCGACGAGAAGGGCTAGCAGTAGCGGCAGCCGTGATAGCGGCTGTGCTGCGAGGCCGTGACCTGTCTTGACTGCTAGTGGCTTCGACAACACGAGCCGCGCCATGCGCTCGTTCTTAGGAGGTCAATCGTTGGTTACACATGTGGCATTTGCGAATTGGAGCCATTGGCAACGGAAAGGTCTATCGGCTATCCTACATGAACGCAGGGCACGGAGCACTGAGCGATCTAGCCTCGCGATCAACCCTAAGGAACGAAATGAGGAGGAACCGAGGCGAGTCCTTTCACTTATCCAAACAGACCCGGCGGCGACGCGCGGATGTGACTGCGGCGCCGCCGTCTCATGCGAAAATTGCACTCGGACGTGTAACCACATTTCGCCCATCGGCAAAGTTCAGCAAAATGTTTGGTTGCTTAGAGTGTTACACAGTCAGATCACGGTGAACAATAACGAAGAAACTACTAATGCAGCTCGCGTGGAGCCAATGGGTTTCCTTCGCAGATCTTCCAGCGTGGCTCCGACGCGCCTCGTTGGCTGGCATACCACCTGCGCCACCTGCGCGCCACCTGTGTTTCGGCTCGGGCGTTATTCCTCAGGGCAGTCGGTTTCACCTGCCGAGACCCCTGTTGAAATGCATTTCCCACCAAGCCTTTCTTGCGAACCTCTTCCCGGACCACACAATCTGCTTCGATATTTCAATGCCGTGGAGACCAGACCTCCCGAAGCCACCACCAAACGCGACCAGCCAGCTTCCGAACAGATGGGCGCCGTACCAGAGAGCCAGGTAAGGGAGGCGGATGATTGGTGGGCTAGGTCGTTGCGGGGAAAGGCCCGTGATAGGCCAAGCTGGTCAGGTGGCCTTGGGATTTTCAAGCACACCGCGCAGCAGCCATGGCCATCACATCACATGTGATATTCGTTCATTCACGTCAGCTTCACATTTCGAATCCAACTGGCACACTGATTTCTCCCAGACTACGACTGCTTGATCCGCCCACCATTCATTCTGAGAAGATCATCTCCGCGAGCTTTCAACTATTCGACACTTCTTGACACCTAGACAATTTGATCCCCTAATCATTAATCACTTTCGTCCGAGCCATCGATCCGGCTCAGCAGCATGAAGCCGAAGCGGCGCGCGCCGCAGAGGGTGCAGCGGAAGCCGAGCACGGTGGCGAGCGTGGGCGGCGGCAGCTGCATGCGCTTCATGCTGCTCTTCCTCGCCGCCGCCGTCCTCTTCTGGGTCCTCTCCTCGCGCTCCCAAGCCATCGCCTCGTCGCTCAACGCCCTCGGCCGCCGTGCGAGAGTAGCGGGCGGCGGGGACAAGCCCCTCGTTAGAGACCTCCTCGGTACCGGAGCCAGTGCTGTGACCTCTATAGACGCCTTTTCGACCGACCCGCTGAGGAGCGAAGAGCCGGTGCCGCGAATATCGCTGTCAGGGACGGACGGGCAAGGGGAAGAAGCGGATCTCCCAGGAGCGGTAGATTCGGAGGAGTTGGGTGCGGTGACCGCGGCGCAGATCCAGCAAGAAACCGGCAGCGAGCGGGGCAAGGCGGCAGAGGACACGCCGAGAGATGGGGCGGGGAAGGAGGCGGGGAGTGCGGCGCGCAGCACAGCGGATGATGCGCCGGTGGCTAAATCTGCCGTTTTGCGTGGCGACGGATTGTCAGCGGGAGATAGGAAGGCAGATGCGATCAGGGCGGCAACCGATAAGCCGAGGCCTGCCAAGGCCGCCGCTGCTGATGTGATCGCCAGCGCGACGCAGTCGGCAACTGTAACGAAGCCCGCTTTAACGAAACGGAGAAAGAGACGAGTGAAGGCGCCGCTAGCGCAGTGGACGCCGTTCAACGGCTCGTACCCGGATCTGACCATCGCTAGGCCGAAGCGCAGGACGCTAACGGTTAACATCAACAAGAAGAACCTGCAGCGGGTGTACTTAGACGCGTCGCGGTTCCAGGAGAATAATCCGGCGAAGGTGGATCCGCCTTTAGAGGCGAGTCGTGGGCCCGAATGCCCGACGTTCGAGTACGGGTACGAGGGCTTCCCTGGCATCGCGTCGTGCTGGCGAAACCCGATCGAGGACGTGTTACTTTCGCCAGCGTCGCTACCGGCGAATTGTGCGAACGCGACGGACGGCGGGTGCATGCAGGAAGCGGACAAACAACCCCACGAGCGGTGGTCCGCGCAGGTGAGTTCCGCGTGACGGGATGTGAGGAGGGAGGGCACGGATTAAGAAGAAAGTGCTGTATGAAGGGTGTGGGAGAAAGCGGGCACGAGAGGTGGGAGTTTGGGGAGGGAGGAAGGAAGGAAGGGGGGAGAAAGAGAGGGGGGGGGGGGGGGGATAGTCAACACCATGGGAAAAAGAATAATGAGAAGTGATTAGGTAATTGACAGGAATTAAGGAGATGGAGGGGAGTACGAATGTGGACTCGGTTTAATAATAAGCGAGCAAATAAATTTTTATTATCCATCCCTACGAACTGCATTATTGACTGGGTCCAGGGTACAAGGTTTGGGGCTCAAGGTTTAGGTTCCCCATTGAGAATCAGCATCTGGGTTGCCAACAGAGTGGTGGATGGTACAGTTGCCGTAAAAAAATATCATCTCCCCCCTTCTAAACCCCCCGTCCTCGGCTCCCTTCCTCCTCTATGCTGGCCTCTCTCTCCCTGCATCCCCCAACCCCCCCTGCCCCGCCCCTCACACCCTCCCCCCCCCTTCCCTCTTCCCCCATTCCGACCCACTCTGCCAACCCACCACTACCACCAGGTGCTTCTCCTGCCCCACGTGTACATCAATGTGGCGGGCGAGATGCTCAAGCAGACTCACTTCCGCCCCATTCTCGCCCTTCCCTGCACACACCCTCGCCTCTCCTTCCCTCCCTTCCTTCCCCAACCGCCCGCAATGCTGTCCAATGTGCACATCAACGTGGCGGGGCTGGTGTTCAACCGCACACCCCTGCCTCTGATCCTCCCCCTTCCCGTCTCCCATGCCCTCCCTAACACCCCCTCCCCACCGTCACATCCGGTATTGCTGCTGCACAACGTCTACGTGAACGTGGCGGGGCAGGTGGTCTGCCGCACGCATGTTCCCTCATCGTCACCCTCCCCTTCACCCGCCTGCCCTGACTCCCCAACCTTCCCCCCTGCTGCCACCAGGTGCTGCTGCTGCACAACGTCTACGTCAACGTGGCCGGGCAGGTGTTCAACCGCACGCACCTCTTCGACCACAACGGCTGCGCCGCCGATGCGCCCTTCAACTACAAGCTCGGGGAGACCAGCCTCTCCACCTTCCCCACCCTCATCTCCCTCGTCGACTGGTTCGGCTGGTCCGCCCGCGCCTACATCCTCGACCTCGTCCCCTCTATAGTCACCCTCGATACAGTGCTGCCGCTGCTGAAGGGCGTGCCGGTGGCGCTGGGGCTGCGGGACCGGCACTTGAAGAACCAGATGGAGCAGGCGACGGGGCTGGGCCACTGGGAGCTCGTGGGCGTGCGCCTGGAGCGGATGAACCCGCAGATTCTGAAAGAGGGCGACTTGTTCTTTGCTGAGCGCCTCATTCTGGTGAGTGCTTGCCGAGAGCACCTGAGAGCACGTCAAGCAGGGGACGGGGCTGGGGCATGGGGTTCTGGTGGGGGTGCGGCTTGGAAGAATGAGCGCGCAGGTTCTGAAGGAAGGGAGGTTTGCTGCTCGTGCAGCGTCTCATTCTGGCAAGTGTTGTTACACGATTCAAGCAATTCACAGCAACTCCGAGCAACTCCGAGCAACTCAAAGCAACTCAAAGCAACTCAAAGCAACTCAAAGCAACTCAAAGCAACTCAAAGTAACTCAAAGCAACTCAAAGCAATTCAAAGCAACTCAAAGCAACTCAAAGCAACTCAGAGCAACTCAAAGTAACTCAAAGCAACTCAAAGCAATTCAAAGCAACTCAAAGCAACTCAAAGCAACTCAGAGCAGCGCACCTCACAGCACCTCGTAACTCGCAGCACCTCAGAGCAGGCGGCGGAGTTTGGTGCTGCTTGAGAGAATGAGTGTGCAGGTAGGCAAGGAGGGCGAGCAGCTGTCCCTGGTAGCTGGCTGTGATGCCAGTGGCACTGTCATTCGTCACTGCCACAGTGCCATACGATGGTCACTGCCAGTTGCCTTCCCGTCCTTTTCTGATTCCTGCCATCCAATTTTCAACTTTATTCCCTCTTTTGAGCCTCCCCTTGCTCTTCCCCTCCCTAGCCCGGCACCCCTTCACCCACACCCCTCCATCCAGCCCCTAACGCAGCGCTCTGGCCGCCCCAGCAGGGCCCCCTGGTCCTACCTGCGCCACCTGTGCCCCTTCTTTGATCTTTGAGTCGACTAAAAACTCACCCTTCTATGTTCTCCTCACCCCTTCTATGTTCTCCTCACCCCTTCTATGTTCTCCTCACCCCTTCTATGTTCTCCTCACCCCTTCTATGTTCTCCTCACCCCTTCTATGTTCTCCTCACCCCTCGCCGTTCGCCCTCCGCCCGTGTATGGCCCTCCAGCCCCTGAAGCAGCGGTGTGGGCGGCCCAGCAGGGCGCTCTGGTCGTACCTGCGCCACCGCAACCTGCTGCCCAAGCCCGGCCTCCCCATCTACCGCCATGGTGCGCCTGCTCGTGTGCTCTCATGGGCTCTACTGCGCATCTACTGCTTAAAGCCCAAGACTAAAACAGCAATCCCCCATTCAAGTTGGGCCCAGCTCTCATGGGCTCTACTGCGCATCTACTGCTTAAAGCCCAAGACTTAAATAGCAAACCCCATTCAAGTTGGGCCCAGCTCTCATGGGCTCTACTGCGCATCTACTGCTTAAAGCCCAAGACTAAAATAGCAAACCCCATTCAAGTTGGGCCCAGCTCTCATGGGCACTGCTTCAGCATAATGCCACGCCTCCCCATCCCATCTTCCATCCGCTGTGCTCAGCCCTTCATATCTATCTCTCTTCATACCCAAACCACCCTTCCCAACCCCTCGCTCCCCCCCCCCGTTGCAGAGTTCAAGCCCACCTACCGCAAGCGAAAGGGAGAGGACCTTTCAGCGGGCAGCGACTGGATCGTGATAGTGGCGATGCGGGACGAGTGGAAGCCGCTGGTGCAGACGCTGCACGTGCAGCAGCAGCTGCTCAAGTGGCTGCCAGCCGAGCGGGTCGTCACGTACCGAGACGGATCACTGTCGTTTGTGAAGCGCAAGGAGCTGTTCAACAAAGCAAGGTTGCTGGTGGCGGCGCATGACAATGTGTTGGCTGACATGGTCTTTATGCCCTCTGGTGAGTGCTTGGGAGACACAAGCAGCTTTTTAATCAAGGGCTGCTGTCTGCTTGCTGGCTGCTGCTTGCTGGCCCCTGCCTCCTGACTGCTATTCCCGCCTCTTACCCCCCTCACCCTTGCGTAAACTACAGGAGGAGCAGTGTTGGAGATCCGGCCTCAAGAGGAACCCGATCCGACGTTCCACCACCTGGCGGACGCGTGCCACCTGGACTACTACCTGCTCTTCTCAGATGGCCGCAAGGCGGACGGCAAGAAGGGCGGCAAGCCCAAGGTGAAAGACCCCAAGGTGGTCCACAAACTGCTGGAGCGGATTGCGAGGAGGATTAGGAAAACGAAGTGTAGAATGGTGTAGTGAAACCTTAGTGTATAGTACATTTGCATATGTACAATGATGATACACGCACAACAGTGTGCTATACTATATTACCCATCCCAAGTCACACCAAATGGGTAAAGTACAAGAGCATACAGCTTTCAAATATGGCTCTATTACCGTACATATGATGCATACCGGTCCAACAGGACCACGGATGGATCACGAGCTGACAATAGCATATAGCTGCACAGCCCAAGCTACAGTAATGCCCACAGCACAGTACACTGAAGTGAGAAGCAGGGGAAGGAAAGGGAAGCGTGCGTGCAACCCTGGGTGGTGGTACAGCAACTGGCAAAGCATTTCCAAGGGTAGAACACCCAAGGCATGAACCACTCGCAGCTTGTAGAGCCAAGATGGATACTGCACCTTGGGGAACTGTGGATTGGGAGTTGGTTGGTGCGTTGATAAAGTGCGTCGGTGGTGGGGAGAGGGGGAGAAGAGGCGGAGGGAGGAGAGGAGGAGGGCGAGGGAGAAGAGGGAGAGGAGGAGCAGCTTGATGGGGTACTCAGGGAGTGTGAAGAGGAGGGGGAGCAGAGAGTAGTGCGACACTGGAGGGTGGGGTAGAAGAGGGAAGGGGAGGCGGGGGGGGGGGGGGAATGGGGGTAGCAGGGAAGAGCACAGAGTTAGGTGAGAACACACAGGCAAAGCAAGGCAAGAGAGGACAGGCATGGGAGGTAGCAGTGGAGAGGGCAGTGAAAGAGAGTGAGGCAAAGGGACCCAGAGAGCTATAGGCGCTCACCTGTGGCAAGAATGAGAAACTCGGCCGCCCATGCGGGGGAGGCGGAGGCGAGGAGGGAGAGCGGCAGCAGGCAGTGTAGCACGGCCTTCTCATGCACGTGCCATCCCAGCAGGAACGCACTCAGAAATACATGCGACAGCGCCGCTGCAATGGCGTACACGCTCAGCTGACACCGTGCTTCCCTGGATGAGACATGGGGCTGCACCTTGCTCACGCCTCTGCTGTCCTTGTCACCACCGCCCTCGCTACCACTGTCGATGGTGTCCCTCTGCATGTAGGCCGCGGGTCGCAGCCACACGTGCAGCAGCACGGGCGCCATGGCGGCCAGCACGAGCAGCAGCGACCCCAGCGGCGTCACCTGGGGAGAACCGAGAACCCCACCGCCTCGCCCACCAGCCCCCTGGTCCACCCCCCCTTCCCTCCCGCTCCTCCAGCAGCGAGCAGCTTGTCTGTGAGAGTGTAGAGCGCCCAGAAGTTGGGCGCCCAGTACGCGTGCATGAGACCCCGGCCGAAGGGGAAGAGGCGGGAGAGCAGGTTGGGGATCTGGTTTGTGACTATAAAGGGGCGAAGGAGAGGAGGAGGACAGAGAGGACCGCTGCCCCCAGAGTGGCTATACGGGCGAGCGATGCCAGAAGGCTAAAAGTGCTGCGTGATGCTAGTGGTTGCGTGGCTGCTGCCCCGGGGGATATTCGTCTGGAAGGGATGCTCTTGCCACGTGCACTGCTGTGCCGTGCAGCTCTGGCGGGGGGTGGCGGGAAGCAGTGGTGGCGCAGGAGGAAGAGCAGGAAGAAGGGGCCCGCCACAGCAAAGAGGTGCTTCATGCAGCACAGGGAAGCGAAGGCCACCGACGCCCACACGTGCCGCCCCTCCTGCCATGCCATGCCAGGTGATGTGACACGTGAGTCATGGGTGCGATGGCATCCACGAGCAGCACGTGCGGTGAGGTGAGCATCCAACCAACCCATGCCGCACCTACCTGGTGAAACGCCATTGCGAGCAGCAGCAGTCCTAGCAGCAGTCGTAGCAGCAGTCGTAGCAGCAGTCGTAGCAGCAGTCGTAGCAGCAGTCGTAGCAGCAGTCGTAGCAGCATGCCGTTGGCATTGGAAGTGCATGTGGCCCACCAGCACCAGCACGTGAGATACGGCGCACTTAGACATGCCGCACTTACCCCTAAGAAAGCCATTGCAAGCAGCAGCAGCCCCAGCAGCATGCCGTTGTATTGGAAGTGCACGTGGTCCACCAGCAGCAGCCCCGCGGAGAAGAGCACCGCCCCCGCCACCACGTTGCCATGCGCGCGCGAGGGCAGGCTGCGCGTGCAGCGCCATGCGGCAATGGCTAGCAGGCAGTCGTGCACATGACCGAGAGGCGCTGGGGGGACAGGAGGAAGGAGGGAAGGGAGGAGGGGGGGAGAGAGTGGGGGGGGGACTAGGTACTGAGAATATACATGCATGGCTGTTGCATGCAATGTAACAGTACAAAACCGTGATATACAGCAAACGCGTGACATTTCCAGTGAAGTGTCACATGGCATACCTGGAACAGCACTGTGGCGTAGCTGGCGTGCTCCAGCCCTTGTACCAGGTCAGTCATTAGCGGGTCCACTCGGGACGCCAGCAGTGCGAGGCAGCGCTCGAAGAAGGCGAAGAGCGGCGGGTAGTCCAGGGTCCATGGGCTCGTGGCGTCCACGTACCACTGTGATTGTAACGGGGGCAGAGGCGGAGGATGTAGGAAAGAAACATGTGAGAATGGGATGGTTGAAGGCGCCGCCGAGAGAACCGCTAATTCCCGAAATTGTCAGCCTCAAAATCATACCCTTGAGGAAGCGCGGCCAGGGGAAATCCTGAGGCGGATTGTACCTGGGATAGCGGCAGCGAGTGCGTGACGGCGAGCCAGTTGCGGTGCACCTCGAAGTCCGTGCTGCGATAGGCCGGCACGAGCAGCAGCTTCACGCACGTCGCCACGCCGAACATCCACGCCACGTCAGTGCAACCCGACCAGGTGGTGCTCGCCCGCGTCTTGCGCGCCATTGCTGCGGCGTCGGCAGCAGCTGCGCGCACAGGAATCGGCGGGCGCGGAGGGCTGACGAAGTGCAGTAGTCGGGCTCGTTGGGGAGGAGAGCAAACCAGTCACTGGCTCGATTGTCGTGGCACAGAGGGGCCGCCTAATTTCTCCTGCATTCTGTCGAGGCCAGAATGTATACATTTACAGTTGGTGTGTTTTGCGATCTTGTCTAGACGGACTCTGCTCGGGGGGATCCAATCAATAGTTGTGCAAAACATCGCACAATGATTATAGGGCACGGAAGTTTATAAATTTGCAACAATGATTTGCAAAAAAAATGCGCGTACAATGTCCCAAAACCGACAGAAATGTATTGCAAATCCTCCTAATGTCCCTGCAGCTATAGGCTGCTGGACTTATATAACAAGCACATACCGTATCCACAAGATCCTCCACAATCCCCGAGACCCCTTCTAAGAATCAGTAGTAGTTCATGAGCATGTTGTAAACCACATCTGCCCATGCGTCTGGAACCCCCGGCAAGCACCAATGGCTGCAATCCTTTCTATTTGCCCGTAAATGCGCATCAGGACGCATTGCACTCATGTAAGTGATCTGCGCAACCCGGATTTTCTTCGACCGCTTGAAAATCGACACTTGTTTCTTCATAGCCGGAATAGTGTAGCCATTCAAATGCACTACACCCTCGTTCTCGTTACTGAATGGTGCGTTGGCGGTCGCGCAAGCGTTCCCAGCATGAATGGGGGAGAAGGTCATGAAAATGGGGAGGCCGCTGTATGGCTTTGTCTGGAAGTAGTCGAATAGCACGCCCATGGCCTTGCGGTAAGCCCCCATCGGCTTCCAATCGGGGTTTGACCCGAGCTTCGTGCTAGGCTGAAGGGCAGGAGGGGATGGAAGGGAAGAGTGTGGAATGGGGTGGATGAGGTAGGACGGAGCGGGATGAGATGCGGTGATGGGATGCGGTGATGGGATAAGATGAAATGGATGTGGTGAGATGAGATGGGAAATGATGGGATGGTGGGAGATGCGAAGAGGGGAAGACAGCGGCATGACAGCATGCGCTTACAACATTGTCGGCGTGGCATACCGGGTGGAAGAACCAGTAGCATAGCGGGTTGAAGAACCAGTGGCATAGCGGGTGGAAGAACCAGTGGCATACCGGGTGGAAGAACCAGTGGCATACCGGGTGGAAGAACCAGTGGCATACCGGGTGGAAGAACCAGTGGCCGGCGCTGAAGATGATGGAGTGCGTGTACGGCAGGATGGCGGCCCACTTGGGGTTCACCACGTACGGCAACGTCTGGTCCTTGTACTGCGGGGACAAGTGGGAGCAAGGAGGGCAAAGAGGGAGGGGGGAAGGGGGTGAGGTCATTGCAAGGTGCCACTGAGTCCCGCACCCGAACCACCTGGAGTTCACTGCGTACGGCATCGTCTGGTCCGTGTACTGCAGGGACGAGTGGGAGGGCGGGGGGCGATGAGAGCGAGGAGGTAAGGGGTAAAGGATGAGGGAGAGTTGATGGTAGGGATGGGAGAGTGAACACACGAGGGGTGAGTCAAAATGAATTGAATTCGCGAAATGCCTGGCCCTGCAAGATACCGCCCCTACTTGTGGAGAGCAGATTGGACTTCTGTGCAGCGCATCAATTCTTCTCAAAAGCAGGCCAATCGGCCGCTGAGGGGGCTGAGAATGCGACTCACATAGCGCGGGCTCTGCACGATGTAGCCGCTGTTGATGGAGAGCAGTGTGAAGTTATACTGCGCCGCGTGCAGCGATCCCACAGGCTTCGCGCCGCCCATCCACGTCTTCTTGAACTGCCAGAGGGGCATGCGGGTCAGGGGGGCAACGGCGGGGTGGGTGCGTTAGTCAACGGCGTTAGGGCGTTCTGATACAGAATGCGAGACAACTGGAATATGATCGTGCGCCCTCTCAAGCGCGTTAAGGCAGGGGAGAGCTTGATGAGGCGGATAGCCATGTGGATCGCATGTGCGTACCGCGACTTTTGTGTATGCCGAGAGAATGCAATGGAAGGATGCGTGCAGGTTGTCACTTAGCGAGTCGCCCACAAACGCGACGATCTTGTTTCGCATGGTCTCCAGAAACGTCTTGGGATTGAATCTGAGGCACGGAGGGGGAAAAAGAATGGGGAATATCGTGAATGAGCGGGGCAGTGAGAGAGAGCGGGGGGAAATCGTGGGCGCAAATTGGGCATCCTACCTCCATTGGTCGTAGGAGCAAGGCGGCGCGGGCACCCACGCGTAGCCGGCGGGGTTGCGCCCATTAGTGTCGCACGAGAAGCCCGCGGCACAGCCGCTGGCGTAGGGCGGCTTGTAGTTGGGGATGGATGACGTGCGCACCCAGCTGCGGGCGGGAGGGTTGTTTGGAGAGGGGTTGCGCGGGGTGCGGAGGCAAACCGTGAAATGCGTAGATGAGGGGGGAGAGAAAGCCAGAGGAGGCCAACACGGAAGGCCCCGAAGGATGGGGGGACGGTGCGGGCAGAGGAGGGGGGATGAGAGGGGGAATGAGGAGGTGAATGAGGGGGACGGAATGAAGGGGAGAATGAGGGGGGGAATGAGGGGGAGAATGAGCCCCCCCCGAACATTCGAAGGCCCCGTACTACGTTTAAACATGTCTAGCAACATTGTATTTGCAATGTCGCAAAACATGTTTAACATAGTATACGGACCAAACAAATTTGGGATGGGGGAATGAGGGGGAGAATGAGGGGTCGGCATGTGAAGCAAGGTAGGAGAGAGAAAGGGATGCGGTGTGGGAGATTAAGGGCGCGGGAAAATGGCGGAACAAGTGTAAAGGATGACAGCGAAGCGCGATAACGGCATTCGCGCTTACCTTCCCCTTCGATAGTCGCAACCTGCTAACCCTCGGGCTCCGGCTAGCGAGCGACGAGCGCCAACGTCGCTAGAGGCGTTCGCTTGTCGCATGAGCCATCGCACAGTGGCATCTGCCAATTCGTCGCTCGCACGGGACCGAAGGAGTGCGCTCGAGGATTGGGCTTGAATGGGGCGAATGGAGGGGGAAGCGAGGAGGACAAGGAGCAAGAAGATGGTGACTGGGAAATACGAAGGTCTCGGTGCTACTCCACTCCGTGCACGCGTCGCATCCATTGAGAGAATCAGGAACTTAAGGCTGGTTCTAGAATCCGTGCACATATGGCTGGATATGTTATTAGATTCGGTGCGATGTTCGTCGGTTTGCCAGCGTAATCTGATATTACTGATCCGCGCACGAGACTCCCTAGCCTCGATAACGTCACACGAGTCCCCAGTGGTCAAGAGCGTGGCCAATCCCCCTTGAGGTTCCTCCCTAAAGCAGCAGATCCCGGTATCCAAAACAGAAGGAACCAGCAAAGCAGTGACAGCTTCGCGTTTGGTGTCGGTCGCTCTTGGCCTATGTGCTTGGCTGCCCCAAGGACCTAAAATTCTATGTTCTGCTACTCAGGTTTGATGGCAGGAAGAAGGTAAGGGAGGGGCAGCACTGAGGGGCGAATTGGTGGGGGATGGGTCTTCGCGGGGGGAACTCTCACGGTGATGTGAGCCGAATTTGATGACTTTTGGTTTGCCGTATTTGCTTCCCACACTCGAATCGCACATGGTCAAAGCGCGATCTGTCGGCTGGAATCGCTTGAGGCCTCTTGTGTTCGTTGAGCGACTGCTGCTTTTCCTCGCACTGCGATTTCCCTCTTTCGCGAAACGAGTGACACCCTGGTTTTCGTAATAAAAGTCGCGCATTTTGGTCCGTAGCGTCGCAAAACAGACAGATGTGGGGACAATGCGATGCAGCCGAATCGCTCTGGCCGTTTGACGATGAGGCACGACCAGCTAGTAGTCGCCAAACCCTAGCAAGAGGGGAACGTGCAAACTGCCGCGCCTCGATGTTGGTGAGTCTGGCTTATGGAAACTCACTACACGAGGCCTCGCACACAGGAAGCTGATGCTAGAGCTGCTGTAAACAAATAAAAACTGAAGGATTACGATTTGGGAGAGAGCTATCCATGACACCTTGCAAAGGCAAGTAACACTACAAACTTAGCACACACTTCTGGGGACTCCTAGTCTCGCAAAAGGGGCCCTTTTTCTTGCGACCTTCGCCATCTAGCAAGAAGGCAAAACTAATTGCCTGCTCTAAAAGGAAGGCATAAGCAAGTTGCACACCAAAGACACGACTACCTAGCTGATCATGCAGTAACTACAACAAAGATGCGTGTGCCGTAACGATGACGTAACAGTGAGGTAACCACAAAGCACACCGTAAGGTGCCTCACTTGTGGGAGGTCATTCGCTTGAAGGAGAGCAAGTGCTGCTTCCTGCTTGTGGCCATTGCGAAGGGGGTGGTGGGGGGGAAGGGAATGGACGAATGGGATAGGTGAGAAATTTGAATGGATTTTTTTCAGCGAGAGCAACACAACAGGCAAGGAGGCTGAGGTACTACTCCTGCAGACATGGAAGGCAGCGGCAACAATCGTCTCACCTGCCAGATGGTGGGGTGGCAGTGGCAGCAGCAGCCACAGCAGGGGCAGGTGTGGAAGGAGCAGATTGGGCAGGTGCAGGGGATGGCGTTGCGGAGCAAGGCACCGACTCGTCAGTGGCCACTCTAGGCCCCGGCACAGATGCTTGGGGAGAGGCGCCGCCCTCTGCTGCCCCTGATGCTCCTGCTGCTCCAGAAACTTTAGTTTCGCCTGCCAGGGTGGCAGAAGCAGCAGCAGCAGTGGAGGCGCTGCTGTGAGCTGGTCGGTCGGAGCGGTGGGAGAACCAGCGCACAAACTTGCTGCCGGCTGAAGCAGCAGCAGAGGCGCTGCTGCTGGTGGTGGAGTGAGGGGGTGTGCGAGGGGTGCTGGCAGTGGTGGTGGACGCACTCATGGCAGAGGCAGCTGAGGCAGCACTGTCTGCTGCAGGGTCTGGCGGTGCTGCTGCTGCAGCAGTCGCAGCAGCATGCTGATCCAAGTCCAGCACAAGGGAGAGCTTCTTTGAAACAGCCTTGCCCGGTGGTTTGGCTGTACCCGCAGCAGGGACAAGAGGTGGAGCAGGCGAGGAGGTGGCAGAGGTGGGGTTGGTGGTGCTGTTGGTGTTGGTGTGGGTGTTGGTGGTGTTTCCAGCAGCGCGAATGGCAGCGAATCTGGCCTTGTGCAGCTCGCCGCGCACACAGGCAGTCAGCCAGTGCAGGCGAGTCAGCTCGTCCCGCTCCGCCATGCCCCTCGCCTTAGTCTCCTCCACCTGCAGTCACACCACATGCACACGGATGATGGTGATTGAGGGAGGGCAAGGCCAGACACAGGAGGATTCGGAGCAACTTGAGGGTGCTCCGTGGGGTGAAGGGAGAGGGACGAGGGAGGGGACAGGAATGCGCGGGGGATGGCTGGGAGAATGATGGCAATACCTCAAGTGAAGGCGGCTCACCTGGTCCAGAATGTCCCACACTCGATCAGGCACCTCCAGCTTAAGCCCGTCACACGACACCACCTTCGCACTCCCATTGCCTGCCACCTCATCCTCTGCTTTGTTACTTCCCCTCCTCCCGTCCCCACCCTCCCCCCTGCCCTCCCCTTTGCTCTTCAGTGTGCCCTCCCCTTGCATCCAGGCGTCTCTCATCTCCTCGTTGGTGAGCCGCAGCACCACCACCTCCTCTTCCAACAACTCCCTCGCTGCCACTGCATCGCGTGCCTGCTCAATTCAAAAACGGAACAGGGACAGGTGAGGACGATGAGACAGGAGTGGGGAGAAGCAAGGAGAGAGAACGGCACTTTGTTTGCATGGAGTCACATCAGCCAGCACCACCCACCTGGAACTCAGCAGCGCTGCGGCGCTGCTGCTCCTCCCCGAGCTCCTTCTCCAGCGCCAGCAGCCGCGTCATCATCTCGCCGCCCCGCACCTCCAGCTCGCCGTTGCGCTGCACCTGCTCCGCCAAGCTGCCCTGCATCTCGCGCTCCCACTCCTCCGCGTCCTCCCGCGTCTCCTTGCTCCACACCAGCGTCTTCCGCAGCCCCATGGCCTCCTTCGTCGCCAGCTGCAGCTGCTCCAACAGCCCCATCTCTGCAGCCTGCGCCTTCTGCAGCTGCTGCCGCAGCAGCGCCGCGTCTGCTTCTTCTGCTGCTGCCCGTCTTTCGGCTACTGCAGCTGACCGCCTGAGGGAGGATAGTTCTGTTCGGGCAGCTGAGAGTTCCCGGTCCAGATCTTTTCTCTGCTGCTTGACCTCTGCCAGCTCACGCCGCAACGCTGCTGACTCACCCTTCTCCTGCGCCAGCATGGTTTCTATGTATTCCACGTCAGCAGTGAGGCTCTTCTCCCGCCGCTTCAGCCGCTCATTCTCAAGCCTTGCCTTCCCCAGTTGTGCCTTCAGCCGGCTGGGAGAGGAAGATTCCTCGCTGGTCCCTCCATCCCCATCCTTCTTCACATCTGACCCACCGCTTTCGACCACTTCCCCTGCCTCGTCCTCTACTCTTCCTCCCTCCCCTGTACCATCCTGGGGGGTATACGACCAGTCCTCTATCTCCTGCTTCAGCCGGGTCAGTGCGATCTCTGCTTGCACCTTTTCCACGCTCACGCTTGCCAGGTCAACTCTCAGTCGGTTCAGCTCAGCACGGCGCCGTGCCAGCTCAGTTTCATACCGCGCCACCTCAGACTTCTTCCGTAACAGCTCAGCATCGACAACAGAGACGGACGGGCTGGAAGAGAGCTCAAGGGAAAACTCCCCGCTCAGTCCCTCAGACCCCCTCCGTGCCCCACCACTCGCCATTCTCGAATCCCTGCCTTCCAGAGGCGAAGCAGTGCTGCCTCGTGTGATGCCATGGCTGCGATTCCCCGCACTCGCGCCAGAGGCGTTAGCAGCAGCGACGGCCAGCGACGGTGCTGACGTGGACGAGGTCATTCGAGACGCTGAGAGTCGCCCAGGGTCCTTCCCGCCGCCGTTGAACCGTTCGATCGTGCCTGCGACGGTTTCTGACGCCACACTATCGCCTCTGCGCTTCTCCCGGCTCTTCTTTCCGCCTGACGACTTGCGCGACTTGCCTGACGCTTTCTCGGGGGAGGTCGGTTGGAGTTGCTGCTGCTTGCTCTGCTTGGGTAGCCCCTCGATGGACCGAATCACGGAAGTTACCGAGCCCTCGTCTCTGTTGTCGCCCTTTTCGTCAGCCCCATCTACCACCTCAACCGTTTCCCCGCCTCCTGTCCCCGCGCCTTCCACATCCCTCCCTCCGCTCCACCCTCCATCCGCGCGCCCGTCGCTGTACCCCACCTGCCACCATCCGCCCTCGCCGCCCCCGCCGTCCTTGCGGTACTCCTCGCGCCCCTCCCCCACCGCCGCCTCGTAGCCCAGCGCCTCCATGCGCTGGGCGCGGGCGTCCGACTCCTCCAGCGCCATGATCTCCCACAGCGCCTCCATCTCCTCCACGCTCATCCCCTCCAGGCCCTCCTCAGTCCACTCCTCCCCCCCGCCTCCCCCCACGTCCTTTCCGGCGGGTTCCTCGCCATCAGGAGCGGGGACCAAGTCCCTGCTAGGATCGCTTCGCAAGGCAGGAGCCTCCGCTGGTCTCGGGGAGGGTATTTGCGGTCGTCTGACGGGCTGCTGGGGATTGTCGGCTGGAAGGGAACGGTCCGACGGGACTCGCTTGAACTGAATCTTGGCGGTGCTGTTGCCGCCCACGCGGCGCGACAGGGAGACTGCCGTGGACGGCGAAGGCGGCTCGCATTCGAACATGGACGCGATGCGCTGCACCTTGGACACCTGCGGCTCGAACCGAGACGCGAGCTGCTTCACTCGGCTAGGGCTCGGCTCGTCCATGGCTGCCTGCTGTTCTGATGGTACGCGGTACTGGGTGCTATGCTGAGAGGTGCTATGGCGAGAGGTGCTATACCGAGAGGTGCTACACTGACAGTTCCTACACTGGTAGGTGCTGCTGAGCTGTTACTTGAGTTACGCTTCTGACGGAGGGGAGTTAACCTGACTTCTAAGCTCAAACTAATTCCGAAAGAAAAAGACGGGCGTGGATGGTCGTCTCTCCGAATCTACATTACTGGATGCCTGGTACGTGTCAGGCCAAGCAAAGAGACTCACGGGATTGTCATGATGTCGAACTCTCTCAAGGCTCCTGCTTCGTCGTAGCGCATGGCGAACCGCACACTTCACGCGCTGCCAGCAAGGCCTTCAAAGATCACTCACGCGGTCAGGAAGTTCCTAGAAACACGCCATAGATGCGATGAGCACGTGAGGCGATGACCCAAGGCACCTGACAGTCTCTAGGGACCCCAACAGCCTGGCTCACATCACATCAAGAATTCAAACATCCGAACTTCTGACATCCGAATTCCCTGGGAGGTCCGAGCGCTGACCTCTGACTCCTCCTGACGCTTTCCCTGCAAACGAGTGGCGGGGAGTGTGTGCCAAGGTGAAGGGGTTGTTTGTGCAACATTATCGAGGGCCAGCATCAGACCAACTGGTTGGTAGAGCCTGTGTGCGCCAGTAGGTCTACGCCACGTTGTCGTTTCGCCTGTCAGCACCGCCCACGAGAAAATCGGTTCTGATTCTGGCTTGGTTCCGTTTCAAAGCTTTGGGTGTAGAATAAAGTGATTCTGTAGATGGTGCCTGGAGCAGCAGCAGCAGACACATGGTTCTCTCGTCTCTGTTGCAGAAGCAGCACCCACATGGTTTCTTGGTGCTTGAAGCAGCAGTCGCAGCCATAGGCAGATAGGTTCTTGATCCCTGCAGCAGCAACAGGAAAGCCCACGTGTTACCTTTTCCCCTCGAACAGCAGCAGCAGACACATGAAACCTTAATTCCAGGAGCAGCAACAACAGCATCCACGTGGTATCCTAGGAGACGCAGCAGCAGCAGACACATCGTGCCTTCGTCCAGTGCTCAGCATTGTGCCTAAGGAGTTGGAGCGCATAGTAGCTTGGACACAAAATACCTGGAGGAGTAGCAGCAGCAGCAAGAGCAGTGCAGCCACATGGTACTAACACGAGCTGCAGCAGCAGACACATGCCCTAGTCCCAGCACAGCAGCAGGAGAACCCACATAATACTATATTCCCTGTATCAGCCACAGCAGCAGGCACAAGGTAGCTTAGTCTCTGGAGCAACAGCAGAACTCACTCAGGACATTTGTCTAAGGAGTTGCAGCAGCAGGAGGCAGGTACCTTTGTCTCTGGTGCTGCGCCCACATTGCACCTCAGAAGCTGCAGCTGGCATATGGTATCTTCATCCTTGGAGGAGTACCGTAGTAGCAGCAGCGGGAGACACAACATACCCTCTTCCTCGGCACAGCCCCCACATGTCACCAGGAGCTGCAGCAGCAGGCTGCAGGCATATGGTACCTTGGTCATTGTTGCAGCAGCAGAGACATACATTAGTCACTGGAGCTGTAGCAGGAGAACTTTCACCATTCTCTGGATGAGCAGAAGAAGCAGACACTTGGTATCTTAGGGCAAATTCCTACAGTCTCTCGTCAGCCTCTCGTGAGTCCGACGCGACGGTTAGTATCTGGAGAAGCAGCAGCAGCAGCAGCAGCAGCAGCAGCAGCCACATGTCAATCCGGGTCCTGGAGCAACAGCAACAGTCACAGTACTCGCATCAGGGGAGTAATGGCAGCATTGTCAACTTATACATATTATCTATGTAGAAGTTATAGGCTAGACCGAGGTATGCTTCTAGTGAGTACAACCAACTAGTATTTGTTCTAGGTTTCCACTTCTAGTAATCATTCGTTCTCACATTGACATGGTATCACGCGTAGGTTAGCATCCCCCCACCTACCGCTTCCGCCCGTACCCTAGCTAGGCCACGTCGCGCCTCCTAGCCCCGTCGCGCCTCCTAGCCACGTCGCCCCCCTCCTGGGCCACGTCGCGCCACCCTAGCCCCGTCGCGCCACCCTAGCTCTATCGCGCTCCCCCTGGGCCCCGTCGCGCCTCCTAGCCCCGTCGCGCCCCTCCTGGGCCCTGTCGCGCCACCCTAGCCCCGTCGCGCCACCCTAGCCCTGTCGCGCCCCTCCTGGGCCCCGTCGCGCCTCCTAGCCCCGTCGCGCCCCTCCTGGGCCCCGTCGCGCCACCCTAGCCTCGTCGCGCCACCCTAGCCCCGTCGCGCCCTGCCTAGCCTCGTCGCGCCCGCTCGGCCTCGTCGCGCCCTGCCTGGCTCCGTCGCGCCCGCCTGGCCCCGTCGCGCTCTGCCTTGCTCACGTTCGTGCCTCTGGCACGGACAAGCTCACTGCCCGCACTGTCCCCTGTGTCTTCCACGGTTTCCCCCTGGACTCGTCTGACTGGCTTTTCTACCACCCGCCGTCTCACCGCTTCCTCCACTCTCGTGACGTCACCTTTGACGAATCCGTCTCCTTCTACCGCCGCTTCCCTCACCGAGGTCTCCCAGTTGCCCCCCCCCCTGTTCCTTGCTCCCTCTCCCCCGGTAGCCCCTGCCCCTCTCCCGCCTCGTCCTGCCCCGTCTGGTGTCTCTCACGTCACTCCCCTCCCGTCGGTTGTCCCCGTTGAGGAGTCTGCTGACTCTGGTGGTACCCCTGGTCCGTCCTTGCCGCGTCCCCCTTCCCCGGTGCCTCCGCCCCCACTGTCGCAGTCGCCGACCCCGCTGCCGCCGCCGTCGCCGTCGCTGCCGCAGCCGTCGCCGTTGTCGTCGCCGCCGCAGCCGTCGCCGCCACTGCCGCCGCCGCTCTTGGCCCCTGGGGGTGCTGGTGTAGAGGAGGGTGTTCGTCCTGCGGCTTCTGGGGGTGCCGCTGGTATTGGAGGGGGTTCTCGCTCTGGGGGTATTAGTTCTGGGGGTGCTGCTGTTGAGTGCTCTGCCGACGGTCGTTCCGCCTCTGCTGGTCCGAGAGTTCCGGCCCAGCCGTCGTCGCCGCCACAGCAGCCGTCGCCGCCGGTCTCCGCTCTCCGCCTGCTCGGCCTTCCCTCCCCGGACCGCGCGCCGGTGTCTCCCCCACCGCCTGCTGAGCTTCCTGTCTACGGTCCTGTGTTCCCGCCGCCGGACTCGTCTCCGGCCCGTCTTCCTTCTCGTTCCCCTCCTGTGTCTCCTCCACTGTCCCCTGACCCTACACCTCCGTCTCACGTTTGGTGTCGGTGATATAATTATAATAAGGGAAGAAACCAAAGGATAATGGAAAATGGGGAATATGAGGCAAAAGGAGCTGAGATAAAAAGAGGAATGAAATGAAGATGAAATATGGAAAAGGCCAAGTGGTGTAACGGAGTCGTACTCTCACACTTCCCCCCCTCAAAGCTGGGTGGTAGAAGTAACACCCTGCTTGACAAGGTAGTCATGCAGAGGACGACGGGCGTTACCCATGTCGGACTCAGGTACCCAGCTGTCCTCAGAAGGATCATAACCCTTCCAACGGATGAGAAGCTCCACGGTGCCATTCCGACGACGACGATGTGCAAGCACGGACTCGACCTCGTACTCGGGTTCGTTCTGGACGAGGACGGGCGGCGGCGGCGGCGGCTGGCGTCCCACGAAGATCGTGTTAGGATCTCGATAGGGCTTCAGAAGTTGGACATGGAAGGCGTTATGAATCTTCCAGGTAGCTGGCAGGCGTAAGCGGAAGGTAACAGGAGTGACCTGTGCTTCAACGAGAAAAGGCCCGCAGAAGCGAGGTCGAAGTTTAGATGGGAGATGGCTGATGTCCAGGTTACGGGTGTCGAGAAGCACCTGGTCCCCCACCGTGATGGTGTGGTCGTTGCGATGGCGATCGGCCTGGCGCTTCTGTTGCTGTTGAATGTCAAGGAGGCGCTTATGGGTCCGATCCCAAAGCTGATGCATGGTTGTGATGAAATCATGTGCGGGTTGGACTGTAGGTGATGCTGTTGGTTTCTGTGGTGTGAGTGGGTGGCGTCCGTAGCAGAGGAAGAACGGCGTCTGTCCCGTAGCGGCGTGTGTAGCGTTGTTGTAGGCAAACTCCAGGACGGGTAGGTGCAAGTCCCATTTGGAGATGTCGTCCTTGCAGGCTGCTCGGAGGAGTTGCTCAACAATTTGGTTGAGGCGCTCGGTCTGTCCGTCTGTCTGCGGATGGTATGCGGATGACATGGCGAGTTTGGTGCCGAGCAGAGACATAAGTTCCTTCCAGAACTTGCTAGTGAACTTAGGGTCTCGGTCGGAGATGAGTGTAGTTGGGATGCCATGCTGTGAGATGATGTGACGAACGAAGAGCTGTGCTGTCTCCTCGGTGCGTGCCGTCGTGTGTGTCGGGATGAAGTGTCCCATTTTGGAGAACTTGTCAATGACGACAAGGATGGCGTCATGACCGCTGGAGGTAGGTGGTAACCCGGTGATGAAGTCTAGGCTAACCACTTGCCATGGTTGTTCTGGGACAGGAAGAGGCTGCAGTAGTCCCGCCTTTTTCTGCTTGCTGCTCTTCATCCGCTGACATGTATCACACGAGGTGACGAATTTCTGGACGTCGTCTGCCATATGGGGCCAGTAGTAGTGTTTGGCGATACCGGTGAGCGTCTTGTTGCTACCGAAGTGGCCCGCGTACAGGACGTCGTGGTATTCTTCGAGTAGTAACTGGCGCAAAGGAGGGTAATTGGGTACCCAGATTTTTGTTGATCCTTTCCGGTACGCGATGTCACTGTCCCACTGTAGCAGATGTCGCTTTTCTGCCAAGGGAATTTCGGGGTCGATGGCGTACCCGTGGGTGAAGAGTCCCTTGAGTAGTGGATTCATCCCTTCGACCTGAATCGCGGCAACGTGTGCAGGCCGGCTGAGCGCGTCTGCTTTGTTCTTGTGGCCGGGCTTGTACACGATGTCGTAGTGGAAGTGTGTCTCGAGGAAGTCGATCCACCGGACCTGTCGCCTGGAAAGGTTGGGTTGTGTCTTCAAATATTTCAGGCTGCAGTGGTCGGTGTAGACGGTTGTTCTTCGTCCTTCGAGATAGCATCTCCACGCTTTGAAGGCGATGATGATAGCAAGAGCCTCTTTGTCGTGTATCGGGTAGTTGAGTTCCGCCCCGTGCAGTTTCTTGCTGAGGTAGGCAATTGGTTGCAGTCCATTGCCCTGGTCTTGCATTAAGACTGCTCCCACTGCCTGGTCGCTGGCGTCAGCTTCGATTACGTAGTCACGTTCGGGATCTGGCAAGATGAGCACCGGTGCGGACGTTAGTGCTTGTTTCAGCTGCTCCACGGCTTCCTGGTGCTTCGTCTCCCATTTGTAGGGCGTGTTCTTCTTCAGCAGATTCGTGAGTGGTGCCGCGAGTTTCGCATACTGTGGCACGAACCTGTTGTAGTAATTAGCGAAGCCTAGGAACTGCTGCAACTCCTTCACGTTCTCGGGTGTCTTCCACGTACGTACGGCT